TGCAAACCGGTTTGCCCACTTTAACTGGTCGTGGTCATCACCTTCGGTAAGACCCTCCCTTTGAAACAAAACGATAGTCTGCCCCAGCCCGTTTTAGGATTCTATAAGGCCCCACCGATCTATGTCTGAACTTCCAACCTTTCGGTCTTTTCGACATGATTGTTTCGCCCGATTCGAAAGGCCGCCAAGTAGTTGTCGTTTGATTGAGCTTTTTTCCGATACTTTTGATGTGATTCTCTGGCATGCGTGTAATATGAAATGCTGACCTAACTGACTGTAAATATTTGCTCTGGTTGGATGGTGTTGTTAGCGGCATGCCTAAATTCAATTCAACTGGCAGCCTAGGTAATTGCCCAAAAACTACCTCATATACGGAGACAAGCCTAGTGTGTCGTGTCTACTAGTATAGTAAGTGAACGTGACTGAATCTAGCCACAAGTCCCAATCATCTCGCCTATTAGAAACAAAGGATAGCCTCAATTGTGCGATTTTGGCGCGTCCGTTACACTGAGGACGGTAGCTACTAGTACAAACTTAAGGATATTGCATATGTTGTGTAATATGAATGAAATCCCATGCAAATGTAATCATATGCAATTCTAATTAGACTTCGACTATCTATCTATCTGCGGCCAACGTTTTTGCAAATGGGTGTATATATATATATATATATATATATATATATATATATATATATATATATATATATATATAATGCTATATGATACAACATGATATAGTATGATATATTATGATGCTATATATAATATAATAATGTTTGATATATTATGGTAATATATGATACGATACGATACAGTATGATATAGCATGATGCTATATGATACAGTATGATACGGTATGATTTTGTATGATACTATATAATGCTATATTATATGATATGATATAATATTATGCTATTTGATACGATATAATACAGTATGATATAGTATGATGCTATATGATACAGTATGATACGGTATTATACGGTACGATACTTTATGATGCAATATGATACGGTATGATATTGTATGATACTATATGATGTTATATTATACGATATGATATAATATGATGCTATATGACACGATATGATACAGTATGATATAGTATGATGCTATATTATATGATATGATATAATATGATGCTATATGATACGATATGATACAGTATGATATTGTATGGTGCTATATGATACAATATGATACATTATGATAAGGTATGATATTGTATGATACTATATGATGCTATATTATATGATATGATATAATATTATGCTATATGATACGATATGATACAGTATGATATAGTATGATGCTATATGATGCTATATTATACGATATGATATAATATGATGCTATATGATACGATATGATACAGTATGATATAATATGATGCTATATGATACGATATGATACAGTATGATTTAGTACGATACTATATGATGCAATATGATACGGTATGATATAGTACGATACTATATGATGCAATATGATACGGTATATTGTATGATACTATATGATGCTATATTATATGATATGATATAATATTATGCTATTTGATACGATATGATACAGTATGATATAGTATGATGCTATATGATACAGTATGATACGGTATGATACGGTACGATACTTTATGATGCAATATGATACGGTGTGACACTGTATGATATAGTATGATACGGTATAATATTGTATGATACTATATGATGCTATATTATACGATATGATATAATATTATGCTATATGATACGATATGATACAGTATGATAGAGTATGATGCTATATGATACAGTATGATACGGTATGATATTGTATGATTCTATATGATGCTATATGATACGATATGATATAATATGATGCTATATGATACGATATGATACAGTATGATATAGTATGATGCTATATGATACAGTATGATACGGTATGATACGGTACGATACTTTATGATGCAGTATGATATAGTATGATGCTATATGATACAATATGATACGGTATGATATTGTATGATACTATATGATGCTATATTATACGACATGATATAATATGATGCTATATGATACGATATGATACAGTATGATATAGTATGATGCTATATGATACAGTATGATACGGTATGATATTGTATGATACTATATGATGCTATATTATACGATATGATATAATATGATGCTATATGATACGATATGATACAGTATGATATAGTATGATGCTATATGAGACAGTATGATACGGTATGATACGGTACGATACTTTATGATGCAATATGATACGATATGATACAGTATGATATAGTATGATGCTATATGATACAGTATGATACGGTATGATATTGTATGATACTATATGATACAGTATGATACGGTATGATACGGTACGATACTTTATGATGCAATATGATACGGTGTGATACTGTATGATATAGTATGATACGGTATGATATTGTATGATACTATATGATGCTATATTATACGATATGATATAATATTATGCTATATACGATATGATACAGTATGATATAGTATGATGCTATATGATACAGTATGATACGGTATGATATTGTATGATACTATATGATACAGTATGATACGGTATGATACGGTACGATACTTTATGATGCAATATGATACGGTGTGATACTGTATGATATAGTATGATACGGTATGATATTGTATGATACTATATGATGCTATATTATACGATATGATATAATATTATGCTATATGATACGATATGATACAGTATGATATAGTATGATGCTATATGATACAGTATGATACGGTATGATATTGTATGATACTATATGATACAGTATGATACGGTATGATACGGTACGATACTTTATGATGCAATATGATACGGTGTGATACTGTATGATATAATATGATACGGTATGATATTGTATGATACTATATGATGCTATATTATACGATATGATATAATATTATGCTGTATGATACGATATGATACAGTATGATATAGTATGATGCTATATGATACGATATGATACGGTACGATACTTTATGATGCAATATGATACGATATGATACAGTATGATATAGTATGATGCTATATGATGCGAAATTATACGATATGATAAAATATGATGCTATATGATACGATATGATACAGTATGATATAATATGATGCTATATGATAGGATATGATACAGTATGATATAGTATGATGCTATATGATACAATATGATACGGTATGATGTAGTACGATACTATATGATGCTATATGATACGATATGATATAGTATGATGCTATATGATACGATATGATACAGTATGATATAGTATGATGCTATATGATACAGTATGAGACGGTATGATATTGTATGATACTATATGATGCTATATTATACGATATGACATAATATTATGCTATTTGATACGATATGATACAGTATGATATAGTATGATGCTATATGATGCTATATGATACAGTATGATACGGTATGATACAGTATGATACGGTATGATATTGTATGATACGGTATGATACGGTACGATACTTTATGATGCAATATGATACGGTGTGATACTGTATGATATAGTATGATACGGTATGATATTGTATGATACTATATGATGCTATATTATACGATATGATATAATATTATACGATATGATATAATATTATGCTGTATGATACGATATGATACAGTATGATATAGTATGATGCTATATGATACGATATGATACGGTACGATACTTTATGATGCAATATGATACGATATGATACAGTATGATATAGTATGGTGCTATATGATGCGAAATTATACGATATGATAAAATATGATGCTATATGATACGATATGATACAGTATGATATAATATGATGCTATATGATAGGATATGATACAGTATGATATAGTATGATGCTATATGATACAATATGATACGGTATGATATAGTACGATACTATATGATGCTATATGATACGATATGATATAGTATGATGCTATATGATACGATATGATACAGTATGATATAGTATGATGCTATATGATACAGTATGACACGGTATGATATTGTATGATACTATATGATGCTATATTATACGATATGACATAATATTATGCTATTTGATACGATATGATACAGTATGATATAGTATGATGCTATATGATACAGTATGATACAGTATGATACAGTATGATACGGTATGATATTGTATGATACTATATGATGCTATATGATACGATATGATACAGTATGATATAGTATGATGCTATATGATACAGTATGATGCGGTATGATATTGTATGATACTATATGATGCTATATTGTACGATATGATATAATATGATGCTATATGATACGATATGATACAGTATGATATAGTATGATGCTATATGATACAGTATGATGCGGTATGATATTGTATGATACTATATGATGCTATATTATATGATATGATATAATATTATGCTATATGATACAATATGATACAGTATGATATAGTATGATGCTATATGATACAGTATGATACGGTATGATATTGTATGATACTATATGATGCTATATTATACGATATGATATAATATGATGCTATATGATACGATATGATACAGTATGATATAGTATGATGCTATATGATACAGTATGATACGGTGTGATACTGTATGATATAGTATGATACGGTATGATATTGTATGATACTATATGATGCTATATTATACGATATGATATAATATGATGCTATATGATGCTATATGATACGATATGATACAGTTTGATATAATATGATGCACTATGATACAATTTGATACAGTATGATATAGTATGATGCAATATGATACAGTGTGACACGGTATGATACGGTATGATATAGTACGATACTATATGATGCAGTATGATACGGTGTGATATAGTTTGATGCTTAATGATATGATATGATACAATAGATGTTTAAAAAAAGGGTGTTGTATGTATATTGGTGTATACTGAACATGGAATTATTATCGTCAACTTCATGTAAGCTACTGTCAAATCAGGATGACAATATGGCCACAATCTGAAAGACTGAAAGTAAGTTCCGTCCTGACGAGTGACGATGGCCCAACAAGGCGAAATTTCACACAAGAATTTTAGCAAGTCGGATAAAGACCAGTGGTAAAGACTAACCAAGGTGGGTAACGTAAGGATTGACGAATAGAAGCTTGGTGAAAGCCACTAGGTTGAGTAGGTTCCTAGGTTATACCATTTATAAATACGCTAATTACTGCTCCTAATTTTTTTAATTCTACATAAACGTTAATATGGTATCTAAATTTTTAAACCCACATGCATTGTATTTTAGATAAAAAACTGTTTTGGTTGTCACAAGAATGGCTCGGGAAATAGAAAGCTATTCCTTTACAGAATGGCCGGTGAGAGCAACTGAGCAAGCAGTATTGGAGGATTAACCTACATGTATTTCTAAAGCTAATAGCTTGAATGATATTGTATTTTTTCAAAAAAGAGTATGTGGGGTTGCCGGATTAATCTTTCTAGGCCTGGTCACAGCTCACAAAAATATGAATAATTTGTAGGTGGATCTCCCCTTCATGATCAGAGTATGATTAAAGCTCAGAGGAAGGGACCACCCTCTCTCCTCCAGAGGCTTTGAATGCAAATGCACTAGATGATAACATATAAACATGACCGCCGCTGAAATTAGAAACGGGGGCGGAAGAGGGGAGAGGACATCTTTCAATTTTTTTAGGCTAGGGTCAATTGCCCCTGTTGCCCCTTTGGTAATCCGGCATTGATTTCAAACAAATAACTGCAAAAGAACTGGTAATCTGATTAGGTTAAAGCTGTGCAGAATTAGCAGCACCAAATAGTTTTTCCTCGCATAGGATTGTGTTATTCATTAAGTTGCTTGACTTGATAGTCTAAATTTTCTGTCTACTACTATTAAAAAGCATTTACATGAGTGTGAACTAAATAAAAATGTGTCTTAATGAATATACCTGAACTTAACCTTTCCATCTCCTTGCAGGTGCAAGTTTTTGCAATTGATTATACAGGACATCTTGTAGCTTTACCTGGGTAAGTCATTATAATGCTCGTTAAGAAAAACTTCAAATGTTTAGCAAGCACACACCAACAATTTTTGTTGGTCGATTCATGTTTAGATTAATAGGACATGTCCATTCATCTAGAATCCAGATGGCCACATTTTGATGACATGCATTATTTAAGAATGCACTGACTAACATGTGTGAACTAAGCAAGTGTGCCGGGTGCATTTGTGATTTAGCACAAAATTGTTGGGAACTAAGAACCCTAGAGCTGATTTGGTTCGATTATGATATGTCCTTCTTCCTGAGTATTTGTTTTTTATCTAATTTACGTATTGTTACCAACTCTTTTTAGACGTGGTGGACTAGCTCTATATGACTTGACACAAGGTCATTCATGTATTGGTAAGATAACAAGGCAAAGTAAATGGGACTGCTTTGCCATCGAGTGGAATCCCCATCAAAGTCATCAAACTCACCTTGCCTCAACTGTGAGTAATATTTTGTCCACCCCAGTGATTTATTCTTCGAGTGTGCACCCCAGTGATGTATTTCCTAGTGTGCAGCCCACTCATGTATTCAATCTTAGGACTAGTATCCTAGTTTTGTTTATAATTACTTTAAAAGGTCTGTTGCTAAATATTCAATTCAATTGGATACTGTTCTGGCCCTTTCTCTCGTAGAAATCTTTAAACCTCATAGCTTATCTGTTGTACTTTGAAGCCTAAATTCTCAAACATTACTTTCTTATTGTGATCTTTATTAGTGCAACAAAAGGATTGAACTTTGGACCTGGGGAGATGGTAGGGGGAAAAAGTATCAAGAACTTCTTGCCCATACAAGAACTGTCGGGTAAATTCGAGTTCTGAAATATGTTTACCTAGGGTTATTTCAATTATCACTTTGGTTGTAGTGAATAATGTTTGCTGCAATCACTGGGCTACCTGTGGTATGATTAAATATCTCACATATAAACTGTGAAAATAGCCCCTGGCTAAGTGGCACCTGTTTAAGGCGTGCAATGTAAATGTATAGCATTTGCACGCCGATCTATTCTAAAAAGAGAGAGAGAGGCCTGTTGCGAGTTACGTTACCTAAAACGAGGCTAGTCAGTCTACCTGCCAAAATTTCAAAATTACATGTATATTTCTAAATTTCAGTTGCCTGAACTGGTCGAGATTTAATCCACGTCTCCTGGCGTCATGTTCTTCTGATAGTTATATTTATCTCTGGGATTTACGGTAGGCTCTTGTATCCTCTCGCTTATCAACCTTCCCTCGTTTTGATGCAGGCGGGGGTAGTTTGCAGGTTTGAACCAATTTGCAAGTTTCTCGCACCTATTACCAGCGCCATCCAGTAACACCTATCTGAACTGCTAAATTCATTTACTGTCATTTCAGAGATTGCAAGAAACCAAAGCCTCTTTCAACTGTTTGTAAGTAATGCTTGTCGAATTTCAATCGATTTGTAATCTATTGAATATTGTGATAAAGCTGCAGCTTCATATACGTGAGTCTTATAGACTATCATTTAGAAATGGAAGGGACTAGTTTCAGTTCCGAAATATCAAATACTCGAACCGTCTTGCCCTAGTAGCTCAGTTGGAAAAGCATTGGACTAGCAAACCAAAGGTCACGGGTTTGATTCCCACCGTGGTCAAGCTAATTTTTCAGCTTACCCGGTTGGTGACTCGGTGACTCAGAGCAGCTTCATCATCACAATATTCATTTCATATACCTGAGTCTTATGCACTTTTGTAATCTATCGTTAGTGGGAAGTGTCTGTTGATCTGATTCCGCTTATATATAGTTCGGGATTTTCACTTTGATATCTACAGTAAGAATTCAAAAAGTTGTTTACAATACGAGCTTTCCGTTTGCTAGCAGGAGCAAGCCATCTTAAGTGGAATTCACAGAACAATCATATGCTTGCCACAACCCATGATGGAGATGTTCGTATTTGGGATTTGAGGGTGCGTATTCCATACTTTATATTTCTTGTATGTTTCTGTTGTATTTCTTTGAAATAGTTCCAGTGTTTTAATTATTTGTGATATACTGGTATAATAAAATAATAGTTCATAATGACGTCAAACACGTCACATGAAATTTGATTGGCTCTGCAAAACTAACGAGCCAACATGTGACGTCAGGCTTTCCGCGTGTGACGTCATTATGAGAATGGTCATTGAACCTTTTACTCTTATATTTCAGAAAGGAAATGCGCCCGTTAGATATATTTCGGCTCATCTTTCGAAGATCAACGGCCTGGATTGGTCGCCTGTTGATGGCAACAAGTTAATAACATGCAGTCTTGATAAAACTGTTAAGGTAGCGTACAGCTGTTTTGGTACAAAACTACAATGTTGTTGAATGTATTGTTGCAAACAAGCTGTCAAGAAAATGTGTTTTCACAGCTTGCTCCACGTTTGTTGTAGCTGATTAAACTTGTTGCATGATTGTTAGACATTAGGAAGCTTAAGCAGCGACTACAAGTTCAAGATTCGTCATCTCCGCGCCGATAACATTGTTGCTACAAACTTGGCAACACAAGATTATAGCAATGTTGTTTGATGGATGCACCTTGTAACGAATCTGACGATTCAACAAGTTTGTTATGTTTGTTCCAACAAGTTGACCCATGCATGCTTATCCACAGTTTCAGGAATTAGCTACTTTCGGCGAAACTGAGCTCTGCGAATGACTGGGAAGAGTTCTCAGTGGTCCAGTACCAAAAAACCCCAAAATTTCCGAGAAAAATATTGCTGAAAGGCAAACATGTGTGTAATCAACAACTATGATTGGCGCCATTCAATTGACTCTAAGCGAATGTTACAATGTTATTGATGAGACGTCTGTGTTGTTTAGTTATGGGATATTTTTGAAGACACGCGTAATGCTAAAGCGATTTGTGACCATCGGGCTCCCGTATGGCGAGCAAAATACACAGTAAGTACAGAATATATTATAGTTATTTTCTGTTAGTTTAGAACGGGATAATAAATTATTATTGTATATAACATGTGTTCCGATTAGTCGAAGCCCGTGTTTGGATCAGACCATCACAAACGCGGAAATTAAATTGCTTTTTCAAATCAAACTTGAACACTATATTTTTGTTGTTATTTTATAAAGCAATTACTTAATGGTTTCCCGTGTTTGGATGGCCTGATCCAAACTTTTGGGAATGTTGCTTGAGTGTTTCGCGCGCTTTTCGCAACTCTTGGAACATTCCCGCGTGTTTGGATAAATTTAATAAGTTTCAAATTATTAGCCGCCTGGCAATGCTATTCTGACGGTGCCACTGTCAACAGCTTCACAAAGAGCAGTAAGTGTACCATCCCTATGGAATACCAACTTGAAAAACCCGTTCCAGACGTTTCACGGAAATTCGTCTATTCTAGAATTTCATTGGAGGTTTACCGAAGGTACGAAGTTTGAAATTCTGCACAAATGTTATGAATTACCACGGATGCAAGTTGTGCTAGGGGGCAAATAATGTGTTGTCACAAAGAATCTTGTTTTTCCAAAGGTGAAGATGGGTTCCAATTATTAACGTGGTCTAAAGATCAAGTGTTGAAGTTATGGAATCTTGATCCACTTCGTTGTCTGGTAAGTTATGACTTCTTGATTATGAAGAACGTAATTTTATTACTGTATACTCCAAAACGATTAAGACCATGTGCACACGGTAACGTTTCTCGTGCGTTTTCACATTCGTTTTCATGCCAAAACGGTTTCAAACACCGTCAATTTACAATGAGGCTTAGTTCAATAAAATTGAAGCTTATAAACATATCAGTTAAGCATGTATATATTCTCCTTGGATCGTGTGGACATGGCGTCTAAACAATAAAATAGACAGAAACAATTTGAGAACCCGGCCTCGAAAACGACGCTTGTGTGCACATAGCCTAAATTTACATATTCTCCAGCAAGGCTAATTTTTTTACCTCGAAAGGACGGAGAATTTCGGCTGTAAGCCTCTTATATCAAAAGGAAGTTAACACTTACACTCACATTACGCAATTTCCTAGAACGTTTAAGGAGATAACCCCCCCCCCTCCCCCCTATATTTACGTGCATTAAAATTCAGGCATTCTGATTAGCTTACCTGATAAACGTAGACACATTTGCCGTTAAGTTTGAAACGAAATCCCTCTTGGTCGTGAAGGATTCTTAGGATGTGAAGGTCTTCACACAATCCAACTTCGTCGGATCCAATTCACTTCTGATGGATGTTTTATAGTCTGTTGACTTAATTGCTATGTATGTGCGCAGCAAATCAACTTAAACCAACGCAGTACTCTTTTTTGAATAACTGACTTCATTCCATACCTCAGAAGTGAATTTGATCCAACAAAATTGGATCGTGTGAACAGACAGTAAGGCCGGTTAAGAAGAATTGTTTGTTCTAATCACGAGAAAGAGAACTGTGCAGAAATGGAAGATTCTCTCCTCAAGTTTATGTCCTACTTTTGCTTATGTATTCTAGCCGACTGCACCTCAAGAGACGCGCGAGGAACATCCTTTATTATCCCCCGAAGTACCGGAATTTAGGCCTAATTTATCAAGTGATGATGTTGGAATTGAAAGCAGTACAAGCAGTGACAGCCTCAACGTTCTTGCTCGTGGGAAACCTAATAACTTGGAAGGAGAGATCACGCAAGCTTGCAACACGATACACGATATTGTTTTGGAAGAGGTAAGTTGAAAAGTTTATAGTTTATGCCGGAGGTTGGTTGTATCAAACTCCGAATCACTTTAACCTTCATTTTTAAGTCGAAAGTTTCGAAGTTTCCATCACTCGAAAAACTATATCTCATATATATCATCACAATGTCCCTAAAACATAACAACGCTAATAGATCCTGTCGGCAGGCATATATAACGCGGGTATATTTTTCTGTTCGTTATTCAATTAACATGAGTTCCAAATATATGTGATACGTAGAGAATATTTACTTCGGGACATTTATAGACCTTAAACTTGGGGTTTTCGCCCAAAAATTACCCTGAGGAATAAATACCGAACCTCGACCTCCGTTACTTCCTATTGACCTGAAGATTCCGCCATTTGTGCTGCCAAAATTAGACAACGGACTGGGTACGAGTGGGTATGCAAAAATCGAATTCCCCACTCAAGCGTAGTATAGCATGACCCGTCCGGGGCTTAGCATTCGCTGAAAAATACCATGGACATGTGGTATAAAACGAATTCTATGATTGGACAAGTTTGTAATGAGGTATAATATTTATGGAAACACCGTCATATACACGGTGTATAAAAAACGAACCCGTTATTAAAATCAAGCTTTTGTTGGAATTTGAATGCTTTATTATTTTACCAAACTCACGGGTGCTTAAAGTGTAAAGCCAGGCGCTCAATTTGAATGCCTTAACCTAATGATACTATGCTATTTACCAGTGCATTAATCATGCTTTCCAAATCCAACAGAGACTTCATTTCAATAGCGGGTACTTTTTTATACACCCTGTAGGTATTACACACCCTTACACGTGGTATGCTACGCACGTACGGATGCATAGCAGTAATTTATCTATAGTTTCATAATCCTACTCGTAGGTTGATATCACGAACAGAAGCTGCACGATTTCCGTGAAAAGTGGCAGCAACAATCTCAAAATGAATATCACATTTCCCGAGCTCTACCCTGAGAACGCGATCCCGTCCTTTGAGATCACTGATGACACTCCAGTCGATTCGGCAACCAAGGTCAAAATAAGAGAGGTATATTTATTAACTTTTTCCTTTTTCTATTATTTCGCTTCATCAAATGTCATTCAGCACGAGTCACGTGAAGACCTTCGTCAAGAAGAAGTAGAAGTTACCCAGTAGCTAACTCTTCGTGGTAGTAACTGCCCGCCATTTTGTTTATTTGGCAAAATCATGTACCCCTCTCAACCAATCAGCATCCAGTTATAATCGTCTCTCGTCTCACTAATATACATATTATCATGTTTAGATCTTGCGGGAAAACGCACAGTCTTGTCTTATCAACAACGAACGTTGTTTAGAACGATGCTTGAACAGTTTGATCACATTTATGGAGGGCATAAAGGTTAGATTTCATGCATTTACAAAATAATTAAATAAACTCAATATATTTTTTGCATGAAATGCTTTTTACTGTTTTACTGTTTAGTTTAAAAGTATAGAATTATATAAAAGCATGTAATTCGAAGCGATATCTGAATAGACCTTCTGCATAATAACTTATCAAGCCGTGACACCTGCAGGGAATTCTTGTTTTGGTAGTCACGGCGAAAAATTCAAACTTCAAAATTTCCCGCCGTGACTACTAGGACCAGAATTCCCTGCAGGTGTCACAGCTTGTTACGCCATTATGCATAAGGTCTATCGCAGTGATGTGATTGGTTGGCGGAAAAAATCGGCACTAAAAAGTGGAAACGCTCCCTACTATTTATTTGACCCCGCGAATAAATTTGCCTAGTGGAAAACAGGCTTAATGCAGTTCCTTGGTAACTGACCTCCTACATCATTTAAAACGCGACAAATTTTTCGGCAATTCTACCAAATTAGCTAGTGTAACGAAAAATTTCTCACGTTCTAATATCACGCAAATTTCGGCTGGCTATGGTAATCAGTGGCGTAACTAGAACGATAATTGCGGGGTGAATATTCATATATCCAGTTCTGCCCTACGGATTTCTTTTGTAAGTGCAATAGTTGACAATAGAAATCCGTCGGGCAGAACTGAATATATGAATATTCACCCCCCCACCAATTATCGTTTCAGTTACGCCCCTGATGGTAATACCCCTCCTCCCTATAATATATGATGTTAAAAGGTTTGAGAAGTAGTCCAGATGTAATGCCTTTATTTCTGTACTCGATTCGTTATTGTTGACTGCACACAGAAATATTCCATCACATCAGCCACCTTGACATGTTCACGACACTGAAACCAGGCATTTGAATTTGTTTTATATAGGTCCACGATAACAGCGTCTCGTCCTCACAACTTCACCAGTATCCGTCTTCATACACTAGTATTGACGAACTTAACCCGTATCCTCCGTCATATTCTGGTATGGATGTACCTTTTAATAGCGAAGATCCTCGTGTCCCTTTTCCACAAATGTCTGGAGCAACGTTTAGTGCTAATGGTATGTCGCCCGTAAACAACCGGCAAAAATGAACTGTTTGAGAAAAATATTAATATTCCTCAAGCATTTAACGTTCAAAAAGCTTCCAAGTTCTTAGCCAAGTTTAAAATTATCGAAATGAACAATCTATTTTGTCATCGGGCTTCTGCGACCCCGTTTACATTACACCAAATTCGCATGGTCACGACGGCTGGATAGCGCTATCCCCCGGATAGCGATATTTCAACGGTGCAAAAATGCTGGCGAAAAGCGAAAAACTACAGCTTTAGAGACAACAATTATTAAAAATGCTATGCTTTAGTCAAAGTTATACCATATTCAACGGACAATTTTAGAGATATTGAAAAAAACACCTAAATCCAATGGATAGCGTTATCAACGTTTCGTACCATATTCAATTTTGAGGTCGTGACCATGTCGTAATTTTGATGTCGTGACCGGGTTTTTTATAAACACGGCCTGGTTGGTCCCTGTTCTTGGGTTTCATGTGACGTCATAATTCAAGTGGGGTCAACTCCAAAACGAGACACAGTAATCAGAGTGAGTTAATCGTTCACTGTATGTGTTGTCTTTCCGCTCGATGGCATATATGTGCAATTTCGTATCATTTGCTCACTCTAGTGCAGCATAAACGTCCAGACAATTGAGGTCTGACCCCCTCTCAAATCACAATGAAAACGCTTGGTGAAACCCACCAATAGAAAATTGCGGCCAATTACAATTTACATATTTATCTGGTGAACCATTTTCTGTATTCCAGGTTTACTCGTTTGTTTCAATCGGTCCTCAACATCCTTAAAAAGGAAAGGCGAGCAAACTCCAAGGTAGGAATTGAAATATTAATATCCGTGTTCTAAACGCTCACTCACGCTCAAAAAAACTCAATGACTGGGAGAACTGAATCACGTCGTAAATTCCAAGAGGGTATTTCCACTTAAAAAAGCTTGATTTTCAGTGTTTTACCTCGAATTCCTCCCTAAGAAAGTTGCTACTTTCAAATTGATCAGTAATAAAAAATTTCCATGGAATAAATATGACATGCAATTCTTCGTTGTTATGCAAAATCCGACATAAAAACCGTTGTATAATCGATGATATTAATTTCCTAACTGATTTTAAAGCTTCTGGTAACTCTCGTTTATCCGAAAAGGTTTTTTGATGGTCGTCAAGATGCCCTTTATTATAATGGGAAAAGTATATTTAAGGTTGTTGGCAAGCACGAGGGTAGAATATTATTACTTCCGTTTTGTCGTGACGTTACAATAAATATCATTATAGACATTCATTTTTCTTCTTTCATCAAGGTCTTTGTCTGCTTTTTTTGCACACAATCCTAGAAATTTGTCATTTTTTAATGCAGAGGCATTAAAGGTAAATATAGCTTTATTTCAGTTGAATGCATGACGGAGTTCGAATATGTAACTAGAGGTTACAGTCTCCGCGCGGAAAAGTCTAATTAAACTTGTTGAACTGGAATAACTGGAATCAAGCGCGTTGATTATATAGATTAATTAATAAGGCCCGTTTACACTTGCGATTTTTGCTGCGATTTTTGAGCGATTTTCTTCTTTTGATAGATGTGATCGAGTAATAAGTTACGAATGCTCTGATGTGTACTAGCTCCTATTTGTACATCCGTATAATTATAATTCATTCGTTCACATTTATCAACAGAAGAAAATCGCAGCAAAAATTGCAAGTGTAAACAGGCCTGTAGACAAACAACCAGCAGGCTTGTCTATAATTTTAAGATGTCGAAATAAGTCTCTAATCTCTCTATATGTATGAAACCAACCAACCACATGGTATTGTCTGGATGACTACCCACTACTGGCCGCTAGTGAACTCTAACTAGAACGTGAAACGATAACTCGGCCGCCATCTTTGCATGAGGTCAAATTAAGGGCCATCATTAAAGGTCCTAAGCCGAAAATGTTGTCTATTTTAGGCAGTTGTTATGTGAAATTAATTAACAAGAAAGTGTTTGAGTTTTGGAATTTATAAACACTATAGTAGAAGAAGTCTAGGTTGCACTCGCCGCTATTTTAATTGTAGTTCAGATTCAATTTTTACAGATTCGATTCTTCAAAATGACGGTGTCATTGATTAAAGTTTCTATTGCTAGACGGGTATAATGTCAAACAAAGATTCTCGTAAAGCTCTCGTTATTCTACGTGACGTGTCGTCGCTGATGACATTTGATCGTTCGCTTGGTCAAAGTTATACGTAAGTTCACAAAGTTCATAATGACTGATGTTCGTAAATCGTAATGTTTTTGTATTATTTAGTTTCTTTGTTTTTGCCTTAAGATCTTTACGCTGTTTTTTGCCTGTTCTCCTTCATCAGTTGTCTGTTTCATTTGTGGGTAAAAAATCATTTGTGGGTAAAAATACTTTACCGTCATCGTGTATAAAAATGCTTATGCCAAACATTTAGACGCTTGTGGATTCCAACACGGTGCTCAGGCATTCAAACTCAACTGAACAACAGGACCGGTCTGGCCGTTTTTACCATATAAAGGAAAGCGCCCTTTGTTGTTTATTCAGTTTTGTATTTTCGCTTTTCAGTATCCTCAGTGGTGCCGATCCTAAAGAAATATGCGAGCGAAACAGAAAGGCCGCTGCTGCGAGTGGCCGTGCCGATCTAGTTCAGACATGGTCAATTCTAGGCTTGATAATGGATCCTAAACTGAAACCATCGCCATCTGAATCAGAAACTCCATGGGCAAGTCATCCTTTTGGAAGGAAACTTCTTGATTCACTGTAAGATGAGTCCCTGCATGGCTGGGCCCGGTTGTATCAAGCCCGTTTAGCTTAAACGGTGGATAAGTCAAAATGAAATAACACTCTTACATCTCTCTTGAATGAGTCAACTTGAATTTTATTCACTAAATATGTAGTTGTAAACAGTATTTTTGTATTAGGGGTAAAAACATTTTGTTTGCTTCTTGAATGAAACGATAGACTTGCTTTCTATTTTGAACTTAACCACCGTTTAAGCTAAACGGGCTTGATACAACCAGCCCCTGATCTACAACGTGTTTAAAAAGAAACGAAATCGCCACTGTAACATGCCCTATATAATGGATGATATATTGAGTTTAACGATTTGGTATTTGGTCGTAGAAAAGATGACTTTTTTACCTTTCTAACAATATCCGGCTTTAAAAGTAACCAAATAATCGTGTGTTCAAAATTTCTGGTCGAAAGCCAAGTTCTTTCACGGCTTGGAATTTAATTATTTCTTCTCCTTATTTTACATCACTTTCTCATAAGAGTTTGCCTGATTTTTCAAGTCTGTTATGCACATGCTAACTGTTAATATACCACCTGACATAAATTTCGAAATTAAAAATGATTTCCAAACAGATGCCCAACACCATATGCATAAAAACTTTTTTATTGCTATTTCCTCAAACTTTTAGTAGGAATATTATTTCTACGAGATTTTACAGGCTGTTAAAATTTATCTGATATTTTCAACTACAGTTTGGATTACTATAACGGAATGCACGATATTCAGATGTTGGCAATGATCTCTTGTTTGCTTGAATATCAAAGTCTACCGGAAAGATTTATTGCTGATCTATCTACCACAAGTCCTGATGATAATCTTCAAAACGTAGTAAGTATTATAACCACCGTAAATGTCACTTAATTTTTTTTTAATTTATTTATTTGTAGTCGTGGTTGTTTATACGTACACGCACGATTCACGTACAATTATCAATCTCATCGTATAAAACATTAATCAAAATGGTTTGGGGAAATTAGGAAAATTGTGTAAAATAACTTTTTGTAAAAGAAATTTTTCCTCTTTTTCAAAAATTCAGCGAAACGCAAAGAATTTTGGGTTGCTTGAAGAGGAGTCGCCAAGTTTTGAGGAGGCTTTACCGAGCAGTCATTCCCCTTTCTACAGTCTTTCTCCTGATTTTACGATCATCAACTTTCCCGTCGAAGAAAAGCGAAAGCGTCACGAAAATAATTGCAGGTACTCATGCAGGTAGCCACTGTTTGTTGGTGTCTATTTTTGTTTGTTTTCAAACCACTGTTTGTTAATTATTTTTCAAGATTTATTCAAAAAGAAAAAAGACAATTATTCGACCATTATAAGTTATGTTACGCAGATCTTCTGTACAAGTGTGAATTAAGTAACAAAAGAAGCGAAGTTCTAAAGTTCGTCTCAAATCCTCCAAGACACGTGATTTGTGAAAAAGGTAACGTAAAATTAAACATTTAGGTTTTGAAGTGGTACACTTCTTGAATGCATCCTGTATATCACGATGTTCATAAGTTTTCCTTTTTCTTGACAGAGTTACAATTGAGGTGTCCGTCTGGTCATGGTAAATATTCCGGGTCGCGGTGTAAGATTTGTAAAACACAGGCCAGCATTCGTTGTGTCATTTGTCGTATCGCTGTGAAAGGTACATAGGATTAGTCTTGCATACAATGCTTATGATTCCCGCCAAAACGAATAACGTCATGCTAATCATGTTAGGGGCTGTTTACATGAGCCCGGTTACCCGAGATTCAACGAAGCGTGAGAGGACTTTGAGGTATTGAAATAAGTCTTTGTGACACCAAACAAGCACCTGCTATTGTTGTGATGATTATACGACTGCCAGGATCATGTTATCTGCTCATTTTATTACCTCAAAATCATCTCACGCTTCGTTGAATCTCGGGTAACCGGGCTCATGTAAACAGCCCCTTAGCCAATCAAGGGCTGCTTTGCCTGAGCTAAATACAATCAGCAAATGTTCGTTGCAAACATTAACATAAGACATCTTCACAAGTTTAACATAAGACATATAACAATGTTTTTAAATGTTTAAATGAGTTTAGACATCATCGGATGCCCTGAAAACGATAGACCAGACGTGCAAATTGAAAATTTGCTATTGAAATTTTGCCGAACCTTTCTAATTTCTGGGGTAATGGGGCAAATGCCTCTCCCGCACGACATCCCCATTCCCCCCCGTGCCTCTCACACACGACACGCCTATGGACTGCTCCATGATCTTGGCTTATTCGAACGGTTTTCAAATATAAAATTCTACGTTTTAGGCGCGTTTAACTTTTGCTTATCGTGTGGTCACGGTGGGCATACACTGCATATTATGAAATGGTTTGAAACAAAGGACGTGTGTGCAACAGGCTGTGGTTGTCATTGTCTGACTGAAAGCCAATTATCTGATAGTCTGCCTTAATGAAGAGAAATAATTGAAATAAGATCAATAAGGAAGAGCTTCACGCAATCATAAAACAACCAAAAGTGATTCTTCAAGCTCGTTACACTATACGGGATTCGCCTTAATTGTGACGACATCGAAATTAGTGATGTCAAAGCATGTTTTATCCCCAAAATTATGATAGCATGATTGCTTTAACATGATCTACCAAATGAAAACGTTCTGGGGACAGAGATACCGTAAAACAACCTAAACTGATCTCTTGACCATGTGAATTCGGTCCTGTGCATGTAAATAGGGTCTGTAACTGCATTTTCAAACAAGGCCGTCAATCCATGAGGGAAATTGGGTGACGATTTAAAATTAAAGGATTTTTTACGGAAATGGTCTTTTTACAGTCGTTTAACACGTTTTTACCACTTTTTGCTTACTGTATATTACCCTGACGTGAGCCAGGACGTGACATTCCCCCCGTCCCCCAGTATTGACGGCCACCTTTTGGGCATATTCACACAGTACGATGAATTCATATGGATGAATTACATGATTTTCATTCTGAATTTCTGATGATGATATCCTCGCTGTGGGGGGAGGGCATAAATAAGTATAAATGTTGATGAAGGCCGAAGGGGGTACTTTGGTAATCAGTTGCCTGATTTTAAAATAATATGCAAAATAATATGCTTTCGCGCTCGACAGATGATATTAGTGAAATTACACTCGGCAAAGACTGGCTTATAGAATACAAAAATGCTACTACATTGTCGTGAACCAAAGCAATCTTTACTTTTTATCAATGCTTTTTTTAAACAGGGGATTTACTGGGTGGGGGGCACCGCAAAATACTTAACTAGAGGGGCCAACATGGGGGCTAGGGGGGGGGGGGGGCTGGCAGTCTACATGTCAAAAGAGGTCCTGGTTTAGCGTCTGTGCGCGCTTTATTCGATCACATTGAAAGAATTAGAACATGTTAAAGCGAGATTCGACCGCTGATGTTTTGCATCAATACATGCACTTACTCTACTGCCCAGCCACTTCCCTGCCTTAATCTAACCACTTAAAACCAATCCACATTCGTATGTCGTATGAAGCGAGAGATGGATCTAAAAGATCTGCCGCAATATCCAATTAATCCGGTAATCCGTGACCTGATTGCAGTTGATTGCAAAATCAGCTACTCCTTCCAGAAATAAATAGATCAGTGTTTTGTACACTTACAATGATCGGAACGTGTCGAATTTCGTCGGGATATCTTCGGTGTATCGACGTGTAATGATTGTATCCGCCATTTTGAGAGACATTTAGGCCATTGTCTCGGAGTAAATAGAAATCGCAGAGAGATTCAATTAAAATATAATGTCGAAACTAGAGCAAGTACTACAGATTGATCCAGCTCATGAGTTGCATTTTAAAGGTATGTGGAACTTTAATAGAAATTTGAATTTTGTCGTTTCACTTCTTTGTTTGTCTCCACTAATTCTTCCATCCATCGAAGCCTCGAAGGATTATAAATAGGTTTTAATATTTTATAGTATTTGGGATTCAGTGCTTGAATTTAGGGCAACATACGAACGCACGAGTGTGTCCTTTCACTATGCTAGTTGTTCTTTCGCATCAATAGTAAACTGTTTACAAAATTTTGGCTAACATCATATCATAAGACACATGTAAAGTTGAAGTACTAGACTGCACAAACAGGACTAGACGTGAATGACATGGGCGAAAAATTAGTTTGAAGGCGGTGACAAATCCATTTATTTAATACCAGACAGAGACTTTGTATATAAAAAGAGGAAATGTGCCAATGTGGAAAGGGCAGCCAACCATTATGATTAAAATCATTTAAAACGCTAGGTCTTGTTTTGTCCTATTACTGGTAGATTAGTTCTGCTCTACCCGTAGATCACATACAATTGTCCAGTATCTAAGCAGATTTGATCCCCACATGTCTGATAAAATCATTGAAATTGGCACATGGGCCAAATTAAAGATTGTTAATGATAAAATATAAAATACAAAATGAAAAAGAAATTATTTTTCAATCAAAAGAAATTGACTGGCCACTCATACTTCCTAACATTCAGTCAGCTATGTTTTATTTAGTGTATCAGACTAATATTTGTATAATATATAATCTCTTTTGTTGATGAACATGTAAGCTGGGCATGCAATAGCAAATTTTGTTTCATTTTGCACATAATGTATTCAAAATATCTGATTGTTAGACTTCTGTCTGATTGTTAGACAAAAATTTGACTTGCTTTTTAAAAAGAAATTTTAATGTATAAAAGCATATTAAATCCCAGGCCCAGCTGCTACATTTTGGATAAGCATTTCAAAATTAATATTCTGGTATCAAGAATTAAGAACTTAAGTCTGTATTAACATGTGTTGTATTAACTATTGGTACTATTCCTAGGTTTCTAATAACAAATTACAACACTAAATATAGTATAGTAGCTCCATCAGGGCACAATGCAAACTGATGAGTCCGTTGAAGTAACTTTATGCATCTACTAATTGTCAATACTTTCCAGCTAATATGTTCCCTGATCAAATTAGTCTTTTGAGAATGACAAACAGAAAAACAGTTTTATGACAATGACAAACAGAAAAACAATTTTATGAGAATGGCAAAAGTTGTTTTTGCAATTCCAATTATTTTGTTACTGAAAGTAAAAAGGAAAATGGCTGTTTCATTTTCCGTGAAGTATAATTGCAGTAAATCGAAGTTAATGAGTTCATGGCAACCAGGTATATAATCCATTGTAATTATCGCTACTCTGGTTTTAATAAATGAAAGTAATCACCACTAAGTTAATCTTTGTGTGGTGATTACTTTCATTTATTAAAACCAGAGTAGCGATAATTACGATAGATAATTGCAGTAGTTCCTAGAAATGAAAAGTTTCTAATTTTGAAAAAAGGGAATTCCAGGTTTGAAGCAGTGGTGTAGTCAGCCTGAAGATTTGTCCTGCTGCGCTAATATTTTGGTGTTCATTGACTGTGAAAACAATGAATTTCTAAAGAATTTAATAATTCTAATGACTAGAAATTTGCATGGCATCACCAAATTGCCAGGCTGGTGTGGCCACTGCCCTGATACTGGTTTAAAGGCAAACCAAAGTTCATACATTTGCAGGAAGTGGACTTATTTGTCAAGAAAAATTATTATTGACACATGCTCTGGGCCAAAACTAGATGCTGTGGTTTACGTATTCATAGTCACATACCATGAAAATAATTGCTTTTAAATTAGACCTAAAATGAATATATGGATATACACACCTCATTTCAACTGTTAGGTTTATCTTGACATGAAGTTGTTTAAATTTGGTTTCTAAAGTGAAGTGTATTTGATATATTTATGCAGGTTGTAGCCTGTTACATATGTGTGTGTTATCGTTTGCTCTGTACTTTATTAGGTCCATTTACTGAAGTGGTTTCATCAACCATAAAACTTCACAATCCGACAGACAAGAAAGTATGTTTTAAAGTAAAAACTACAGCACCAAAGAAGTACTGTGTGCGACCTAACAGTGGAATTGTCGACCCAGAGATGACTGTTTCTGTAGCTGGTATGTTTTTCATGTTATTTTATAATTAACATTTTCGTTCAAAAATAGAAGGAAGAAATTATTCACTACTTCTGGTTCGCACGCCACTGCCCCCCCCCCCCCTGTGAGACTGCCTTGCTGAGCAAAAGTTTGTTGTCTGAAGTTTGACATGTGAATAGACTTTCTCTACCTTTCTTCCAGTGATGTTACAACCTCATGATTTTGATGCTAAGGAAAAGTCAAAACACAAGTTCATGGTGCAGTCGATGATTGCTGTTGGAAATACAGAAAACCTTGAGAACATAGTAAGAGAGTGGTTTCTTAGCTCTTGCGTTATTTGTTTTACAACGTGCGCATGCCTGAACTCACTGAACCCACATACACATTGAGTAATACGTGTACACATACCAGCCTTAATCTCACTACCCTACACACTTTATTGCGGTGGCACGGCCATGCCAATAAATGAGTGTAGTGTTACGGGGCTACCGGAACCCGTTGATATTGACTCGATAAGAACATCTTAGACGGGTTTTAGATGGTTATTGACCTATTGCATAATAAACAACAACTGAATTGGTCCAGGCAAATGTCAAATACAATATTTCTGCAATAACACAAAGTTAGTCAAGAAGTAATTCAAGGTTTCGTAATTCGTTGCGAAGAGCTTGCGGATTTCGTATCAATCAATATTACGCAGCCGTTGAAGATTTGATAAAGATTAGTTTAATGAAGATATTCAATTTTTCAGTCGTGTAAGTCTGTGTTCAGGCTTGTACTGATGTTTAAAACATGTTGAACGCAGTGCCAGGTTGTACCCGTTCTTCGAACCCGTGACCAATTCTACTAGGCAGCCTGTGTTCAAGTGACCTAGGTGCTAAAAAAGCCCGGATACCAGTGCTAGAACTCACAAACTCTGGATGCAGCTAAGCAAGTCATTGGGCAACGCGGATATGTCAAAAAAGCAGTCGCTAATATTTCTAATCCAGCTCTTCTTTGTCACTCGTATCTGACTTTGTTTACCAACTCGAGTGAAGTGCAGTGAAAGTATAAAAATGGTCGTGGGTCGAATCCATTTAATTAAAGGTCGTTGATAGTAAATACAAAATTGTTTTAATGACTTGTTTTTATCCTTTATTTAGTGGAAAGAGGCAAGTCCAGATCAAATAATGGACTCGAAACTAAAGTGTGTTTTTGATTTGGTGGATGAAAGAGCGCAGAGGTAATATTTCTAGTAACATGAAGTAATGGCATACAATAGTGCATTAGTTTGTGCCAGATTTCTCGAACGAAAGGCTTAGATACATTTTTAGAACTAATCTAGGAGAGGTCAAGCTATTTCCTAGAAAAGCCTGGCTTGCGAGGTTGGTTATTTCCCCGTGTTCTTGTTACGAGAAGTTGATGAAAGATGTCCCCGATACCTTAAACACAAAATCTTAATTGTTATCGCCAGCGTCGAATAAACGTGAATGTGTATTACTCTATTATTGAATAACACTGACTCACGCGAGTTTTCCTAAATGAGATGTCCTAAATGTCTTTACCACCAAGCTTCACATCGTGGAAATAGAATATTTAATAATTATTCGCCGAAGGCCAGGTGAATGTCGATGTTATGTATATGAACACGTTTTTTAATCCATATATAGATTCCATCAGTTAAAAAACCGATTGAGAAAAAAGAGATACCCACAAGTAACGAACCCGCCCCAGCAGAATCACATGAACCACAGAGTAATATAACGAGACAGCCAGATATAGAAAAACCAGCATCATCAAATGTAAGTACTTCTTTCATGTGCTCGCATATTCATGCGGTCGGTACCTACCTATAGAACGAGCTTTGCTATTGGTTGATGAGAACAATAAAACACAATTATGTATAGAAATTGATTTTTTAATGAACAAATTATAAACAACAATATTCTTAAAATTATAAACACTTTTCACTATTGTTACAAACGGTCAATCACAAAACTCCGTCATATTGGGCAGATACTTATTGAAGTTAATCAGTTCACGGCAACCAGGTATATAATCCATCGTAATTATCGCTACACTGGTTTTGATAAATGCATGAAAGTAACCATCACACAAAGATTAACTTCACGACCCAACGTTTCGACACTCCGGTCTAGTGTCTTCATACTTCATGACATTTATTCAACTTCAATATTTCGCTAAGGTCTAACACAAGAATGTTTTGCCACGCGTAACTCCAAATTATTTCAAGTCCCCGTTTGTTACACGGTGCAATTTTCTTACAACCTGCAATGCAATTCTACTTTTAAGAGATGTAAATTTTCGGAATTTTTGGACGTTTATAGGCTCCATGGACGTTTCTTACGCTCACATTTTGTAGATTCTTCACTAATTTACATCTTTTAAACGTAGAATTTGCAGCGTGTAACATGGGTAATTGGATGATTTTAATCATACTCGTATATTGAATTTCTTTTCAGACGAACGATAAAAACACAGAATCCGGAAATTTGAGGTTAAGAGGAGAAAATAAAGTTTCAAAGGTACGGAAAAAACATACTTCTTATTTTAAAGAATAAATTCCGGTCGAAAACTATCCGACTATTTGCCAATTTATTACACGAGTGTCAGTTGTTAGGATCCTAGGTAACTGCAAACCTTTCTCAAAAGGTTTTGTGCACAAGAGAAGTAGCCTCAAACTGATCAGCTTTATTAAGACTTTCAATTCATCAAATGAGGCCACTTGGTTTTGAAAAAAACCATTAAAAAACTAACTAATATCTTGAGTTTACAAGATGTTGTTTTTCGGAGCATATTTTTTCCTATATTTTATGAAATTATCTGCTGGTAAAGTTTTTGGACAAATTTTGGACAAAAATTTTGTCCAACACAACGTGCACAACCTGCTAGTAGTTTCAAGAGAGACCGGTGAAATTAGACCGCAAGGGGTTTAACTTTAAATATTTTTGGCCTACCTGCAAGAAATCAAATATAGGAGGCATGATTTGTTATAGTTCATAAAACCAGATCTGCTCAAATCTACTTAGACGCCCCGTTGTGGTCTCGATGTTTTAAATATTGAAATCAGGGGGGGCCGTTTTATGTGCATCTGACTAGTTCTAGTAAATAATTACCAGATCTGGTCACAGTGTATGGGTAAATTATCTTTAAAAAAAATTATTAGCAAAGCTCGTATAGGTTAGCTCATAGACAATCCAAAAGACATCTTTTGACATGATGAGACAAAGATGTCTTTGACATGATGAGACAAAGCTCGTATAGGTTAGCTCATAGACAATCCAAAAGACATCTTTTGACATCATGAGACAAAGATGTCTTTTGGATTGTCTATGGTTAGCTTCACAAGCCCCTCATTTCACAAGCAAGGTGTTTTATGATAAATGTTGATTATTTTCTGGAAGAGCTGGGGTGCTGTAACTAGTAATCAGTTAGTGTACCGGGAAATATAAATTTTATAGATGTTTGTGGTTTAGAATAAAAACACACAAGTATGATCCTACATTTTCCAGAATTGGCCCCAAGAGGTTCTTCTGTAAACAGTGATTGACTATCTAGGTTCCTAAATGGTTCTTATTTCTGTGTAAAAGAAAAAAAGATCCAGCTATGAGATAAAACTGCTCTTCTACAGTTAGCCCCAAGAGGTTCTTGTGTAAATGGTAGTTAAATATCTAGATTCTTAAATAGGTTTTTATTTCTGTGTAAAACAAATTTTCTAGGCTAAATAGGTTCTTGTTTATAGGATATATAAATTGCAAATTTGAGGGTAAGGGGTGGTTAATTTTTAGGATCTCTCGCTTGTGATTTTTTTCTGTTTCGCAAGATGTTTTGTTTCATTCACCAACCTCAAACGTACCCAGGATTTTTCCTTGTACATGGTTGGTGTTTCACGAACGCGGAATATACCTTTAATTTTATATTCATTTAAAAATATATACTACAAATTAAGGCCAACAGACGCATCTACACTCTAAATTTCGAAGTGTCCAAGAAACACCGAATAATTGTATATACACACAATTTTGGTGTAAATCAGTATATTACAGCCACAAAGTACAAATTTACCCGTCGAGGTGTATTATTACACCAATATTGTGTTTTCTCAACACCGGTTGAGTGTATAGCTAAAGTTAATCTTCTTTAGCGTAAATTTACGCCAAAAGTGGGTAAATAAACACCGTTCTTGTGTAATAAAGCACAACTTTGGTGTAAACATTATCGCTATAATATATTAAGCTTTAAATAGCGCGTAGACTAGATAGTCGTTCGAAATATAGGCGGGTAATTTTAGATTGTTTTTCAGGATGAAGGGATTCGTTCAAAACCTATAACAACAACACCTCCAGCGGAAGTACTTCAGTTGTTACAACCCGCTGACTCTGAGAACCAGTTCCCGCCTGTTGTCTACCTAATCCTTGCACTCATACTTGGGATTATCATAGGAAAATTTCTTTTGTAAAATATTAGAATGACGAAAGGACGATATTTGAACTTATGTTATATAAGAACACCAAATGAAATGACTTAATAGGAACTCTCTGAAAAGCAAATTTCTCCATCAAATGATAAATATTAAAATCAGTATGATTTTGTCCATGCAATTAAGGAAGTTGGCAATAATGCCCCCCTTCCCACTCTTAAAACAATATCTAAAACTAGGAAAATCTATCGGTACAGCTGGAAAAAAGCATCCAAAAGTTAGTAAAATTGAAATATTTGGTTGCGAAATATTGGAAAATGTGGAAGTTGACAAATTTTGTGTAATTAGGTATTTGATTTTTTGTCGTTTAATACGAGTTTGCACAAAATTTTTCAACCTGAGACGGGGGTGAAATTTTTGAAAATTTTTTGAAAATTTTCAAAATTTCGCGACCAAACTTTCCAATCTTTGGGATCATCTTCCTAGCTGTACTCATCCAAGGGGGATTTTTTTGGATATGTCAAACTAAAGACCTCCGCTATAGTTAGATTCAGTCCGGCGGTGTTGTCACGCCAATCCCATGATACATATTCCATGGTTGAAAAGCACTTACAATGCTTTTGGTTAGGACAAGTTTAGGGCTTTACCAACCAGGAGTTATGAAAAAATCCCCGAAAGAACTTGAGTGGGGAAATTTTTATTGCTAATTTCCTTGGATGGCAAATATTGCATGGCGTTTGAGCTTATTCCCTTTATTAGCTTCTAATTGTATTCATGTAAAAAAGCGCATGAAATATTATGTTGAAATATGTATAAGTACGTATGTTAAGGCCGTGTTACACGATGTGATTTTTCTGGGAACTTTCAATGGAATTATACTTTTAGGAGATGTAAATTCGTGAAGAGTCTTCAAATTTTAGTGTAAAAAACCTCCATGGATGGAGTGTAATAAACATAAAAGTTTCGTAGTTGCCAAATTTACATCTCTCAAAAGTAAAATAGCATTGCAAGTTGCAAGAAAAAATGCACCGCGTAACAAGTTCTTTACTGTATACACACAGTTAGTGGCAAATTACATTGGAGATATAACTCACCATTTCACATATTGTGGGACGTGTTTTAATGCCTCGTCTTCTCTCTGTACGATATAAGTCTCTAGACGGGTAATTTGTCTCTCAGGGTTCGTGAAAAAAGGCATGGAATCGGCAGGCATGTGAGGCCAGGCGCGCACAACGTGATTCTTTCGATCGATCAAAATTCTCGTGGCGGTGACTTAATGAAATGAACTTTGCCGAGATGTATTGTTATCGTCGAATATCACATTTTTAACCTATATAGTTCATATCGTGATAATTGTGGTGGACACGTCATTTTCACCTTTTATTATTTTGATTTCGATATAAATTTCTTTGTATGAACTCACTGGACATGCATGCAGTTATATGTTTAACACACGCGGCAAGCGTTTTTACTACTACTACTACCTCGTATATTTGAACTAGGGAGACGTTAATATTAAAATATTCGGTCTTCCAGCTGTTTCCAAAACTGAATGTTGCAAGTTAGCATGAATCGTACTAGCTGTTGTTCCGGTCAGGCGGGCGGGATGGAACATTTATATAGCAAAAAAAACATTTCGTTTAAAGCGGGATTGAAACTGGGATGAAAAAAAGTCTCGGGCTCATATAAAAAGAATGCGATAATAATCAGAGAATGCGTAAATACACTTCAAATCAAACCACATGGACATGGTCACGGTTAGCATAGTCCCGTTCAACAATCTTTATGTAATATATTGTAGAATCTATATGTTGTATATATACAGTCATTTCGATCAAGTCCTTGAACGAACACAAGCTCTGACTTACGCATATCTAAGCCGATCTCTGGTTAATTTCCACTCGTTTAACAAGTTTAAGATGGCTCATCGCGTTGGTTTATCCAAGTTCAACAACTTTGGTAAGAGTCCGTAAGACACACAGTTTAATTTTACAATTTTACCCCTTATGAATACACTTCCACGCAGGTTTGATTCTTTATGATTCTCCCATAAACACACACCATTTTTACTCCTTTCATATCTTCATGTTTCTGTTAGAAAATATTGTGGACAGACAAATGATTCATACATAAAAGTTGAAAACGAATTGTGGTGTCGTTATATAGTATAAAGTCCCAACGAACGAGAACCGCCCGCGATTTCATAACCGCCACCTCCAATTTATCCCTCTATAGTTTCGGCCCTTTCCACGCCAACATAGTTGGCGCCGAGTGAGAAGCACAGGTGCAACCATAGTGGTGCCTTGTGAAAATACCCTCACCTTTATTTTACAAAACTTTTACGCCTGTGTCATTTAGGTAACATTTTGTCACTATAGCCTATTCGGCCCTATTGATTTATATTGACCAGGTTATCACTATATCGAAACAAATAAAACTCCAACATCCATATGAGTCAGTATACCATATAAGTCAGTCCAGTGTTTAAAAATATATCACTTAAACCCAGCGTACCCAGACATCTTTATCATGAAGTTGATCAAAATCACATGACAGTGTCTCGTTCGCCACATGACGAAAAGCTTGGACCGGTTGATTTAAAGAATATAATTGGATGAAAGACGCAATTCCTGCACATGGGCTCTTTTTTGCTCTTTTAAAGTTAACATTGTGCAAAATAGTAGGGGTGTATTGAAGAAGGGTCATATCTTCGCAATGTTTACCTCTTACAGTTTTCGGCCTGCTGGCAGAGAGCCCCTTGTAGTTAAGATTGCTGCTTTCAATATGCACTACTTATTAAATATTGACATCCCGATAAATACTTTCTTTTTGTGAAATTATACATTTTCCAATCTTGGTGGTTTTTAGTCTACTTAATACCATCCGTGCAAATCCAATTTTATAGTAGCTATAATATGCAGAAGATCAGTAAATCACTGTCACTGCATGAACACCCCCTAGTAAATACTTTATGACCTGTCCCTTATGAAGTTTTAAACTCGTCTCAGCTGGTTGGGTCAACGTGGGCATGTGACACGTTGTTTACGAAAAAGAGTAACCCTAGTGGTAGGGAGAAATTTGTAGACCCATGTAGCCTAACACTGTCTCGGCCTCCAGGGTTAACTTTTCCTACCGGGGCATGCGCAATAGCGAATAGAATATTGCTTAAAAAGACACCATCGCTTGCTATTGCGGTGCCCGCGCCAAGTTTGGCACCGCATTATATTGCGGTGCCCGCGCCAAGTTTGGCACCGCATTATATTCTGCCTGTGAGTTTGTTTGTTCGCATCAATACGTTTCCTTAATCGCCAAGTAAAAATTCCTTGCACATACTTGGAATGCTTGGAATTTTTTCCTAATTATTACTATTAATCTTGTTGTACGTTTGGCAAATTCCTTTTTTAAAGGAACGTTCTTTTTTCAATTTCAATCTCAAACTCTGATAATTGCGTGTATCTCTGCTTTTATGCACCCAAGAAGGACAAAAATACCACCATTCGATTCAGCGTAAGAAATTATACTCACAGGTCTTAAATATATTACTAAACAAGAGTATTCGCAGCGATTTATGACGTTTGAAAGACAAACGAAATTGAATTGTTGACAAATCGCTCAAAATTACTATGCTATACTTTACTAGTAATAGTAAGTTTGGTCTTTGATATCTTTCATATCGTTGGTTTTCTCTTTTAATTTTCGTCCTTAAATAAGTGGATCGGTCTTACATTACGATTTATTTTATAGTACTTTGAGCCAAATATATTCTATTTCGAAGGTTTTAAAGTATAGTTTCAATAAGCGAACTTTATGACAAATCGCTCAAAATTATTAAACAAATTAAAAATGCAGTACGCTTAATCCTTGACTTCTGTATCGTTGCTTTTCTAGTTTCCGGCTCTACGCCAGTTTATTCGTCTCACGTTTCTCTTCATTTTGATAGTATTCTTAGATAGTATTTTTAGCCTAAATATTTTATTTCTGAAGATTTTAAAACGGCGCAATTTTGACCTTAATGTACCAACCAACCAGGCTGCGGCCGACAGGAGAATGTAAGTTGGTGATGTCGTTAGAAATGAGCGGACGTTTTATTTCTAGACAAGCATTGCGGGCACCGCATTTTAGTACTGAGTCGGTAGTTACTTTATGTGACCCCTATTATAATGTATCACATATTATAGTGTATCACATACTTAGTCCTCCTCAGTCTCCCTCAGCCATCCTTAGCCCTCCTTAGACATCCTTAGCCCTCCTTTGGCCTCCTTACACCACCTTAGCACTCCTTAGCCCTCCTTAGCCCACCTTAGACCTCCTTAGCTATCCTTAGCCCTCCTTAGACATCCTTAGCCCTCCTTTGGCCTCCTTACACCACCTTAGCACTCCTTAGCCCTCCTTAGCCCTCCTTAGGCCTCCTTAGCCCTCCTTAGCCCACCTTAGACCTCCTTAGCCATCCTTAGCCCTCCTTAGACATCCTTAGCCCTCCTTAGCCCTCCTTTGGCCTCCTTACACCACCTTAGCACTCCTTAGCACTCCTTAGCCCTCCTTAGGCCTGCTTAGCCCTCCTTAGCCCACCTTAGACCTCCTTAGCCATCCTTAGCCCTCCTTAGACATCCTTAGCCCTCCTTTGGCCTCCTTACACCACCTTAGCACTCCTTAGCCCTCCTTAGGCCTCCTTAGCCCTCCTTACCTCCTTAGCCCACCTTAGACCTCCTTAGCCATCCTTAGCCCTCCTTAGACATCCTTAGCCCTCCTTAGCCCTCCTTTGGCCTCCTTACACCACCTTAGCACTCCTTAGCCCTCCTTAGGCCTCCTTAGCCCTCCTTAGCCCACCTTAGACCTCCTTAGCCATCCTTAGCCCTCCTTAGACATCCTTAGCCCTCCTTAGCCCTCCTTAGGCCTCCTTAGCCCTCCTTAGCCCTTCTTAGCCCTTCTTAGCCCTCCTTAGACATCCTTAGCCCTCCTTAGCCCTCCTTGGCCCACCTTAGGCCTCCTTAGACCACCTTAGCCCTCCTTAGGCCTCCTTAGCCCTCCTTAGACCACCTTAGCCCTCTTTAGCCCTCCTTAGGCCTCCTTAGCCTTCCTTAGCCCTCCTTAGACATCCTTAGCCCTCCTTAGCCCTTCTTAGCCCTCCTTAGACATCCTTAGCCCTCCTTAGCCCTCCTTAGGCCTCCTTACCACTCCTTAGCCCTCCTTGGACCACCTTAGCCCTCCTTAGACCACCTTAGCCCTCCTTAGCCCTCCTTAGGCCTCCTTAGCCCTCCTTAGCCCTCCTTAGGCCTCCTTAGCCCTCCTTAGCCCTCCTTAGCCCTCCTTAGCCCACCTTAGCCCTCCTTAGGCCTCCTTAGCCCTCCTTAGGCCTCCTTAGCCCTCCTTAGACATCCTTAGCTCCCCTTAGCCCTCCTTAGGCCTCCTTAGCCCTCCTTAGCCCACCTTAGCCCTCCTTAGCCCTCCTTAGGCCTCCTTAGCCCTCCTTAGACATCCTTAGCTCCCCTTAGCCCTCCTTAGGCCTCCTTAGCCCTCCTTAGCACTCCTTTGGCCTCCTTAGCCCACCTTAGCCCTCCTTGGGCCTCCTTAGCCCTCCTTAGGCCTCCTTAGCCCTCCTTAGCCCTCCTTAGACATCCTTAGCTCTCCTTAGCCCTCCTTAGGCCTCCTTAGGCCTCCTTAGACATCCTTAGCTCTCCTTAGCCCTCCTTAGGCTTCCTTAGCCCTCCTTAGACATCCTTAGCTCTCCTTAGCCCTCCTTAGGCCTCCTTAGCCCTCCTTTGGCCTCCTTAGACCACCTTAGCCCTCCTTAGACATCCTTAGCCCTCCTTAGCCCTCCTTAGACCACCTTAGCCCTCCTTAGCCCTCCTTAGACTACCTTAGCCCTCCTTAGACATCCTTAGCTCTCCTTAGGCCTCCTTAGCCCTCCTTAGCCCTCCTTTGGCCTCCTTCGACCACCTTAGCCCTCCTTAGACATCCTTAGCCCTCCTTAGCCCTCCTTAGACCACCTTAGCCCTCCTTAGCCCTCCTTAGACTACCTTAGCCCTCCTTAGACATCCTTAGCTCTCCTTAGGCCTCCTTAGCCCTCCTTAGCCCACCTTAGCCCTCCTTAGACATCCTTAGCTCTCCTTAGCCTTCCTTAGCCTACCTTAGACCTCCTTAAAGTGCTACTGCAACGAAATTTTCGACCCGATTTTTATTAGCCTAAACAAATATTCAGCCTTTTAGAAACAATTTGATGTATATATGACTTTTGTGTGTTAAGTAGAAGTTGACTAATTTTACCCTCAAACCTCGGTATCAAATGCGAACTTTTATAGCCGCCATGTTTGCTGATGTGACGTCATAACGAGTACCGATATTTCGAAGCTTATGGTAATATATATAGCTTGTGTGTTGTCCGCTTCAAATTTTCGAGCTTGACGCGGAGAACCAAATCATTTTATTTTGAAATGGAAGTTAATTCTGTTAACTAACATATATTGAAGAAATGCCTGGTAAAGGGTCTGAAAATATACGCCGATTTGTTAGAAAATTCAAACTAGTCTTAGCCCGTCTGACAGAGATATAATGTAGTAATATATGCCATATATAAGCATGTATATCTTGTGCCGCATAGTCCTTTATGCCACAAAGTCCTACGTAAGACGATCTTGAAGAACTTAAAAAAACTGCTTAGCCTTTCAGTAAAACAAGACGAAGGCAATGATATGATGTCCTTGTTACTGATAATATTGGTGTATGCTATGCGATATATTCCCGCAAACCATAAACAGTAATATACTGGCTATTGTAAATGCCACATTGCCACTGTTTTGCAATAGCGCGTATCGAAATATATCAAACTGAAACACACACTAACACAGGTCCTTTTATCTACATGCATAAATACTCAAGAAACACCATCCTTGCTGATTTAAATTGAACTTCAATGTCTTATGAAACGGCACTCGCCGTGCACATTCACCAAGGCCAACATCAGCTTTATTCAGCATGAATGCATGTGCGCGCAAAGTATCTCCGCATTGATGGTAAATCAGCCTTTGCCTATATATCAGTTAGCTTTCAACTTGTGCTACGATCAGTTCAGACATCAAATGTATGCACAGAATCTTCTTTCGATACTCTTTTATTTAAGGGATCTTGCTAAACAAGAGTCATATACGAATCTTTGAAATCGACTTAGCCGCGCAAAGAACCGCACCATGAAACAGAAAGTCGGAACAAAATTCAATATTTTCTTCGACTTTGGCGATCCATTTTTTCGTTAGGAACATATGTATAGATATTTAATAATTTTGATGAATACTGGCTTAGTAGGGACTGTAAGAAACGCAGCTTCTTCGTCGATGACTACTTAACACTAGTTTTTACGCCATGCTAAGAATCGGTACTCTTTTCTACGTCACAAACTACATTATGGCGGAGCAAAAGTTCGCATGTCTAAGTGGCAAAAATCGCGACTTTGGAAAGCTATAAAAATCTTTTGAGAAAGCCAATTTTGATTATGTTTTCAAAATGAAATCAGGAAAGTGAGGACTTTAAATTGAGCCAATAAAAATGGGGTCGAAAATTTCGTTGCGGTAGCACTTTAAAAGGTATGTTATGTATTTTCCGTGTAATGTGATATATTTTTGGAAAGAAATAAGAAGATGTATAGACGGCTAAGGAGGTCTAAGGTAGGCTAAGGCGGTCAAAGGAAAGCTAAGGAGGGCTAAGGAAGTCTAAGGTGGGCTAAGGAGGGCTAAGGCGGTCTAAGGAGGTTTAAGGAGGGTTAAGGAGGTCTAAGGAGGGCTAAGGAGGGCTAAGGAGGTCTAAGGTGGGCTGAGGAGGTCTAAGGTAAGCTAAGGAGGGGTAAGGAGGCCTAAGGGCTAAGGAAGGCTAAGGATGTCTAAGGAGGGCTAAGGAGGGCTAAGGAGGCCTAAGGAGGGCTAAGGAGGGCTAAGGTGGTCTAAGGGCTAAGGTGGTCTAAGGAGGGCTAAGGGCCTAAGGAGGGCTAAGGTGGGCTAAGGAGGCCAAAGGAGGGCTAAGGAGGCCTAAGGAGGCCTAAGGAGGGCTAAGGGGAGCTAAGGAGGCCTAAGGAGGGCTAAGGGGAGCTAAGGAGGCCTAAGGAGGGCTAAGGAGGGCTAAGGTGGTCTAAGGAGGGCTAAGGTGGTCCAAGTAGGGCTAAGGAGTGGTAAGGAGGCCTAAGGAGGGCTAAGGAGGGCTAAGGTGGTCTAAGGAGGGCTAAGGAGGGCTAAGGAGGCCTAAGGAGGGCTAAGGAGGCCTAAGGAGGGCTAAGGTGGGCTAAGGAGGCCAAAGGAGGGCTAAGGAGGCCTAAGGAGGCCTAAGGAGGGCTAAGGGGAGCTAAGGATGTCTAAGGAGGGCTAAGGAGGGCTAAGGAGGCCTAAGGAGGCCTAAGGAGGGCTAAGGTGGGCTAAGGAGGCCAAAGGAGGGCTAAGGAGGGCTAAGGAGGCCTAAGGAGGCCTAAGGAGGGCTAAGGGGAGCTAAGGATGTCTAAGGAGGGCTAAGGAGGGCTAAGGAGGCCTAAGGAGGGCTAAGGAGGGCTAAGGAGAGCTAAGGATGTCTAAGGAGGGCTAAGGAAGGCTAAGGAGTCCTAAGGAGGGCTAAGGAGGGCTAAGGTGGTCTAAGGAGGGCTAAGGAGGGCTAAGGAGGCCTAAGGAGGGCTAAGGAGGGCTAAGGTGGTCTAAGGAGGGCTAAGGTGGTCTAAGGAGGCCAAAAGGCTAAGGAGGGCTAAGGATGGCTAAGGATGGCTAAGGAGGCCTAAGGAAGGCTAAGGTGGTCTAAGGAGGGCTAAGGTGGGCTAAGGAGGCCAAAGGAGGGCTAAGGAGGCCTAAGGAGGCCTAAGGAGGGCTAAGGAGGGCTAAGGAGAGCTAAGGATGTCTAAGGAGGGCTAAGGAGGGCTAAGGAGGTCTAAGGTGGGCTAAGGAGGGCTAAGGAGTCCTAAGAAGAGGGAGGGCTAAGGGGCCTAAGGAGGTCTAAGGAGGGCTAAGGAGGCCTAAGAAGGGCAGGGCTAAGGAGTGCTAAGGTGGTGTAAGGGCCAAAGGAGGGCTAAGGAGGGCTAAGGATGTCTAAGGAAGGCTAAGGATGGCTAAGGAGGTCTAAGGTGGGCTAAGGAGGGCTAAGGAGGCCTAAGGAGGGCTAAGGAGGGCTAAGGAGTGCTAAGGTGTGCTAAGGTGGTGTAAGGAGGCCAAAGGAGGGCTAAGGATGTCTAAGGAGGGGGTGGGCTAAGGAGGGCTAAGGAGGGCCTAGGGCTAAGGGGGCTAAGGAGGCCTAAGGGCCGGGGCTAAGGAGAGCTAAGGATGTCTAAGGAGGGCTAAGGAGGGCTAAGGAGGTCTAAGGTGGGCTAAGGAGGGCTAAGGAGGCCTAAGAAGAGCTAAGGAGGGCTAAGGAGGCCTAAGGAGGGCTAAGGAGGCCTAAGGAGGGCTAAGGAGTGCTAAGGTGGTGTAAGGAGGCCAAAGGAGGGCTAAGGAGGGCTAAGGATGTCTAAGGAGGGCTAAGGATGGCTAAGGAGGCCTAAGGGGGCTAAGGAGGGCTAAGGAGTGCTAAGGTGTGCTAAGGTGGTGTAAGGAGGCCAAAGGAGGGCTAAGGATGTCTAAGGAGGGCTAAGGATGGCTAAGGAGGTCTAAGGTGGGCTAAGGAGGGCTAAGGAGGGCTAAGGAGGCCTAAGGAGGGCTAAGGAGGGCTAAGGTGGTGTAAGGAGGCCAAAGGAGGGCTAAGGATGTCTAAGGAGGGCTAAGGATGGCTGAGGGAGACTGAGGAGGACTAAGGTATGTGATACACTATAATATGTGATACATTATAATAGGGGTCACATAAAGTAACTACCACTGAGTCTGGTTCTGCCTGTGAGTTTGTTTGTTCGCATCAATACGTTTTCTTAATCGCCTATTAAAAATTCCTTGCACATGCTTGGAATTTATTCCTAATTTACTATTAATCTTGTTGTACGTTTGCTGAATTCCTTTTTTCGAGGAAAGTCTTTTTTTTAATTTCAATCTCAAACTCTGATGATTGCGTGTATCTCTGGTTTTATGCACCCAAGAAGGACAAAAATACCACCATTCGATTCAGCGTAAGAAATTATACTTACAGGTCTTAAATGTATTACTAAACAATAGTATTCGCAGCGATTTATGACGTTTGAAAGACAAATTGTATTGTTGACAAATCGCTCAAAATTGTTATGCTATACTTTACTATTGTTTCAATTTTTCCTCACTTCGATAGTATCTTAAGGCCAAAATATCTTATTTTAAAAGCTTTAAGCGCAATTTTGACCTTAATGTACCAACCAACCAGCGGCCGACAGGCGAATGTAGGTTGGTGATGTCGTTAGAAATGAGCCGATATTTTATCTCTAGGTTTGTTTGCAATTTTATGATATAAAGGGCTAGCTTGGTATAGATAAGATAAATAGCGCTCTAGTCTTTGACTTGTAAAGCAGTATTTCAGATAGGTATAGACACTGAGAGGCATGCGAAGGTTTGTTAGGTATTATTCAGTTTAGGCCACTAAATAAATACTTTTATCATGAGAGCACATGCATTGGAAGTATATGTGAATATCCTGCATGATAACATAGTAATAATAATAAAATGCCAACATCAACTAAGATGTCTACAAGACGACGACATAAGACAGTAATAAAACGCATTCTGTTGGATTACTAAAGCCTACTAACGCGGTAATATTTACATTGACGTTTATAGTAGCTAAAATTAAACAGAGCAACTTAGTCCTATTTGAACTTTCTAACTCCAGTTATTAAACGTGCCAAACATCTTTGGTCTATAATTATTGTAAACGAACTAACGCGGCCGTCCTATAACCGCAGGAGAAACACAAGGCTATAACACAATTTATATGGCAGGGGCTCTCTCGTGTAATTGGGGTCTTTTTATGAGGGGTCAAGCATGTTTTTGTACCCTAAAGTTCTTACTCCAGATATATGTGGAGGGTTGTTGCCATATGTGGAGCTCACTGGTTTCCACATAAAATCGGAACAGTCGACGCACAAAAAATTCTACACTATTCGACGAGAAAATACTTGCTGGAGCAATGCGTTGACTTTCGTGGACTGCGTGGAGTCACGTAAGCAGAGGGACAGCGAATTCAAAGGAACAACCACTGAGTGGAACCAGGGAAAAAACAGAGTGGTCTCTCTATACATATTTTTCCTCTGTGGTCGACTCTGTCCATATCTCCTCTGTGACTGTACGTATTATACTGACAGTTACGAGGCAGCAATTTTGTGCAACTCTTCAGCCTCGTTCCCGGAGTAATAAATACAGAAACATTACATAGATCAGCTGGCAACTCTCCATGTTCGTAAGATTCTTGGCGTTTTGTCACATAATTTTTAGTTGTTGCCGGCTATTTAATAAAGCCCTGGCTACACGGGCAGTCATTGTAGTTCATATAATAAAGATATTACAAATATTCTTTTTAATAATTTTAATATTTTACTAAACAATAACTATGGTTTTATTCAGTAGACAAAAAGTACTTCCTTGGAACTGGAATTAAAATGCTTAGAATTAAAATAGAACATGCAGGATGTGAAATTTTATCGATTAGCCAATAAAATTGCAAATATTAAGGGTGTTTGCATCACAAAGACATTCTTTAGTTAAACAGGCGTCGTATTTTATTACTCGTATCAGATAACTTCATGATAATTTATAAACACGGTTTGTCTGGTGAGGAAACGAAAGTGTTCGTCAATAGTCTAACGCAGTATGGCTACTGCACCAGATCCTGTTCCTGTAAAGCAAATGGAAACACTCTTAAAGTGTTCTGTTTGTATGGAGACATTGACTCAACCGCGGACATTGTCATGCTATCATTCATTTTGTAAACACTGCTTGGAGAATTATGTTGCCGCTCAGCGCGAGAAGGCAGTTGAAGCTAAAGAGAAAGTACCAGAAATCTTCGAATGTCCATTATGCCGCACGGAGTTTTCAGTCAAAGAAGGGGAAAATATTGGCGAGAAAATGCCAGCAAACCACTTTATTAACAACCTGTTGGAATTGCTCAGCATACAGCAACAAGCCCATCATGTAAAATGCCAGTCGTGTAAAGCGAACGCTCCTGTAGCCATCAGATGCGTGTCGTGTGATAAATATCTGTGTCAGAAATGTCTACAAGCTCACAACACCTGGCCAGACTTCGAGGATCATGTCGTGTTGACGTTGGAAGAACTATCTAAACCAGAAAACCGAGCGAAGGCGAAAGGTAAACCTCGTTGTGAGAAACATGACAAAGTTCTGAAGTTTTATTGTGAAACATGCAAAATCCTTGTTTGTCGTTACTGCATGGATCTTAATCACACTCGGCCTGAACATGCGTGGTTCCCTTTGACAGACGTTGTTGTACAGCACAAAGAAGCGTTAAACGCATCTTCCAGTATATTTCAGAAGGAAAAAAACGATGCAGCCGAGAGTAATCGTAAGATTGAAAAGGCAATGGAGACCCTGATGAAAAATGCTACAAAAGCAAGAGACGCCATTAAGCAGCAACAACAAAATATCCTGAATGCGTTTACCAAGAAACTCGAGAAAGAAACGACATCCTTGCTTGACCAAGTTGAGATGAAATACAGAGAAGCCAACGAGCTCCTGTTGAAACAACAAACCAACGTGAAAGCTTATTTCGAAAAAGCAAAAAGTTCGTTGGATTTTACCAGCAATATTCTCTCCGGCGGAAGCGACGAGGTACTCCTTGCTCTCAAACACGAAATTGAGGAAAAAGCTGGGAGCATTGAGAATGAACGACCAGAATGTATGGAGCCAATCCACGATGGCCTCCTTGAATATTATCCAAAACCGACCAAAGACATCATGGAGAATTTGAAGTTAAACCACATAGGAAAAATTGGTAGGTGTATTGTGTATATATTAGAGTTGTAATAAATATTATAATTGCAAATATTATATTATGATTGCACTGTTGCGATTAATTTCAGATATAGAAGAGTTTCGTTTTAAAGCCCGCAGTTATCCTTCCTATACTGCTAAGAAAGGTAATCTGAGTAAAAATGAGTTGTATATATACGATCCAAAAGCAACAATGTAGCCATTTATACGAGTAGAAATAAGCCGTGACATAAAAAAGGCTAAATAAGTCGCGAACAGTCGCAGAAACGCTCCATTTGCTCGCCCCTAAAACAGGCCACAACCCAAATTAGCCGAGGCTTCAGAGCTCGTCCAAAATAAGCCGCACCTAATTTGAGTCGCACGACGTTCTCGTATAAATGGCTTCACGAGCAAATCTTACATTGAACTTCGGTGTCACACCACTGTCCAGCATCAACCTTCCTGCCGTTCCTTTCAATTTGCAATGCAAAAACTGTCTCGGCGGCAAGGACTTGCGATAGCGAATATGAGTCGTTTATACGAGTGTTTGCGACCAATTATATAATATAATTTTAACAATATCCCGTATAAACGCACTGTTCGAGACTTTTTTAGGCCGCGGTTTATTTTCGCTGGTATAAATGGCCCTAATAAAGATTTTGAATATATTCATAAATTATAGTTCAATTCGTAGAACAATGAAAGAATAGAATTAGCCGATCGATCACTTTTGTTTACTCTGGGTATAAACCTAATTAACAAAACTTTTCGTTAAACTCTCGCGTTCTTTTTATATTTCTTACAGAAAAAAATTTGAATCGATTAGAGAGATTCTGTCTCTTTAAGATTGTGTCTCTTTAAACTTTTTAAACAAGATAAGTAGTAATTTTCAATAAAGTGGACCACCTTGGGTCAAACTATCTGTATGATTTCAGTTGAACCTGTTGAAATCGTATGTGAAAAATCAATCATCTTGGAGGGTAAAATTGAACAAGCGAAGCAACTTGTAAAGTGGATGGAAGATAAGAAGTTTGGTTGGCATCTTTGTTATCGAGCTTCACGTGACGGTTGGGAAGGAAAAGATTTTCATGAAAAATGTGACGATGTTGGACCTACAGTGATCTTGGTGAAGTGTGAAACCAACGTCTTTGGTGGTTTTACTGATCAAAGTTGGAAAGTAACATCAGGTATAATTTGCACTATCTTATGAATTCTTGCCATGATTCTGCAATGTGCATGCTCAACGTGAGTCAATGGATTAGGCAGGGCTCGGAAGCTTTCGTCTAATTGGATATTGCTTTTCTATGCTTTCTAACGAAGCTATGCTATTGGTTGAAACAGAAATGTATTGTAAAGTTCAGCCAATGAAAATCATTCTTGCGAGGAGCTGCGACACTACCCGTGTCGAAGGCGAATATGCATTAATACACCTAATGGCAGTTTTCCACTAGGTTTTTGACCGAACGAAATTTTTCGTCTGATATTCTTTTCAATTGTGGGAATTCGACCGTAACGGATTAACGGAAAAAGAAAATCGGGTCACTGAGGCTTTAACCAGTTTTCCACTAGGCGGAATTTTTCGATCGAACGAAAATTTTCGCCCGATTTTCTTTTCAGTTGTGAAAATTCGACCGTAGCGAATTCCCTTCACGTGCACCGGTCACAATTGAAAGGAAAATCGAGCGAAAAAATTTCTTTCGATCGAAAAATTCCTCCTAGTGGAAAACTGGCTTTAAAGCCTGGTTCACACTTTTCGTAAGAATGTGGCATTCCCTTTGTCTGAGATCACTGGTGCGCAAGATCCTTTCGGAACTACTATAGATCTCCGATTCTTAAGACAAGTGTGGACAAGTTGAATTGAAACACAACTTGTGGATCAAGACTGGATTTTTGTAATTCTTTCTTACTTATAGACTCTATTTCTCTATTTTCTCAAAATGTTATTATTTAAATGTTATTATTAATATTATTTCGATTACAAAGAATTTCTGATATTTCTAATATTTCTGATATTTCTAAGATTTCCTAAAATGTAAATATCTGTTTTTTTAGATTTTAAAAAGTATGAGTATAAACGTTCCAAGTCGTCATTTCTGTTTTCCTTAAAAAATAAGGCGAATATGAGCCCCTTCAAGTGCCTGATGAAAGACGGTCGAAATGGAAAAGCAATCTACTGTGAATATAAGTTTGGACCAGTCTTTGGTGGTCGTGGTGATGATCTGGTAATCTGCCCTAACGCCAACACAACCCAGGGTTCATACAGTAGTCTTGGTGGCACATATCAACCTCCCCCAGGATATGAACCTGGAGCCCCAGAAACCCGAGCTCTCTTGGCGGGCAGCTGCCCATTCACTCCATCAGAAATTGAAGTTTTTTGCACCCGAATCCTTTAATTGATTTTACATGATTAATTACATTAGATTTAATTTTACATGAATTACATCAGATTTAAAAAGTATCATTAAACACGTTAAATTCGATTTACTCGTGATGATCGGCTTCAGTCCGTCAAATGTAGCATAACAACTGCCTTTAAAAAACACTTCTCGAAGTTTCGACTCAATGGCCTTCGTCAGGAAAATGTGATTCACGTAATTGGTAGGTTACGTGTACATTATTGTGTAACCATAGGAGTCCAGAAATGTTTTCGTTCTCGTAGCGATCGCGCGTGTATACTGTTATTATTATTAAAATGACTTGGTTTTGTTTTGAGGTACTTAGCTAAGTATCATCAGTATCATACAATTTCAATTTTGACCCAAGAAATTACGTGCACTGTTTTTTTTTTCTCAAATTATGTTGAGATAAAAGCAGAAATAATCGATATAGTCATAGAATGCGCGCTTCTGTACCTTCCAGTACCTTCTCAGTTAGCAAATTGACGCCACATTAGATATTCGAATCTCGAAATGGCCGATTTACAAGGGCAAATTCAACTCTCCCCATGGCTTTTTCGCAAGATACACCGCGATGTTAACGTTACTTTGGCAAATTTGGAAGTTGGTTGAACGAAGAACCAAGAATTCAGTATTCAAGCATATTGCACTTTTTGTCGGATCACTTTTAGTAGATTAGTGGAATTTATAAACTTTATGGGCTTCTAGCTCTAAAATAGTAATCATGCAAACTATGTTTTTTAGAAGAAGACAATTTTTTTGGGGGGTGTGCGTCAAATTTCCTGTGAAACTTATATTACCTAGCTAAATCCACCACTGGCAACATGTTCGAAGGCAGTAATACCGTAACACCCGTCTCCTCCGTTAAATATGACGACAGAATCGATACAAGATTGCGATAGGTAACTCAGTGCGAAGCCAAATCAAGCCAAACATAGTCATAAGGTAGAAAAAGGTTTAAGTAAAGTATTTAAGAAAATAGAAGGGGTTCATTTGTTTTTGTTTGACAAATCTCGCCTGAGATATTCTGAAAGAACACGAGAAAGATAAGTCTTATAAGTTTGAAGTTAAACGGCAAATTTTGAGCTTTCATGCATGGACCGATTTATTGCATGAAAACGTATCAAGGCAATTGTTATAAATTCTATAACAGCATTGACATAAATTTTCATGAGTTAATAAAATAGCAGATGCCGAGGGGTGTTTGCATTTAAAAACCTTTCCTCGGCGTCGTATTAGTTATCTTTAGTATAGTTGCTATGGAGCACGTTTTGTCGATAGCGTTTGAGAAACAGGCTAAAACAGCATGGGCCATGGCTAATGCACCGGATTCTGCTGAAGGCAAACCTCGTTGTGACAAACACAACAATTTTCTGAAGTTTCACTCTTTCGAGATTAATGTTGAAATGAGTCAATGAGTTATGAGTCAAAAATTTTGCTGCATTTTCGTAACCACAGTTTTGTAACTGCGGATAAAGATTTCGCCTGATTTGCCTAAAATTTACCTTCGAATTTCTCGGCTACATTTTACATTATCGCCAAAATAACTCTTAAACAAGGTTAGATATTTCTATTCGTTTGATAAGTACTATACAACATTCGCGTCCGTGTTGTATCAGAGATAAAAACACTCGCCTTCGGCTCGGGTTTGTATCTACTGATACAACACGGCCGCGTTCATGTTCTATATGGTACTTATTAAGTAGTTATTTAGGAGGGCATTTATGGCATTATGAAATTCGGAGATCAAAATAAAAAGTGATGCATGGGATAAGCAGGTCTTCACTAACGTTCAATTTATTAACTGATATACAAGTTCGGACGGACTTACTGCAGTGACTGCATTGTCCTACCTTGAACATATGAACCCTTGAAGTACTATTGTATTAATACTGGATTATTATTGAAGAATACTTCTAACCAGACAAATGCAAATAAAGTTCATACAGACTCATAACTCATTGACTCACAACTCATACACTCATTTGACTCACAAAACAGGCGTTCTCCACTCTTTCTGGTGGAAGCGACGACGTACTCCTTCACTCAAACACGAGATTGAGGAAAAAGCTGGAAGCATTGAGAATGAACGACCCGAATTTATATGGAGCCAGTCCACGATGGCCTCCTTGAATATCCGATCCAAAACCAACCAAATACATCATGGAGAATTTGAAATTGAACGACTTAGGAAAATTGGTAGGTGCAAATACTAGAGATGTTATATTACTGTCACTATAGACCGCTGCGATTATTTTTAGCTACACTAGAAAACACAAGGCGCGAGTTTCGTCTTCCAAATATTACGCCATTTACATCACCAGGGGCCGATTGTTCAAAAGCCGGTTCTGGACCGTTAGAATTAAGTCATAATTTCTAAAGTTTAAAACTGGCAAACAGTGGCTCAGAAGCACATAATTCATAAACTAAAACACTGGATTAAAACTGAACCCAGGGTTAGTGCTAACCTGGCTTTGCCTTTGAATAACTGGCCCCAGGCCCAGATCTACAGTATAGTTCAAGAACACAGGTCGATGATTTACGTGTAATACAGGCTAGGAGCAGAGTAATAGTTTTCATGAAATAGTTTGTATTGTAACTTCGCAATTCGTGTCTATGGTTATTTTTAAATTGAAACGTTAGAGACTTCCGCCAAGTATTGTTTTTAGCTTGTCACATGGACCCCAGAACGATGCAACGACAGAGGGGTGGGAGGGCAGATTTTGGTGAAAGGGCACTGCAGCGGCGCAAAATGTTTGCAAAACATCGTTTGATGAACTTCGTATCGTCGTGTATCGTAGTAATTTCGATACTTTTACTTGAGATATCGGAATGCAATTTTAAAATGAATTGCATATTTGCTTCGCCCCCCTTGCCGCTGCTATGTAAATATCTTCAGTTTTCTAAAAAAACACGATAAATCGCAATCATTTCTGTAGGGGATCACCCAAAAGACCGCCAATAGACCTTATGCATAGTGACGTAACAAGCCGTGATACCTGCAGGGAATTCTGGTCTTAGTAGGCACGGCGGGAAATTTTGAAGTAATTTGACCGCCGTGACTAGTAAAACCAGAATTCTCTGCACGGCTTGATACGTCATTATGCATGAGGTCTTTAATTACATCGTCGGATCGTACCTCTTATGGTTATGAAATTATTTATCAAGCTGCCCTATTTAGTAATTTTAAAGTTTTTCAGTCAAGTTAGTATATGCAGCGCAGCTGTCCCAGACCATGCCTTTGAGACGATATTTTCCACAGCTGAATGTCAACAGTTGCTTGCAGTCTGCTATAGTCGCTCATAAGCGCTCTTTTAAATGTGCATATTCAACCTTTTTTCATTTACTTTTCGTTCATTCATGGGGTATGTAAATAGTTCCTCTAAACGTGCTTTAAATAAATATATAGATAATATACAAGAGAAGTGCAGGCTATCAATAGCCTATTGCGTGTGAAATTAGCCTTTCTCACGATGACGTTTTGGGGGTACTTTCAATTTTCTGAAATAGGTTTAAAAATTATGATTTAACATGAAAAGCAATTGTTTAGAATTAACAGACCATTTGAAGAATAAATTTAGCCTAAAATTAAAGACAGTCGCCCTTACGAGGTCTGACGGTTTTGAAAAAAAGTACCCCAAAAATGGCGGCATGTTCCTCATCGTGAGAAAGGCTAATTAATGAGCAGTATTATTTCATTTTTTTGAATGTTCAATGAAGGTAAACATATTAAAATAATTTGCTATACTACATGAGATTTGATTCGAATGTGTACGTTTGCGCCCCCGTGTGCTCAGCCCGTATTTATCAGGCATTGAAATTATATAGCAATATGTTAACTTCTAAATAAACTAAAAAACCTTTATATACACCTTGCGGATATAATGAAAAATTTAAGATGTATGATATTATTTAGTAGTAAAAATAAGCCAAATTGCCCTGGCCCCTCTTCTTAATTTCATCTTTCGTTTTACCGTCTAAGCTGAGTATTTCGTTGTAAAAGCACAATAAAACGTTTTCAGATATCGCTTTGAACTTCGCTTTGCGGCCTTTCCCCAACTCCCAGCACTTCAAGTAACCGTCAGGACCAAGAGTACAAAAGCCGTTTTCCGGGTGATCATCAACGAATTTGTTCGCCTCCTTATATATATGCCTCGCGTATATCTTTGTCATTGAAGTTCTTAATATCTTTAGGAGGGCCAACCTGCTCAGAGGCTGTGTATCCTGCTATCCAACAACGAAACCTAGATTGAGGCAAACAACTGTTCCCCATCGCAAATTATTTAAGCTGAAAGTTTAAAAAAATGTTTAATCACATACTGGACAAGCACAAGTCGATCCCTGGAAACGTATAAATTTTTGGTCGCGCGTCCCTCCTGATTGAGAATCAAGCTTTGCTCTTAAATAAAACTGACCAGGCATGCATGTATAACGACAGTACTCAAACCTGCGTCTCATGCACATATTTATTTTCCAAGCGATAATTTCCTCTGAAATGTGTCCTTGTGAAAAATCCTTATGTTAATGCCTGCTCTGGAAAATGATTCTCACGAAAAAACACACGACGTAATATTGCCGTGTATGTTTAACATAATAATATAAACAAGATCAAGTTTTTTTATACGCAATATTGCCATTACTATCCTGAAGACTATACCCAAAAGATGACTAGTACTGGGGGGAATTATTATAAAGGCACTACGTATATTCATTGGCAGCATTTCATAGACAATTTGTAATTCTAGTAACTACTATTAATCCAAAAGAACTTGCAAGTGTGTGTTTATCTAAACAAATTTTTGATGCAAGAATTTAGTAATAAACCTTTTGTCGAAGTGCAATATATTAAAAACAATTGCGTCACATTGATTTTGATAACCTGTCGCATTTTTATATTTGTTTAATTGTTAGCTACAAACGGCTCTGACTTTGTTTAATGGAGTCTATAATTTTTATTCCTGTTGTGAGATGCTTGAAAGCCAGACAGTATATTGCTTCACGCCAGCGTCGTAGATTAATATACGGTGCACGAACGGTAAGAACGGTAATGAAGTAAGTTCTCGTTATATAAATGCTAAGATAAAGTACTTACCAGTCACAAAACTGATTCCAAACTGCATGTATGTTTATGCAATTCGTTTCAACACGATATCAGTTAAACGGAAGAATTTAGCAAGCAACTATATATATATGTACTTACATACCTTTAGGCTTATAATAGCCGCAATAATTTCCTTTCTAGACTCTTTGACGTCATAGGCATACTACACGCGTGAAAACGCTCAGGTTGATGTAAGTTGATATAAACAGGATGGAGCAATGTTGTGCTGCCCACATTGTTCAGAGTTGTTATCAATATTGAACAATATTGTCACGCCCGATTCAGTTTCAACAATATTGTTCAATGTTGATAACAACTCTGAACAATGTGGGCAGCACAACATTGCTCCATCCTGTTCATATCAACTTGCATCAACCTGAGCGTTTTTATAGGCGTGTAAGGGCTGTTTTTCACTGCCGCGTTTTTTGCATAACTTAAAGTATACATATGAAATTAACGATAGAATTCAAATGACGCATAGGGTTGAATTCTGATGATGATCTGGTGTGTCAACTTTGAAAGTTTTAGGCTTTTACCAGCGTGTACGTACGTGCAAAAGAACGCAACAGTGCCAATGGAAAACAGCCGTAATACTTTGCCAATTTACGTATACAATATGAAAATCTGTTTATAGTGTTAAAAGAAAATATCAAAATTCTCAATCGACCACAATAATTTTGATACACATCTTATGGCATGACTATAGAAATTTCCGAGAATCGATCAATATTCAATAAAGGTTTGCTATATAGCTATCATGCAATTGACATGAATGAAGTTAAAGGAGGTTTGAGGTGCAGGATCAAACATAACTATGATCAAACTAAGTTTGATGGTAAAAGAACCTTTAATAAAAGATAATATTGTTCTACAAATCGCACCAACATACTTATTAAACGGAAGTTTCATATATTCGCAAAAAAATACCAGCTTTACTGACACTGTCGTACAGCTATCTGAATAATCTGATAAACATCGAACATTCAGTTGGTCGATTTTAAAGCCCAAACTTTGAAAAAACATTTGGAACAACCATCAATTAGACAAGTCTGTAGACAGAAGAGTGCATATAAACTGTAAGTAATGTTAGAAAATCGCCGGACGATATTAAGCATTTTCATAACTTCCGAGTTCCGCGTGTTGACCGTGCATGTAGACATTTCATGCAGACATGCACAATGACCTGCCACAGGTTTGATGTTATTTTACAAACAACCACTTTTCGATTCGAGTCATGCTTATTTACGTTTCGGATTAGGTAAATCGTATACTTTGATAAAATTTATCAAAAAGTTAATAATGATAATCGTTATGACAGAAAATATTGCGTACAAAATCTTATGGATAGAGTCGCTCAATGCGTATTAGGCAGAGCGACATAAAACAAAAATGAAAACACAAGTTACTACATCGAAATTATTTCGCAACCAGCTTGTTTCGTATGGCAAGTACGAAGCTTGCTACACTCATCAAATCTTAGCAAATCTTATTATTATGCAAATATTAGCGCTTTTGGCACTTATTATGATTTGAACCTTTACACCACGCATCTTATGTATAGATTCGACTACGCTGTGCTTTGTTAATATTCGCCTGATGATAAATAAATTTCGATGAAGTAACTTGTGCTTTCATCTTTGTGTATATATATATATATATATATATATATATATATATATATATATATATATATATATATATATATATATATTTATAATATAACATTTATAGTACGCGCGTGCTGATTGGTCGGGAAGCGTGTTTCTATAACTGTATAGAAACACGGGAATTTTCCCGCCCAACTTGACAAGCGAAGCGATGTAATGAGAATTTGTAATTCAATCGAATTATAATATTTGTACAAAATCTTTTTATTGAGTTATTTTATAAAAGAAATAGAAAACATTTTTTCCTGTGTTTCTATACAGTTATAGAAACACTTGTGGGAGTTTGGGAGAACTTCCACTGATTCTTTCTCGTTCTCCCAAACTCCCACGCGTGTTTCTATAACTGTATAGAAACACGGAGAATGTTTTCTTGTTTTTAAATATTTTGCGCTATTACACCTACATAATAGCTTATATAATTATCATCTTCTTAATGACGCAAAAGAGGCTCAGAGCAAAGGAAGTTAAATCTACATCTTTATATAATATATATATATATATATATATATATATATATATACACCCATTTGCAAAAACGTTGGCCGCAGATAGATAGATAGATAGATACTCGAAGTCTAATTAGAAATGCATATGACTAGATTTGCATGGGATTTCAATCATATTACACAACATATGCAATTCTAATTAGATTTCGAGTATCTATCTATCTATCTGCGGCCAACGTTTTTGCAAATGGGTGTATATATATAATATATATATAATATATAAATATATATATATATATATATATATATATATATATATATATATATATATATATATATATGGTTAATCTTCATTCTTTGCTGCATGCATTATGTTCAACTACACCTTAATTTGTTTCAAACTGTTTTTAATTGGCTGGCTTTTTCTCAGAACATTGAGAAAATATATACATAACATAGATTTATATACATAATATGTATATAGATTTAAACTTCCTTTGCTCTGAACCTCTTTTGCGTCATTAAGAAGATGATAATTATAAAAGCTATTATGTAGGTGTAATAGCGCGTAGGTTTAATGTGTAGTGTAGGTGTAACGGTTTAATTTCTTCCTAATAAACGACCGAAGATCTGAACTATATATGCATTATATATGAATATGGCATTTATAGTAATTTTAGTTGTTATTGAACCCGTTAAAAGTCCATGGTTACTAAAAGACGATTTGTTGTTTTGATACCCGTCCTGTCCCGCGTGAATATCTGTAACATGTCACTGTCACACTCTGATTAAGTCTGGTTTTTAGGGTGGATTTCCACTTACGCGTTTTTCATACGCACGTACACGCACGTAAAAGTCTAAATGCTTATACATGTTACCTTTGAAAAAACTAAGTGAATAAATCGAAGGAATTTAGTTTTCTGCGCATTTTAGTATGCATTAATTGACCTAGATGTTAAATAATAAAAATTTGAAAGCATTTAAAATTTTTCGTACGTGTACGTGCGTATAAAAAACGCGTAGGTGGAAAGCAGCCTTTAGGCTGATTTTCTACCTCTAATTGTGGGCGTTGTTCTGATAAAGTGCTTTGTGTGGATATTGCATTTATAATAACCTGGGCGGCGAAGGCGAGACTGTCATTAAATTGACTGAGCCCGAAGAAGAAGAAGACACAACGCCGATAAAGCCGAAGGTTAGGAACGCTTCCAGCCTCCTGCATTAAGCCAGGTAAGAAATGTTCGTAGATTTTTAATGAATGTGTGAATATGAAAATCAGCATGCATACTAGTTAGTGCGTGTATAGAATTTACCAACAACGAGTGAGATATACATGTAGGTGTAAGGTGTGTAAATGTTTTACCTTTAGCGTTGTTCATAGTTAAATTTGAAATACTTCTATAATAATGATATATATAGTTTTTCACTGAAAAACTATCATTATCATAGAAATTTTCAAACATATTTGGTTAGAGAAACACTGACCCTATACATGGCATTAGTAGACCCCCCTCCCCTACTGTCATATTATTAGTGAAATATTAATTTCATAAGATATATAGCTGATTATAGTGAACTATTCGGTTTAGAAAACAATATAAATATGTAGCAAGGTTATTGCTGGACAAATCTGGCTACAAATTTGATAAAAAAGTCAATTTGCCGACGTTTTACAAAAGCTATCATCGAACTTAATTGTCACGTTTTATAGTCTTTGGGTTGGGTTACTTGTCCATTAGTTGGGTATGAATGTGAAGACGAGAAGTACTTCGTTAATATTTTGTTAAACAGTCAACTTGTTATTTGTTAATACTATATAAAGAACTGTGGTCTGTACGCATTCATTTTTTATTCAATGCTTTAGGTTATAGATTATGCGTGATAAAATGTAAAAATAGAGAGTTTGTAAATTAGGAGCAGTTCTTTTCTCAGTTTTCCTATTTTCAATATGAGGCCAAAAATGAATGAAATTAAGAAATAAATATCAAAACACCAAGGTATGCCATGGATGTGAGTCGATTTGTTTATTTTACAGCATACCGAGTAACCGATTTAGTAATCTGTATCGAGATTCCTTCTTTCAGAACGTTTGCTGAACGCAATGTCTCACAAGAAACCAAACTCTGATGTTGTCGATGATGCTAAAAACGATGCCCTTGAACAAGAAATTAATGAGCTTCCTTTAGAGCCAACCTCTTCTGAGGGGAAAATTCGAGAAATACATCAAAAGATTTCCACTATCAGGAACATTGGCAGAAAGGAAAAATTGTTGACGGAACTCAAAGCGTCTTCCTCTAAAGGATTAAGTCAGGAGCTGAGCCAAATGGTGGAAAAAGATGGTCTCGTTATGGAAAGTCTTTCCCTGGTTTTGAATTATCTCACCACGAAAAACGAACTTGCCGGATACTTGTTCAAAACGCCAAATACAGTTATCGAGCAAGATGGACTTGATCCCGTTAGAAGAAGGTTGGGTCCGAAACTCGAAGTTCTCGGTGGCTTGCTTCTCGTGGGTAAACGTCCAGCAAGAATGGGTGAAGAAGTTACTAGAAAAGGCCCCATCTAGAAGAACACTTGCTCGAATGTCCATAACTCAGTTGCAAACTGTTTGTTCCGGGGCAAGTCCTCGCGATATGGACGACGTTATTCAAATTATAGGTATGGCCAATTCGGAAGTTGTTGAAAAATCAACTCATGAACAGCGACAAGCAATTGATGAATCAGACGGGAATAATAAGGCCGTCGATCGGGAAAAATTGGACGAAGCCAAAGGTCTCATAATCGAAGCAAAGAAGATGGCGAAAGGCGACACTGAAGCCGCGAAAAAGGCAGTTAACGAAAAAATTGGTGAAATTTCAAAACTTCTTCAACTCCCATCTGATTGGAATAGCAATGAAACCGGCAAAACTCCGGACGAATTGCTGAAAGAGTTACACGGGATAGTAAATATATTCAGCAACACTATCAAACCGGACGAACCGTATAAAAGTGATCATGAAGTTGTGCAAAAGGCAAGTGGCGGCCGTGCATTGTGTGGGATTTGCTTTTCGAAGTATCGAGCTCCTTTTCCCGCCGAAAAAGCGCTGATAACCATGCCTTCGAAAGTGAGTCTTTCAAGCCCTAACAATTCGCACCAAATTTGCTACCTTAAATTTTCCAAGAGCGCTTCCGCTGCGAATTATGTTCAAACAGTGAAGTCCTCCAGCACAAATATTGGATTTGGGGTCGGAGGATTTTACGGGACGTTTGTTGGTGAAGTTATTGGAAGCCACGGAAGTAGTCACGAGGTAACCAATGCAAAATTGGGAAAGAAAACGACAAGCCATGCCTCGGTTGTGCAGTACATTTGGACGGCGACGAAGACTTTCAAGATTGATCAGGAAGAATACACTTTATCTCCAAGCGCCAGAAAACACGTAATCATGTTGGCCAACGCTATCCATGACGAAAAATCTGAAACTGAAGAAGAAAAAGAAGGGGCGAGCGAAATTCATGAAACCGAAAGACAAGAAAATCCGAAGAAGAAATTGCTCAGTTAAGAAATCACCAAGAGCTTTCTTAATCGTTATGGAAGTCATTTGCCATCGGGTCTTCACACCCTTGGTGGAATTCTTTTTCGGATTGTTGAGGCACACAGTACTGATAAGATGAGCACCTTTGACCTCACAGAAAAAGCAGCACAGCAGATACAAGGTCGATTATCATTTGGGTTGATCGGTGGAGCAGTTGGTATCGAGGCAAGCGCGAGCAATAGCAGTGGTGAGGGAAAGAAAGATGCTGAAAAAACAACAGATGAGAAAATCTCGTACACCTTTTCTTCACAAGCGATGGGTCCAGCTACAACGGAACCAGCAACGTTTACCAAACTACTTCACAATAATTCTACGTGGGCTTTAATCGACCGCGGTAGTTGCAAGGCATACATTCCGGTCTGGGAACTGATAAAGGATCTGGGATCTGAGTTCCAAGAAGCAGCTACCGCTGTACAAAATGCATGGGAGGAAAGGGAGGAAAGATGGCGAAAAGAAAGCGAACGACTTGGTAAGCAGTTGACGAAGATTGTCCGGAAAGATGTCGAATCTCTAACAGAGAAATATTTGAAAAAGGTTCGTATTAATTGTTGTTTAGCGAAGGAATTTTTCCTGGGCATTTTTTTGTATAGATTTCGATTCTACTGTCAAAAGTTTTAAGTCATTGTCAAAACAAATAAACAAGTAATAAATAAGTATCAGTAATCAAAATTTATTTTTATCTTTGACGGATAAAATGAATTATTTTACCGGGGCGTAGGAAGCATCCAGAGTTGGGGGGCACCAGCTTCCAGGGGTACTTTTGGTGAATAAAAAGCGCAGCTAAAAATATGTACAGGGACGGCTTGATTGCCAAAGCTCCAAGTACACCACTAGTGTGGTGCATATTTATGCTCTACAAAACGATTTGGGCAGGTGTAAGTGGGCATACGTAGGAAACAAACAAGGACACCTTCGATTTCAAAATAGTATTTACAGCTGCATTAGCTTCTCCCAAAAGGCAATTTTCATAACAAAAGGGCACTTTTGGTCGCTTAGAAAATTTTTGGAGGCACGTGCCCCCTGCTCCCATCCCCCGGTTCCTACGCCGCTGTAATATTGTACACCGCTTATTGACTGTTATTTACTTTATTGTATTATAATATTTTTAGTTATTGTATACTATTGATTACTGTATTGCATTAATTTACTTTTTCTTCTTTTATTGATTTCAGGATCCCGATGAAATAGGCTATGGTTTCCTTCCGGACAACAGTGCTCAATTAATCAACAGCAGCTTTGCCAATAAAAAGACCATTGATCTCAGTCGTGAAAAAGCTTACGCCTTAGCCCTGGAGAAAATAATGGTAGATCCACGTTATCGTATATGTGTTGTTTCCATTTCTCCAAATGGGAAATTTATGGTGAGATGCTGGGAGGCCTCAGAGGACTCCAAGATGACATTCGCAAGCAGCAAAGGAAAACACGAATTAATTTACAGTAGAATTGCATTCAAATGGAAGGATAGAGTTCCTCAAAAGTAATGAACAATTTATATTTACCGTACGTACCAAATTGACATTGAGAAAGCTATAGTATATTCCAGGTGATCTGAAATGATGGGCAAAGACTGGGACAAGTTGTAACAATAAGATACACGATCGATTAAAATATTTTTTGGTTGAAATATGAGCACGTGATTACCTGGATTGATAAGTGCAGAGTACATTAGATTTTTAAAAATTGCTATTTTTAAAGAAACATAGTTCACGGTACAGTCTTAAGCACTGAATTAGCTGTACGGATATCAGTATGAAAACTAGTAAAGCAGACGGCAAATTTATATATGAGTGGAGATTGTCACATGATCAGCTCTACTTACCTTAATGTATAGCATGGATGCCAAAGATTTTTAGATTGAATATAGAGTTTTGCGATAAAAGCTTTTTTGAAAAACTGTTAGTGTCCGTTTTTTTATCTGTCAGTCAGTGGGAATGTGGGATCGTCAGACCTGGGAAAGTGAGGGGGAGAAAATGGCCTCAGGTTAAAAATTTGACAAATGTAAATTGAAAGTAAATATAGAATGTTCTCAAGTGCAGCGACAAAATAAAAGGAAGAGGTAAAAGCGATATTCGATGCGATCATCATAGCATCATAATTTAGCTAGGAATTCGTCAGTCGTCTCGTGAAACTTTTTGAACAAGGCGTTGTTACGTTGTTCTATCGTAAGTTGAACTTACACTAAGTTGAACCATCTTCGCTTTATATTGATTGTGCCAGTGTATTGTATTCCCAAACCTGTTGGGCGAATTTGGGCCATAATTTCCTAACTAAAGTCCGAAAGGGGCTACACAAAAGCAAAGCTTGTTTTCAAAAGGTTTGACTTACGTATTTTCTTGAGCTGAAAGAATGTGATTTTGACGTACGGAGATTTTTTAACACGCTCGCATTTCCTCATTTTCTTCTATGATTTAGAAACATGATATTCGATAGCTTGAGTAGTTACAATAAAAAGGGATCTTCAAGAGAACGTAAGGCTGTTACTAGGGTACGGGGGGGGGGAGTTAAGAAGCTATTCCCGCAATTTAAATGTTTTAAATGTATAGTTGAAGAAAGGCACTGAACCATAGTGTTTGGCTTTGTCACCAGTTTAATCAAACGGAACCACAACAACTTGAAACTTGGGTCGCTTCATACATGCCAAATTAAAATGTGATGTTTGCGGAGGAAGAGGAGGCTATCGTTTACCGTTTATCCACAATGCACCGCGACGCCGCCAGCATTGTTTAAAACTTTAAATGAATACGAAATTACGAATACCTAAAATTAAAATGTAGTCAAAATACTGCGAATTCATGATGATACTTCACTTTAACCTTTAAGTATATTTCCCCGATATCTTATTTCATTAAAGTTTTTGTGGACAACACATCGAAATCTTTCACAGAACATGTTTAATTCGGTAAGTTGAAATTATGGCTATTTTTTCTCTATATTCGCAATCACGAACAGGCTTCCTTGTGATTGTGAAAGTTGTAAACGTATAATGCGTATAATATTTCACGCCTGTCGGTAAATTTGAAGCTACCAAAAGCTTAAACTTTCACACTATGACTCATTGGTCTTAACCGTGTTTAAACGAAACGTTCTTGCGAATACTAAAGCGGTGACGACTAGCCGACTACGTGGATTATTATGTCGTTATACATTTATTTGTACCAGCTTGGCGCTTGTCGTCCATATTAGAAACCTCACAACATAAATTTAGCTGTCTCATCGTTTTTGGGTTAACATATTTTATCCCCTCACTCACGTATTGTGGTACGTATTTTCAATCAAGTTTATAAGGATCCTCGTTGAAATATATGTTCATATAAACCTCCGAGAATTGCTAAATTCTAAATTGTAGTTCTCCCCGGAAGTATTATTTGAGTGCATTTCGTGTAATTTGCAGCACACTTATAAAAACAATGCAACACGCTTAAACATATTATAATGGTAGAATATATATAGTAGAATATTTTCAAATATCCGACAAAGAGTATACTATTTTTACTTAACTGAAAAGAAAGTGGAAGTACATATTTTTCTTGGAAATCAGACAATATATAAACCGATATACGAAGAAGAATTTCGCAATAGCATATGCCCTTTGGCTCAATTAACTGTCTTAAATAATTTGTTTGAGCACTGTTATGGATTTAATTGCCATATTCGATAAATACTTGGCCTTGGATTGGTTTCAAAACTGATCCACAGTATTCTAGTTACAAATAAAGCCAAATACATATTATGCAAATTCTACCTGGGAACTTGCTTCAAAACATCTGTTCAGCCACATGATATTTCTGGGTAAACATATTTCATCTCAACAAACATGTGCTAGCAGATATTAGTATTTTCACCTATAAGGTGCTATGAAGTTCTGGCCTTGTATTCATTATTTCATTACCTCACATTTTATTGACAATCGGTTGGTGATATACAGTAAAAAGATTCAGATTCCCTAAACAAGGTTTGCAAACTATATAAATGACTCTTGACATCCCCATGGCTTTGAGAAATTGACATGTGTTAATTATGGAAGGAACCTTTGTAAATATGGTGTTCATACTCCATTCATGTGACATAAAATGTTTCAGTTTAAAAATTTATGTATACTATGGTATGCTGTATTGCTTGGGACTGCATAACAGTGTGTGAAATATGTAACAACATGATACAACAGAGCGGAAACCATTTCCTTATTCCTTATTATTCCTTATCCATTATCAAGTTTACAACATATATATTGTCATTAGCACATCTTTTCATAGCATTAGATTGTGTGTTCCACCAGTGTGTAAAAACATGTTTTACTGTAGCATGGAAGGTGGAAAGAAAGAGTTCTGACTTTAAGTACATCAGTGACCTGTGTAAGAATTTTCATAGCGAAATAAGGAACAATCAGATGAAATTCATCATCTATTGTTGTTAATGCATCCTGCATATGAAAAAGATGTCTGAAACTAGATTAAACTGAAACTGCAAGACTTGCTTTAGTATGTTTAATTTTCTCTTTCACCTTGTGTGAAAGGCTATTAATGATCTATCATAATGTTTCTTGTATTCACTTCCACATACATTTATGGTAATGTATTTAGAACAAAATTGGGGGATTCAAAACCAGTATGAAAAGAAAAGTACATTTTTATTGTTTAGACCAGAGAGGCCTCACTTACATACCATGTACACAAAACAGACTTGACTCTAAATTGTTTTTGTTTTTGTAGTGAGGAGCACAATATGAGTCTGTCTCGTGAAGAACTAAAAGCACAATACAAACATTTGATTTTGGAACGGAATGCCGGCACGGAAAAAGAGCTATTCAGTACAAGGTGCTCAAATTTTCTTTCTAAAAACAAAATATCAGATTGTTTTACATTGCTGCCCATAACAGCGGCACAAAGGGACTTCCTTGACAAAACAGAAGGAAGGAAAGATGTGGAGTTTCGACATCTCGCCAAAGTTTTTGGACTTTTTGAAAAGTATGCTGTGAATATCTTGGATAAACCTTGGCATAAGGAATTGAAAACAATCAAGGTATGTGTGAAGTGCATGCTATTAATCAAGTGCATGCTATTAAACTTTTAAAGTAGTTTATTCAGAACTGCTGCAATTATTTTACAGTCAAGGTGACTTCACTAGGTGCTGCAAAACTGAAAGCATCCCTTAACAGGATACTGTATTATATTAGAACAAGTCCAAGTTTGTAGGTAATAGGCTGTGAAGATTTTTAATGTCTGAGAACTGAATAAACATACCAAATCCATCAAATTAGTAAGTAACCATTGTTCCACAACGGCAAACAACGATGTTGTGAGTCCTTTACCATGTAAACCAGAGCCGGCTTTGCCCCCTCGTGCCAAAATTTTACTCACCATTATTATACCTCCAGCACTTGTGCTCCAATCATTCCGCATGCTCCAATCATGCTCCAATCATTCCACATGCTCCAATCATGCTCCAATCATGCTTCAATCATGCTCCAATCATTCCACATGCTCCAATCATGCTCCAATCATGCTCCAATCATGCTTCAATCATTCCACATGCTCCAATCATGCTCCAATCATGCTTTAATCATGCTTTAATCATGCTCCAATCATTCTGTATACTCCAATCATGCTCCAATCATGCTCCAATCATTCCGCATACTCAAATCATGCTCCAATCATTCCGCATGCTCCAATCATGCTCCAATCATTCTGCATACTCAAATCATGCTCCAATCATGCTTCAATCATTCCGCATACTCCAATCATGCTCCAATCCTGCTCCAATCATTCTGCATACTCCAATCATGCTCCAATCATGCTCCAATCATTCTGCATACTGCAATCATGCTCCAACCATGCTCCAATTATTCCGCATACTCCAATCATGCTCCAATCATTCCGCATACTCCAATGATGCTCCAATCATTCCACATGCTCCAATCATGCTCCAATCATTCCGCATACTCCAATGATGCTCCAATCATTCCACATGCTCCAATCATGCTTCAATCATGCTTCAATCATGCTCCAATCATGCTCCAATCATTCTGCATGCTCCAATCATGCTCCAATCATTCTGCATGCTCCAATCATGCTCCAATCATTCCGGTTGGTGAGTATGTTACAATACTGCTTTCGACGCCTCTGAATTTGCTGATTTCTATTACTCCCGATCTCCATTTTGATAATATTTTTTGGTTTTGAACCCAATTTTGTGAGCCACATAAACGTTACCACATTAAAACGTTACCACCACTAGGCCCCCTTTTCCAAGACCGTTTATATAATTGACAAATAGCTGCCGAATATTTTGGAAGTTAATCACATTGATGAAGACCTGGATTAATGGACCAAAAACTGAATCAGAAAAAACCCCGCAGAAATTGGTGTTTATGAGGTTTCAAACCGAAAATCTAATAACTGGTTCACAATTTTGCATTTCTGTATCGCTGTGAAAAAGAAAACTATTGAATAACTCTTTTGACAGCTCATCATACACATCTGAAGGCTGTGAAATGTCCATTTTGAGGCTTAAAGTATACACTATGTTATTGTGACGATTCGTTTTTGCCGTGTGCAAGCTTCAAATCTTTTGTGCCAGACATATTTTGTTGAGTATTTATAGATCTTTTTTCTCACCAAGTTTGAAACCTAAGTATTGAGAATTGCGGTTAGGTCTTACACCAATTTCCGCGGTGTCAAATCAGAAAGACCTGCAACTGAAGCTCAAGTTGTTCCATGCTAATGAAAGCAGACTTGAACAGTGTTATGTTGCACTTCAAACATGATCTTTAGAAATGTTGTTTCAATATTTTCAGGCGTGTATGAGTCTAGACACAGTCTGGGGATATATTTTTTGGGCCGAAATATCCACGATAAGATAACGGTCACATAAACAGATAAAACAGAGATTGGTATTCGTGCCAATCCCTTGTTATTGTTTGTTTTTTTCACAGCTGTTTCATCAATGATCTGACTGGCAAGTTTTCTGTTGTTTTAGGTATACACAGGATTTTTCAAATACAATTTTGAACAATGGTTATCTCTGGATACCGTCTACAAAATTTTCAACCTCATCGGGTACCAGAAAACACCGAACCATACTTTGACGATAGGAACAACTGATGGTGAACGATTACTAGTGATTGCGTTCGAACTATACCTTGCTAATAATCAGTTATGTACTTTCAAGGGTAACGTAGATCTGTGTTCTAAATACTCAATGCAAGATATTTTCGAGGGTTGGAGTAACACAACGGGTAATCTAAATGACATACGGGAATGGCTGATACGCCAGATAGCGACGAAAGATGAGGACCATTCGTATAAAACGCTGTACGAACACATGAGGCCAGTCACTGTTATTGACGAAACTATGCGTTTTGACGAAAATGGCCAGGTTATGGGCGTTCTTATTAAATATCCACCAAACTGTCAAAAAGGTGGGTTCGGTAAAAGCGACCAGGTGAAACTTCAACGTTTACATGATGCTAAGCGTAACAACCGTGCGAGTGGCGATTATTCGTCACTAACCACTGCAAATTTATCCGATGATCAACTTTATGGCGATGGAAATCCTGCCGTATCGCCAACAAATTTAACAAATGGATCTAACTGTTCGGGGGATAGTACACAGGCTTCGAGGCTAAGTACGTCTGTCAAGCGCCAGCTAAACATTCCCGACCATGAACTGTATGGTTGTGAAGATCATGATGTATCATCACCAACTAATGTATTAAATGAATCTGACCATTTGAAGAGGAACGAATGGCGATCCTGGCCAAGCATGCCTGGTAACCGCGAACAAATGTTAAGAAATGCGTTAAATTCGAACTGCGGGGAACAAGTAGTCTCTCGAGGAGGAATTGGGCAAAGAGATAGCAGTCACATTTATGAAAATATTCATCGCTCTGTGACCTCCAAACATCCATTATCTACAGATGTGGATCACAAAATTCAAGGGACGGAACGGGTTTTGGACTTGTTAGCCAGTCGTATAAAACACGGAGAAGAGAAAGTTGGAGAGCAGAAGGTAATTGAGAAATCAGGACATCGTTTTGACGATTCTCCCAGAGCCTCCGACGAGCCAGACACCGAGAGGAAAGTATTTTCTTTTGATCCTTGTCAGTTGTGTCATAGCACTCCATATTTTAGATGTACGGTTTGTGAACAATTCGTTTGTCAATGGTGCTTTGAGCAGAAGAGGCACGGTTGTTATCGTGTTTCTAATGTTTAGAATGTCGGCCGAGATGTTGATATAGAGTATTCTCATAAAAACCACAACAGGCAACAAGCATAGGTTCGAAAGAGAAAAAAAATTTCAATGACAATAGTATAAATCGCTTTAATCAATTAGTTTTTTGTAGTGACTGTTTTTTGTAACGATGACAAAAAGACACAAATTGTTGGTCAAAAGCCATCCGTATATAAGGATTGGGTCAACAGCTTTGCCGCCTGGCCATACTCTAATACAACTAAAATAGTATATTATAACGGTTTGTTATAACAAAACTAAGGTTAATTATGAAATCATCCAAAGAAATTCTTTTAATTTTTCATTTTTTGGACAAATGGTTTAGTTGTTAGTTGTGATTTGCTAGATCCGTATAATGACGTATGCGTATGATAACGTATGTTTGTTGTATTCTATCAGCGATTACGATATCTTTAGATTTATGTTTTTATATTTATGATATTTTCTGTATCTAATAATCCTTTCTTAACCTCTTACGATAGATCCTTTGAACATTGTATTGGTTAGTCTGATTATACTGACACTACAATCTCGTTTCTGAAGCCCGAGATTTTTTCTGTCGAGGAAATAAAGGCAAATATAAAGGCTTTACAATATGTCATTTTTCGGAGTATGTTGTTTCTTGTGTCTTATCAAATTGTCTGCTGGTAATATTTTTTTTGTAAGTTAAGGTCCTCTACTTGTCGTTGCTAAGTTAGGGCCTGTTTATATGATCCCGTCTAGCCGGGACGGGATGTTTTCATCCCGCTTAGCCGGGAAACTCGCCTAGGCGGGATGGCGTGTTTATATGGAGTCCATTTTTTAGTGCAGGTTCCTTCGACGGCATGTTTTATTGTAGAAAACGAATATACCAATATATACACATGCTTCTAATGTATGTTAATCGGCCAAGCGGGATGGAGTGTTTATATGGCAATTTCTCGTCCCGTCTAAGCGGGATCCCGCCTAGGCGGGATAAAAAAGTGGTCATATAAACACTAATTAGTGCTTGTATTACAAGCGGGGTCTCGGAAACTGTCCCGTCCCGGCTAGGCGGGATCATATAAACAGGCCCTTAAAGTAAATGTGTCCTTTTTCACAACCCTAGCTGTCTCCGCTGCCCTAAGGCTGAACTGCTTTCGACGCCTCTGAATTTGCTGATTTCTATTACTCCCGATCTCCATTTTGATATTTTTTGGTTTTGAATCCAATCACTTTTTACGATAGATCCTTTGGCTTTGGGGCATATTTTCTTTGTGCAAATAAGCTATTATGGAAAAATAAAGCATGTAGTCTTTTAAACAAACATTTTCTTTGTTGTAATTTCTAGTCAGATTGTCTTTTCGCGATAACCATGAACATGCGCTTGGTTAGTATCCTAACACTCCAATATCGTTCCTGAAGCCCGCGATTTATGGTGGCCCAGAGCTGCCATAGGTGATTTTACTTTTTAACACAATTTTCAAAAATATAATTTAGTGTAAATGATCCAAGTCTGGTTAAAATTCGCCGGACGAAAGCAATTACATGACAATTTTCATCCAAGCAAGACGGGCTCGTCCGGTTAGCCAGTTATAGAGAGTTGCCGCGCCTAGCCTTGCCTGCCGCTCAGTGGGTATAAGCTTGTAATCACCTCTAATTGTTAAATGGAAACACACTTCTCGACCGATCAGCACGCGCATACTAAATTTGGCAAAACCACCCCAAGCACCCTCGCGCGCTCGCGTTTTTTTCAGCTGACCTCTATACAATAACTGAATGCAACATTATTTTTACTATTAAAGCGCCTGGGTACGAGGCTGCATACTATAAGTGGTATTATTAGTAAGCTGTGACAGATGCCTGATCACAACGGAGTAGAGCCGATGCGATTTACTGCGTTATAGCCCTATAGGTTATATTTCTCATTAAAATAAATATATATTTTTAAAAATATTTAATAATATTGATCTATTTCCATATAATTGAAATATAATATTTTGCATCACTTGACCTACCAAAAAAAAGTATCGAGACAAACTGTAAAAGTGTGTTACCTTAAAAGTGCGTTACTATTTTTTAGAAATTAAGACAACTGTATTCTTACAAAAAAATTTTGCCTCATTGGTGGTTTGGAGCTACTGCTGTGCACAACCTAAATGTGGGGAAAAATAAATAAAAAATACATATGTGAGTAAAAAAAGTGACAGGCTTCGTGCGTGTAATTTTACAGCATGCTGAATTATTTGGACAATTTAATATTTCAAAAGAATTTTGTATGAGGTTAGAAATAAAACATCAAATATAGGGTGATCGTGGTTAATGACTTAATAATATTATTAAGTTAATTTCTATAAGGTCATTATTTTTACGATAGGACTATAAATGACGCAAGTCTAGCTAAAATTGCCGCCCGATTTGAATTGCCTTTACAGCGGTTTTAGGTAGATTATTTGAAACAAATAAGCTTTAAATATTGTAAAAACAGAGCTGATTGGATGCTGTAGTAATTCTGGCGTGACTAGTAGTCTAGTATCTCCTATGATTGATCGGATCATTTCGTGACATTCGCATGACGACAAGCGCGATTTGCCCCAGGGGCGCCGGAACCACGGGGGCGAGCGGGGGCTGTCCGGTTCCCTTTACCACTAAAAATATCACCATACACCCAACATTTGATCTTTTTAGCTAAACTACACTTTAATTACGATGCTTGTTTTCCGCATTTAATTGAATTTAAGCGTTCTTCTGTGCATCTGCAAGTTATAGTACAAGGTTATAGTTCCTCTCGTGTGGTTGTCAAGGTGCGCTTTTTCATAACTTTGCTGCTCCTAACTGCTTTCGACGCTTCTGAAATTGCCGATATCTATTACTTCTGATCTCCATTTTGATCACATTTTTTAGTTTTACTGACCGACCCAGTCACTTTTTTGACAATTTCATCACTTAGCTTGGGGTAGCTTCGCTATCAATTGTTTGCGGACTAATCGCCTTGACAATTTCGCATCGCCAAGATAAGGTAAGTGTTCCCCAAAATTCGGGAAATCATGCCATCCACACTCCCGCATCTTTGAATACACAATTACTAATTGGGACCATTTTGATAACACCTCCTCCCCTCCCCCCCCCGCACTAACGATTGCTTAAAATCTGGCATGGTTCCTAAATACCAAATTTTTGCGAAAAACTGGTTGGAACGGTGGAGTGTGGAGGCCGGAGGGGGTCAGGGGCAGCTATCCCTCTTGCTTTTTACAACTAGTGCATGCAGGGGGGGGGGCAACAATGGCTTTTTAATTTAATGGATTGTGTTTAAAAATAGCGCAATCATGATTTCTGATACTCTAAAGTAATCTAGCAAAGAGAGAAACTGAAAGATGAGATGAAGCAACAAATTATACAAATTAAACTAAACCACTCATTAGTATGTGTGTCAATACAGACGTTGTCCCTTAATCGTTTTGGCGTCATGGCATGGTCTAGTGTGACAGTGTCCCTGTATTAAGATTTAATTAACATAATGAAATATTGTGAATTGTACATCACAAAATATGTTTTTTTTATGGCTAACCCTGACGGCTAACTAACTAAAAGCCAAGAGATTAAGCTTATAAGAACTGAATTTCACACATTTATTAATTAATCCGACCTCATTTAAAATATTCCGGCTTCTGAATTGAATTTAAGAGGCGTTGTCTAGTCTTAGTATACATATCAGACTATCAGTGGAGTGGTTCGGCTCATTACGGCCAAAAGATGGCCAGATAATAACTCAATATCGAATTGGAAACTCCCATTTCCCCTTCATATCAGTCAAACAGGAATCGATTCATTTCACTTAGTAACTCTGTGGGATCACTGGGATGGGTGTGAAGGATGGTCATGCCGGTGAGAACTTGAAAATGCATACAACATGCCCCTTGACCCACTAAACCTAAAAATATTATAGTAACCCATTGCCACAGACCCAAAGTAATGTTTCAGCTGGTATTAAAACACGCGTGTGGCCAGTAGGCGTTCAGACCCAACTCCCGTGAGGGCGCGAAATAGACATGCCCGAACATGCAACGAAAACATCAGCAATTTCAGTGCGAAAATATTGACGACGATTTTTTTCGCAACATCAGAAAAACTCGTTATTCTATTTTGCCCGAATCTGACGGATTTTTTTGTCCGAATATCCTTATCTCTGAAGGATAATTAAAGGCCCCCACGCGATTCCAACGCCTTTGCGTGTAGGAGGGAAACTTTATACCGAATTAAGCTTTACTTCAAGCATCGAAACTTTGTATTCATTTCGGTAGCTTGTCATGTCACTTCGTGGCATTTGTTGGCAAAACAAGATGGATAAAAAACTTTAATATCCGTATCTCCTCACTCGCTCCTATGATCAACAAGTACTGCTGGAATAGTTTATAATTTATTCACTACACATGCTTACATGCATGCCCGGCTTTGGCTTATTCCAATGACAAAAGATTTATTTCACTAATCACTACTAACCGTAAAATAAAAATGTTGTTGACTTTATTTTTCAACTCTACAATTAACCCCTACTACACTGCAATACTCTTTCTCTATATATATGACCTTTACAAATAAATAAGTATATATATTTTTAATCTTTAACGATCTTAATCCTTGGTATTGAGACCGCAATTAGCGTCCATATTTCTAGAATTCAGTAATCGAGAATAATGTTTTTCACAATATCAGCACGTTTTGACGTCATATGCATATTGCCATATGTCCAGAATGTCACATATCATTCCATAAGCGTTTGTTTAAAATAGACCTCTCGAAAATAATCTCAAGGCTGTTTTTCATTTAGTCACGTTTGCCTGAACATGTCAAGGTGGTGGTTGATGTATTAGAACAGTTCTGCGCGCGTGCAATCAATAATGACCAGTGTAATGACTGATATAAAAGCAGAAAATAAAGACAAATTTACATCCAGACTATTACACATCGGTGAAAATGACCCGAAAATTATGACTTAATAAAAACCAGCCCTCACAACAAACTATTTTTACTTATTATTCAAACTCATAAGGCAATAAAGAAAATAGCGAGATGCATGTAAAATGTACTTTCAGCCGAGAGGGCAAATCGGGTGAAATCCCTCTTTAGTTTACATGCATTCATGCAATGTTTTGTCTACACGACTTGCGTAGAAAGCAGCGCTCACCCCAGAAGAGCCATTTTCAATGGGCCACCTACGGTCTTTACTCCAGCATATTCTAAACCAATTCAGCAAAGGATGTAGTTTCTTCCGAGTCATGCGTACTGCCGTTAAGGGCAATTTGACCTGAATCACGGCACGTTATGAGCATCAGCAGGCATTTCTTGTATTGTGGTAAAATGATGAAATATAATATCGGAGTCAAGCCATAGTTTATGCACGTAAACATTGGATAAATCTCCAGAAACTTTTCGAGGTGGGTATTACCGACCGTGACCCCATAAAAAAGAACATACACCAACTTGGCCTGGAGCACAACGAAGAAGGGTAACACAGTTATCAGAGTTGCAATAATGTAACAAAGTACGATAATGTTCAGTCTTTTATGACCATCGAACTGACTTCCACATTCTGTGCCAGTTGTAATTTGACTCGTCGCTTCCCGACGTGTGTTTTCGTTGTCCTGTGAGCGTTGATTCAGCCATAGGCGAATATAGAAAAATACGGTTAGAGCATACACGATTTCGGCCACCGCGCATATGAAGAATTCAACGTAGTAGCCCGTGTTCTCGAGAGCGACCAGCAGCCCACAAATTAGCGAAAAGACCACAATGGTAAGGCAGAAGTACGTGTAAACCTTTTTTCTCGCGCGAAGCCACTGGAGACGTTTGTGGGAGCATGTACTGAGGTATCTTTCGATGGCCATTGCCAGCAGTGTCAGGAATAGGGATAGCGCCGTAGTCCAGTACGCATATCGCCCAATCTTGAAGAATAATTGATCATCGCCTGATTTAAACAAAGCCGAGACGGACCAGCACACTGTCACAATGCCTTTCACGAAATACATTGAAGTTAGCGTGACAAAATAATATATAATCGGACTGCCAAATGTTAGTGCTAGATTCCGGTAAAACACCAAGCAAGATAAGCCATTCGTTACGATGGAAAGTAAACCGAATATCAAAGCGAAGCTCGGATAAAGTGTATTCATTGTCCTGCTTCCGATGAAATAATTGACAACAACTTGCACTTGCCTTTTGTATACGAGACTATATTAGTCTATATTTTGTTCGTCAGCCACCAAAGTATATATTCAGTTGATAATTCTTACTCAAATTCAAACCTTGAAGAAATACTGTATTTTGAAAATAGCCATACAATAACAGATTCAGTCGTGATCGCCGACAACTTGGTTCTAACATGTCATTCAGGTAAAAACTTCACAAGGCTTCTCTACTAGACTTTTAAGCCTTTCAGGTAGTTACCGGATGAGACTATGACGTCAATGACCTGACAAATATGCGATGACGCATTTTGTGTCATTATCTCCGTGGAATTTTTAGCACTTTAAGTGTCCATTGTGCGTCACATTTGCTGACTTTACGCGTGATAGAGCGACACTGATCAATATTGCCAATATCAAAGGTTGTAGAGTTCAAAGATAGTGCATTTAGCCCACAAAAAGGAGGCTATTTCGGCTTTTTCTGTAGACCTACGCGATGCCAATTCGGAAAATAATCTTATCTAGACACAACCTGCTAGCCACAACCTGGGTGTGTAGATTAATGAGATATTGATTGCTTACGTTTGACATATTTTTTCCAACTAATTACATCCTCATATTATTCGTGCATCTACATGTTAAAACTTTAAACTTTTTTGTTGTGAATCATTGAGATGCTTTAAAAGTACGAGCAGCATTTGAATTTGTGTTGTTTCCTTCGTTTCGAATATGCCTTCCCGCGGCTGACAATATAATTTAATAGCGAGTCAACAATTTTCAACAGGAAGCAGTTATTCAAATCAGTTAGTCTTATACGTTACAGTTTACACGTCTAGGTCTCTTATATTTTGATTTTTAAACAAAAAATTGTAAACAGCTATTTTATGCAGTTCAGTTGTCCGGGACAATAGTCGAATGTACAATATGAACGAATGATCGAAATAATCAAAGTTTTAAAAAGCTCGTGTAGTGGCTGGTCTGGTACTTTTGTGACTTTTAATAACACTTGTTCGCATAAGTTGCATAACCTTATTTGCATTGCGAGTTTTTGCTAACTTTTATATTGAAAACTATAACAGGCCGCGTGTATAAAAAAAACACACACAACATTAAATATTCATAAATATAAAATATTCGCTTCTTTTCAATAACAAAACAACCTGAATGGCGAAAGCTTTTCGATCTAGTGCAACACATTGTGCAACACATGCAAACTGTTATCAGCCTATGCAGCAAAACTCGAACAACCGTGCTCCTGGGGCCGATAGCCCATTTTTGAATGTTAAACGCTGTTCAAACAATTGTTTGAAACAATGACCGACTATTGTGACCGACTAATGCTTCCCAGAACGCGGCATGTGATCATCTGCCAAATTTAAGAATTGAAAAAAAAAATCGCAAAAATCCATTATTATTACCATAAAGCCAAATTTAGTACAAAGGGACATTGAAACATAAAAAAACTTGACATATTTAACCAACAGCTAAAAAAACTGGTCAGATAAGTTATACGCATGGCTGAGAAAATTTGGCAGGCTGGCTTCACTTTTCTTTGGTCTAACTCGCCTTAAGTATTTTAAACATTAATCAACTTTTATAATAAAGTTGATCTTCTAGTAAGTGTAAGATCTTATTTTCTAGAATTCTTTAAATCGTAAAGGCAAAATTGCGGCTAAAACGGAACAAAGGCTAGACTAAAGAAAGGCAAACGCAATAAAAGCATAACCGGAGCTATGATTACGTATATTTTATCAAACCAAGCCAAAACGAGCATGGGTTGAGTTCAGTTCGTAAGGGAAATAGATTATTCAGCCAACATCTGTCAAGGAACAACTTCGCTATTATGCGTCATCATAAGCCACGATGACGCATCTGTTTCACTTTTATTTGTTCTGAGTAATTTCCACTTTTTTTCACACGGAGTAGATTGTGCCTACATGCGCATGTTGACAAAAACCAGTGACAAAAACAAATTCGTCAACTTCCGCTGGCCATGGGTTAGTCTGACCGGTTTTTAAATAACCGGCCCCAGTTGTCTTTGAGATCAGTGAGCATTGCCGCCTGTCATGCAGGCTAACCAAAATAGGAACGATCTTGCAGCAATTATGAACGCAGAATTATAGTTTCTCTGAATATTTTCTATGGGTTTTTGTCTATTCTCTCGTTCTATTATGTTGTAATATGAGTGATGATAAAAATGATGAAAATCCGTTTTCATTCAAGCATTTTGTCAAGCATAAGAACGAAGATTTAGACCATCAGGATAAAAGATTGCCTAACAAGCAGGCAGGGACTAATGTTAGTAATGTATCAAATGTTCAAAATGATGAATTGCCGTTCCCTGAAGTGTCTGAAACAACTGGAACTAAAAAGAAAGGCAAAGGTATGAATAATATTACTATTTGATGATGTGAAATTATGTATAGTATTATAGCATATACTGGTCTGTTTGAAATTGACAAAGTTGAGCAAAACGTCAGCTACGAATATGATCATGCATATTCCCAGAATTGAGATTTTGTTTCCCTTTTGGGTTTTAGACCTGATACTTGGAGCTGGAGCCTTCTCCAGAATAGTGAAATTTAATCCACATGCAGCACAAACTAGACATGCAGTAAATATAATTTGGTACAGATGATGACAGTATATTAATTGTCAGATTGGTAGACAGAAGAGCTACCTCATTCCAATTTAAACTTCCCAATGAAGCCTCAGCTATATGGGCAATTTTCTTCCTCTGGTGTATGCAATTAAATTAATTTAACCAGGTAGATTTCTTTTCCTTGCCAAGCTTTGACAAATGTGAACATAATCCACACAATAACATACGCTAGAAAGAGACACATAGAACAATTAAGCCTTTCATTTTATTGCAATAGACCATTCTAGCAATAAACAGCACTCAACCATGATAATTAATGCATCTCTAACTGTCAACAATTGAAAAGTCTATTTCTGTTGCTAACTGGTGTTAATTTCAGGTGTTCTTGATAATTATTGTGTTGTGGGGCAATATCTCTTTCTGCAGGTGATGTTCACCAGAGGCAGAGGGTATTTAATACCATCATTAAATTTGTCTTAAATTGGATTGAGTACCGTAATGACTTGAATCACTATGGATAAAGAGGGGATCATTGTTAAGTTCATGTTCAAAAGTATCATCTTCTAAATTAGGAGTGTTGTATAGAATGAAGATAAAAAATCCAAAGATTTAATCCAAAATTATCAAAAAAATAACCCAATTTCATGATTTTCCACTCTGACTTTTGGAACTTGATATAGGAGCATACTTTGGCTACTTCCTTGCTCTTGGCAAGTAAAATTCTAATATAACTAAGGCTGGGGCAGCATCACATTGACTTCGAATATCGCATAGTATTGTATCTCATTCACATCTAGTGTAGCATAAACTGCCTGAAAAAGAAAAAAAAAGTTTTTTTGACGTTTCCACAAGTACAATGATTTTGCTATCAAAATTACTAAGCACAATAGTTCCTCGCTAACTCGAACTCCCAAGGGGAAAGAAAAATTGTTCGAGTTACTGGGGGTTCGAGTTAATCGGAGTTGGTGTCAGATTACGTTTATTATATATAAGTAATACAATAAGGTATAAGATCCAATGGAATCATTTTTCAAGGGATATCATGCCTACCAATATGAATGGTCACCGAGAGTGGACGACGTTTTAAAATTAAAAAGATCGAAAGAATACAAAAGGAACTAAAAAAGCTAGATCAATAACAACCGTGGCACTACACAAAATCTTTTAAAATTTATAAGCCTTTATATACAATTATACACTGATTAACTTGTTATTTCGATAGTTGTCAAAATGCTACCTCTCACATTTTAAAGCATCACTATGATTCGAAACCAAAGTTCGAGTTGACCGGATATATTTGACCAAGGGAAAACAATTTTTTTTCGAATTAGCGAGGATTTCCAGTTAAGCGAGTTCGAGTTAAGCGGAGTAAATTACTATAAAAAACACTGTCAAATTCAAGGGGAATTGAATTTAATTCGAGTTAGCGAGGAGTTCGTGTTAGCGGGGGACCACTGTACAAAGATTTTTGCTAAGTACAAAGATTTTATTGGTTGTTGGTTGTTAGTAAGTAATGTCCAATATTTAAGAACCCCCCCCAAAAACCAGTAATTTTAATACTTGAGCTTGTGGCATATGTTTATTCATGTAGGAGGATCTCGAATCCCGTTCGCATTTCTTCCGTTTGAACTTTGAACATTGTTTAAAAAGAATTGATATAAATAACGATTAACGGTACAAAGAATTAACTAACCGTCAAATTTCATGACAAGACGCGTTATAGACGTACAATAAGACATTATAGAAGTAAAGTTACGGGGAATCACAGGCAGAGAGAATTTTGATCAACAGGACAAAGAATATCTTCAGGAACAAAGATTTTACTAAACTACATAACCTAGCTTTCAGTGCACATAACAAAGCACGTAACATTTTATAATTATAAACAACTATTACATCATTAGAATAAAGTTACGGGAGCGGATTTTGATAAAAATGACAAAGAGTACCTTTGCATGGGTACAAAGATTTTATGAATCGAACCTTTCAGATTACATAACAAGGTCAAACCACGTAAAATAGCATATACGTCTATTAAAACATTATCTATTATCATTAGAAGAATAGAAGTACAGACTAAAGTTGCGGAAACCACAGAGTATTTTGATAAAATTACGAAGATTAGATACGTTCAAATATAATCAGGGGACAGCGTGACAGAGTGTCAGAGTCTTCAAACAACTTCGCTTCAAATGTGGCAAAACAATTGCCTAAAATAGACAAAAATATTTCTCGACGTTTCGACCTGAGGGCCTTCGCCAGGAGAGTTTGTTTATGCTAAACTCTACTGACAAATGCCAAGGTCGAAACGTCGAGAAATGTTTATGTCTATTTTAGAAAGTTGAAGTAATGAAGTTTGACCATATTTGAAGCGATGTTGTACAAAGATTATCTTCAAGTACAAAGAGTTTACTGACTTTTTAGATGACATAAAAACATTTAATATTATATTAAATAGTATAAACACATTAAATAGTATGAACACATTAAATAGTATAAACACATTATAAACATATATGGCAACATTATAAAAGTAAAATTACGGGAATGCTTTATTTTCTGAGAAGTAAATATTTCGTACTCGAAATCGAATTTCAAAACTCTTTTGCATGAGAAATTGCATGGCCTTTGTTTAGGTCAAAGAGTAAAGAATTTTTTGTCTATTTTTAGGCATGCAGTTGTTATACACATTTGCATGATGAGTAAGTCTAAAAAAACGGTGTAAACCAATCCGATTGAAAATTTTTTTATATTCTATCCTTGCAATAACAAGATTTTAAAGGACAAGGCCAGTCATAGTCATAGTTCCCAGAAAAATGTTACCGCTAGAATAAAGTACTTTGTTATTTTAAATGAATTGCCTCGTCACCGGCCACCAACAATACATCGCCGACAGTTGGCGACATATAAGAACCAGGCAGGGTTTGTTAAACACGAATACAAGTGACTTCATGACTATGTAATTGAACGGCGGAATAATTATAGAACTGATGTGTCCTAATTTTAACTTTTACCAGATTTGTAACAATAAACTTGACAAAGCGCCGGATGCGTTAGAAGAAAGTGCAACAAAAATGGCCAAATAGAATACGCATATATGATATATGTTACAAAATTTGATTCTAAAAATTTTAGCCATGTAACTCTTTTTCAGTTTGTCCGGATTTTCGGCTGAACTTTGTCCAAATGTCTTGATTCTCGAAATTTTTGGGCGTACGCCTATGGGAAAAAAATGTACATGGAGTACGCAGCAAAGCGACTCTACATTTAGTGTGACAAATAACAGTGGGCAACTATGACACCAAAGGTAGTGCGTGGGAAGTGTGTGTGTGTGAACACGTTAGTTTGAGTTATCTTGAACACGTGAAATAGCCATAGTCATGAAATACGATGAAAATAATGCGGATCTCTATACGTATAATACTGATATTCATCGTTACGACGGATTGATTCAGTAGGCATTCCGTGTCGCTTTACAAATGAGGCAAGGGAGGGCTTACTATATAGATTGTTTGATAATTATCAATTTCAAATCAGAGCAAAAGTAAATTGCCAGACGTTGAACTTTGTAGACCTCACTCTTGATTTACAAGATAATTAATATTTCCAGCCTCATTCCTAAGACAATTCCATCATCTGTGATTAAGCCTGTCTCTCGCCCTTATAATCCGACTAAAATGCCATCTCGACTTGATGCCACGAAGCCGAATGTTCACACCATTAAAGGCCTTGTTACACAATTTTTCATGCAGTCTCGCAATACATTTCTACTTTTGAGGGATGTAAAATTAGCCAACTACGAAATTTTTGTATATTAAGATCTGTTCATACGATCCAATTTGGTTGAATCCAGTCCACTTCTGATTGATGTTTTACAGTCTGTTGACATGGAATGTATATGAGCGGCCGAGCAACTAAACCCAACGCAATACTGCTTTGTTAATAATAGTCTACATTCCATACGTCAGAAGTCACTGATTAGATCCGACAAAATTGGATCGTGTAAACAGACCTGGCTTTATAATATACAAAAAAGTCTTGCGTAGTTGGCATATTTAGGTCTGTACTTCCTTGGACGTTTCTTACTCTCACATTTTCAAGGCTCGTCACTAATTTACATCTCTTAAAAGTAGAATTGCATTTTGCATAAAAATTGCACGTGTAATAGGGCCTTAAAACGCAGTCACCGACAGTGATAAAAGACAATCTCAATATCACATTATTTAGCTTAATCCCTCTTACAGTAGAAACGTTAAAACCGACATCAGACGAAATTTTAAAATTCTAATCGATAAGATTTCTTATGTACACTTTTTAACCGTCTGCATACGTTGTTCGATCTTACAGTACGTTAAAGATAATTAGATAAACCATGGTGATAACCTTAAATTCCGAAAAACAAGTGAAGCGGCGACCCGTTTATTCCGAATAAACTTGTTTACTTTCTTTTTTATTACGTTTTTCCTAAAAGAACTGGGTTTGTATATTTCATTTCGTATTCCCGAGTGAATGATTGCCCCCAGGATGGCGTCGAACGTATTTGTGCTGGCTCGTGCTCGTCACTTAAGCTCATCTAAAAACTAGGGCAACAAAATGTCGTGACTTTAAGCCGCTTTCCACTAGTGATATATTTCACGCGAAGCGAATGTATTCTTTTGCATTTGAGCAATTTGTTCCAGATGATTGCAGTTGACAGCTGTGAAACCAAAGTAAAATGTCGCTTCCGCGCGAAAATTAGACGGATTTAGCTTGAGGACGTGAACGTCAAAGGCAAAAATGCAAACGTAAAGATGTTGAATAAATTGCGTGACACGTCCATATATGGCGCTGTGCGCAATTTATTCGCCATTTTCACGTCATCTTTGACGTTGCCTTCCTCGAGCTAAATTTGCTTAATTATCGCTGGTGGTCTGGAAAACGGCCTTACGCCTCTCTCTCGTCGTCCTTGGTTTTACCTCGCTCCTATTTCAATACGACTCGATGTTTTGAGATTTAACACCCGTAACAAGATGAAGAAAGAACAGTGACCTTTATAAACAAGCGACAGCGATATTACTGACGCGGTTGTTATATGCTGGCCCTGGCCACTCGCCTAAAATCTTAAATAAACTAGCGATCACGGTCGAACATATTGTTTTTTATACGTAAAACTCAAAAGTGGACACAAAATGTACTTTAAAATAAATATACAAATGCATTTAGAATATTCCCGGGGCATAGATGGGTCATGCAGTAACACCCCAATGTTCGAACTATATAAATTATTGTCTACGGGTGCATTGTATATAGAAGGTAGCGAAGAACGCTGTAACGTCTTTTAAGCTGTCCACTTTTGTAACCATGCAACCTTTTATTTTAAGGAAGAGATGCTAAGAAATCTTCGCACATCAAAGAAAAACCACCGGAATCGTCCAGCAATTTAGAATTGGATGTGGAAAACCCATTTTCATTCAAGAATTTTGTTAAGAAGGATGCAGCATTGAAAACTGGAGGTCGCGTGCTGCAGGTGCGTTGTGAAATATTTCGAAATTTACACTTGATTTGGGTTGGTATATATGGTATAGTGCAGCTACTCGGAATTCAACTAGTACATGATTGATGAGTGTTGATAAAATATTGCATCAATTCGTTACCTATAAAGTTGATCAATACATTTGCTTAAACATTCGCTAAACTTTCTGTCGCTATTTTACTTATATAGGCAAAGCGAAATAGAATTCTTTTTAGTTTAACTCCATAACAAATGTTTTTAGACCAGGGGCCGGTTGATCAAGCCCGTTCGTTTAGCTTAAACGGCGGATAAGTTCAAAATAGAAAGCAAGTCTATCGTTTTATTCAACAAGCGAACAAAATGTTTTTGACCTTAATACAAAGCTACTGTTTATAACTACATATTCAGTGCATAATATTCAAGTTGACTCATTCAAGAGAGTTGTAAGAGTGTTATTTAATTTTGACTTATCCACCGTTTAAGCTAAACGGGCTTGATACAACCGGCCCCAGAGGACGGTTGCATAGAAGCCGGATAGCGCTATCCACTGGATAGTGATTTTTTCAACAGTTCAAAAATGGTTAAATAGCAATTAAATTCCATCTTTGGAACTAACAATTATTAAAGAGGATCCTTGATTTAGGAATACTACGATTTAATCAAAGTTTTCCGAAAAAACGAGCGATTTTAAAGCGATTGAAAAAAACACTATCCGGTGGATGGCGCTATTCGGCTTTCTTGCGTTTTTATATAATATTCTTGTAATTTTGCATTGTGATATCACAATATAAATAAATTAGCTTGTAGATACAAGCTAGTTGATTTAAATTCTATATAGTTTACTTTATTAATTTTTGAGTTATCGGGCATTAAAGTTAGAAGAATGAGGTTTTCCGTTTGCTAAGAAAAGCGACAAAACAGGTTTATTTGCATATATTCATAAAGTTATAAAGAACAATACAATAGAGATACGAAACAATAGAATAAGCCAATCAATCACTTTCGTTTGCTCAGGGTAAATATTTTCGTTTTTTACAGAGAAAATATCCAGAAACGATTAGGAAGACACGATTATATTCCTTAGATTTTTTAAAATCATGCAGGGTGGATTGTAATTTTTTTGTAGTGGATCACCCCAATAGCTTTAAACACAGTATAATAATTACTTTTGTATTACTCGTTTACTACAGATAGTTGACGATGAAGTGTGTGAAGTAGAAAACAACGCCGACACAATTCAAGACATCACTAGCGAACATCCTTCCAATATATGTATTGAAAATGATTCTTCAAAAGATGATTTAGCCTCTAATTCTGAAGAAATTATACAGGTATATGGTGTATTCATACATTCAGAAATAGTTCCATTTAGTATTAATGTGAAGCATATAGGGATTGTCTCGCACGGTCCACACGCAGACCGCATATTTATTAAATTTCCCGAATCACGAAAGTTCACGAATGGACGCCAGATGATCTCGCGCTTTTATTTTAGCCAATCAGCACTCGGAAAGGATTGTCCAAATAGAAATCCATTTCTCAGTATTTAACCGATTTGATCGGTTTCGTTATTCTTTATGAAACTTGTCAGAATTTTGTAGTTACAAGGACTATAGCTCTGACATAAATTTCGATCCGAAATAAAGTATATTTCAAGAGATAGCAGGTTGTTTTAATGGAGAAATGGATTTCTATTTGCATGGCAACTAGTTTCCATTCCATTCCCGCGTTTTCGGATCACCCAGAGCAATACAGTGTAATAATGAAAACCTTAAAATTCACCACGAAGAAAGTAAAAAAGAAAGGAATACTAAATGGTTTTCCGTGCAGGATAGCGTATATACTGCACTTGAGTATTGTGAGACTTTCGGAAAGCGTGATGGCTATCAGTAAATTAAACCGCAGGCGAGTGTTGACTGCAATGGAATTCTAAACAAGCCAATCAGAGTTTCTGTAGTTAGGACTTAGGACAAACCGTTGTTCCGTGTTTTCTTTACATTGTCTATCGTTTACAACTTCAAAATTGTCCGACATTTTAAAATTCCCGCGCGAAGCGGCATTGTAAACTTTTCGGTGCAGGATTGTCTCATCCTGTACGCTCACTAACCAATCAAATTGCGTGCTTTATTGTAGGTATTATATAAAGTGTTTTACATCGTGACAATAGCATAGCGTTCCGAACTGAAATATATAAAAAACACTGATTCATTTGCCTAAATTTATCAAACGCCTGAATTTCTGAAATTTTGCCACGATTTAAAAAAATGCAAAATAAAGTTATAAGCCCCGTTCTGCAACGAGGTTTTAAGCTCGAAATAATTTTAGACCATCAATTTTTTTCCTTGTTTTAAGCCTTTAGGTCAACATTTTCTTTAAAATTTCTCACCTTTTCATCTGTCACTGACAAAAGCCGCCTTTTTTAAAAATCCGCTTATAAGTGATTACAGGGTTTATTGTCGCGTAGTAATCGGACGTCGTTCCATCAATCAGAGGCCAGAATTTGCAATAATTATCTTTGTAACTTACTAATTATAGTTAAGAGAAGAAAATGAAATGTTGAAAAAACAACTTCTGGATATGAAAAAGTCAAAGGAAGGGGAATCCGCGAGGTATAAAAGTAAACTTGCCTTTGGAAAAATATGAGTTGACATAAATTGCTTGACATTGCATCAAAATACTGTTGTTATATACGCATTAAACGAATCCTGTAACGACCAATGCGTGTTGGTATACAGAAATTTGGTTAGACCCAACACCACAGACAGAACCCAATAGGTAGGGATTGTGGTTGGTGTCCATCGTATTCATGCGATAAGGTGCCTTTATAGGCCTCGACGTCGATTAGTTGTATGCGATTATCATTCTGACAAATGGAAACAAGTGCTGACGCCACAATCTTTGTTTCGTAAAATGCCGAATATAAAATTTGACGTTTGTACGCGCGTTTATACAATCACATATAGTTACACACTTCCGGTCGTATAGTAATTGCCAAATTCGCATGGCTATTTTTTCCGTACTTTACAATATTTTGCAGCCAAATTTGGTAATATTACTAAATTTAGTACGCACTTTTTCGGAAATTTCCTTTTTGTTACCTAAATCAAAATCAAAGGTCTATCATACAAAAGGTCCATTAGCTTCCGTTCAATTTGCTAAACGTCATGTTTGACACGTGACTAAAATTACTGTACTAGATTTGGACAAGCATTTCGATTGGCAGGATAGTATATATAATGGAAACATTTACTATGAGCTGTTGACCGTAAGCTAGGTTGACCTAGTCACCGCTCACCGTATATCAGCTCGTGTGGGATGTTTGGCAAAAACAAGATAGCTGCACTTCGAACAAATGTGCAAATTTACCTTTTTTGGCTGTTTTAAAAACGTTGGTTTTTAAATCTATGATTAAATAATTGTACTGTGTTTCAAAACTGTTTGAATATTTCCGTAGAGCGGAGTCCCTTGTTAAGAAATTGAAAGAAATGCAACAGAAAGAGAACGAAGAAACCGTTGCGTTAGAAAAAATGGTTCATATGGTCGAGAAAAACCTGGAGTTGACCACTGTAAGTTGTTTATCATGTTATATACACAAGGCAGACTCACAGGTGGAAAACGTTTGTGATCCTGTAAACCTGGACTCAGTTATTTTCATTGATAAGTACCGGCCGGATGAGTGACGACTGTCTCTGTTTTACATCATTCTGTGGAAAATTAAATTGGAAATGCCGCAATATTTTACTGCTACAGAAATACAATTTCTCAAATTGCTTGTCAATTTGCAGTATTATGCAATGATTACCTTAAAGCTACCCATATAGGAGCTACCTTAAGCTCGAAATACATACGTGAGCATCAGCTGGCAGTGTATTAATTCAATTACGAATTCATGCATTTTTTGTTTGTTTCAAGTGCAAATACATGCCTTATGTCATATAATAAACTTTTTATTAACCTCGCTTGCTCGGTATTTACGGAGAAATATCCGACCTCGATCTTTTTACACAAACCTCGCTCTTCGAGCTCGGTCTGTTCAAAAATTACAATCACTTAAAACAAGGCTTATACTTCAATCTAAAAATACTCTGCAAAGTTACGTTCCTCCATAACTACATAATACTTAGTAATAATAACTTCTGTTTTGTAATAATGTAAGCATATGTGACCGTCCGAGTTTGTTTGTAAAATTTCTGTATATGTCTGTACTAGTTGTATTTTAGTGTATTTATATTTAGATAGGGAGACAATTACAAATTGGGACTTATGTCCTGTTATTGTCTTCTGTCACTGCTGTAACTTTTAGTGACATCGGTCCGATATTCGGTAAAGACCTCGCGCTCGGTTAATAAGAAGTTAAGATTTATTGCTAGATTTAATGTCTTAAATTTTTTTTTAGCAACGAGCGGCACAGGCAGAAGCGATGAATTTAAAACTGAAAGAAGAAAATAAAATTCTTAAGGTATCGATGTTTAAATGTTATTATTGCCCGTTTACACCACACTTAATTTAGTGACACAGCACAGCGAAAATTTGTACCCGTTCCCAATTTATCTATGATCATATATACTAATACATAAGCTGAGCACCGACGTGTACTCATTCTAGCGGTGCTGTTCCAAAAATTTAAATGTGATGTGAACAGGACTTAAGACGTTTTAAAAAGCAGCGGCGATTTACGAAAGTATAAATCTGATGATAAGCGTGCACAGTCTTTCGCATCAATGATAGTCATTCCTTTGTTCTGTAATATCTATCGAAAAGCCCCTCGCCAAATGGACTAGGGCTTGGATTGTGTCACTGGCAGTTCTCACTCAGTCTAGACTAAATATTCATTTTATTTCAGAGTAATTCTGTTAGCAAAGCTGTTTATGACGACCTGGTTAAGAAACACCAAAGTTATATTTCCGGCATTAAAGAACAAGCTTTGTCAGTATCCCAGCATCTTGAAACTACTGCGAAGAATGCAGAGGAATCTTTAAGGTGAGACTACTTGCAATACAATTTTACTTTTGAGTGTGATGCATCACATGTAACTTGGCAATTATGAAACTTTTCGAAAGACAGATTTACTGATAAAAACAGACTATAAAAACAGACAATAAAAACAGACTATAAAAACAGACTATAAAAACAGGATCGTCTGAACAGGCAAAACAGGGCCTTTAGCTTTGCTGCCTTTAAAGGAAAGATTTAAGAATATGTCTTCAATTGTCACCTAATTTGGTTGTATGTGTAATGTACACTCCTGTACTTTATCAAAGAAACCCGTCAGGATCGCTGAAATTTGTTGTTCTTTATCTTAGAAAACTCTATTCAGGGGTAGATTCACTGAAGCTTGCATCACAACTGCTTGATTCAATTGGTAAATTTACAAATTTGCATGGGGAAGATGACGTGAAATGATGCATCAAGCACTTCCTAACCGCGAGATGTCGGGAGTCCAGAAATATCTGAACACTGATTTGATCTGCATTTACAATACTGGGATATTCGTCATTATTCGACACAACAAAGCCTATGCTATAGACACTTTAAAACAAGTGCCACTCAAGTTGTTCCCCTCTATAATGCTAAATCCAGAAAAAAAACAACACTATCCCAATACTGTTAGATCATAACATAACCTTTCCATGAGAGGATATTGATATTTCGACAGGAGAAAATATTGATATCTCCATGACAGAAGAGGATATTGATATGTCCAGGACAGGACAGGACAGGAGAGGAGAGTATATTGATATGTCCAGGAGAGGACATGAGAGGATATTGATATGTCCAAGAGAGGAAAGGAGAGGATATTGATATCTCTAGGAAAGGAGAGGATATTGATATCTCCAGGACAGGAGAGGATATTGATATCTCCAGGACAGGAGAGGATATTGATATCTCCAGGAGAGAAGAGAATATTGATATCTCTTTTCCAGGAGAGGATATTGATATTGACCTTGACCTTGTGATCTAACCAAGCGACTTCATTTTAAATTGTTTTATGACAAACGCAACATAAAGTGTTCTAACAACTTGTAATTTTCTTACTGATAATTTTATTCCCCCTTTTCACCAATTTCCAAACTCTGGAACAATAGAGGCCCGCCTATACTTTTTGAGTGAAGCGTGGTTAGGGTGATTTTCTTAACTTATCTCATGCGATCAACACAGGAAATTGCATAGACGCGCCCTGGTAAAAAGTATGCGTCAGGGACCAATGTGAAGTACGCACCACATTTAACACGACATACAAAACGTATTCAACACGATGTTCAAAAACAATGTATGACTCATTTCCATCATTCAAACCGGCGTTTGAAATTCAAATATTGTTTACAAATTACAATCCTTTCCAAGCATTTATTAAAAAAATCAAACGAAAAATAAAAAAAACAACAACAAAACAAACCAAGGCGAATTTCAATTCCGTCGCTCATGCCGGAGAAAAAACCGTACCGCACGCAGTCGCATGCAGGGAACGAATAATAATCTCACAATCACCACATAAAGCCATGTCATATATACTAAGCCTTCGGCTTTTGGAGTCGCACCCACTGCGTGACATAATGAAATACGATTGTTTGCTCAAGGGATTTCATACCTGTGATATTTAGCGTCAACACAAATGGTTGATATTAAATTAAAGCTACGAGTATAAGGTAAAACTATGTGCGTTTTAGGCAAGAACATAAGTCATCATCATCAAAATAAACTCATTGAGATCATTAATTTATGTATAACCCTTCGAAAAACAGGTTTAGTAAAATACAATGGTGTCCTATTTTGCCATAAATTTTGCTGGTCTGGTGGTGATGCAATGTTCTCCCGGATTCCAAACTGGGGGGTAGAATCCTACCATAACCGTTCTTCATTATGGACTTCGTGAAAAGGATAAAGTAAATTAAATAACCATAGTCAATCAGAGCAAGATATTGTAGCCTAGTGGCGAGGACAATGGTTTCTCAAGTGGTAAATCAATGGTTCGAATGCTACCATAACCGTTTTTCATGATGTCTTTCGAGAAAAGATAAAGTGAATTAAACAACCATAGCCTTTCAGCACAAGATCTCGTAGTCTAGTGGCGAAGACAGTGGTCTTGCAAGTGGTAAATCGATGGTTCGAATCCTACCACAACCGTTTTTCATTATAAACCTCGTGAAAAAGATAGAGTAAATTAAATAGCCATGGCCCTTTAGTACAAGAACTTGTAGTCTAATGGTCAAGATGTTGGTCTCATGTGTGGACAGTCGGAGGTTCGGATCTCGTTTTAGATGGAAATTTTCGTTATTAATATTACATGGTAAGGTTATGGCGAATAAGTTTGTGTAGGCTTCCAACAATCACCAGTTAGCCTTGTGGTAAAGTCGTGCTCTATCAAGTACAAGATCGTGGTATCAGGAACAGGATGGTTCGTTTCTCATAGCGGAAAGAAAGAAAAAGGGATTTTACTTAATCCTTTTTTGGAAGGATCTTTGACGAAACTTAATACCTTTTGGTAGGATCGCAAATGAAAAAAATATTTAAACTGATGAGTTCACTTTAATGTTCATCACTTATTTTCTCAAATCTCAGCATCTCTCACACGGTATCTTATTCGTAGCTTGTAACGTAATATTAGCAATTTGTGTTAAAATATCACATACAGGTATGCAGTGGCTTGAAGAACTATTTTTCCATAAGTTAGTTATATGCGGCCCAAGTGAAGCTAATGGTTACGGTGCGATTGTTTTGTATTTTTAATGAGTGAAGTCAAAGTAAAGTACAAGAATTGACAATGCATTTCAACATAGGTTTTAAGAGAAAAGTTAATGAACAGATATTGACTAGTTAAAAGTTCTACGAAGAAACGATTAGGTCAAATAAAGAACAATAGCTTATCGACAAACGATGTGGTCGTCAAGCAGTTGTTAAGACGGTCTCTTTAGTACAAAGATTCAAATATTAGATTAGCGTATTTTATATTCGACGAACCGGCTATAGACGAACCGGTGAGGAACAGTCTTGAAATAAATATTCAATGTCTGTTTAACTGGATATTTGCTTATTTGCAATTTTAGATGTAATGCTTGTTGCCTCATGACTATACGAGTTATATACATTTAGCAGAATTCATATACACGGGAAATTCATCAAAGACGGGAAACTCATCGAAGACGGGAAACTCTTCTTATGTGAACCTCACAGACGGGTTTCTCCTCCGAATTTTCCCGTCTAACTTATAAGAGACGGGTAAGTTAGACAGGAATCCCGTCTGGAAGAGAAACTCGTCTTAAATTCGCATTTAGACGGATCAGTAAATCAGTCGAGTTTCAGAAATATCAGGGGCTGGTTGAATCAAGCCCGTTAAGCTTAAACGGTGGATAAGTCAAAATTAAATAACACTCTTACATCTCTCTTGAATGAGTCAACTTGAATATTATACACTGAATATGTAGTTGTAAACAGTATCTTTGTATTAAGGTGAAAAACAAATAGTTTGCTTGTTAAATAAAACGACAGACTTGCTTTCTATTTTGAACTTATCCACCGTTTAAACTAAACGGGCTTGATACAACCGCGGCCCCAGCACGGTTAATAAGGACGGAACAAGGCTAAAATTATTAATATTATCGTAATGATTAGGCATTACCCGAACCATGCATCACACGCATTAATTTTCCATATCCCAATTCACATTCAGACGGGTTTTTACGGCTATAAACTTTCCAGTCTCAGTAAGATGAGTATTCGGCTGTTCTTAATTCTTTTACTTTACTGTGACTTCACTTCATTAAAAATACAAAACAATCGCACCGTAACCATTAGCTTCACTTGGCCCGCATATAACCAACTTATGTAAAGACAGTGCGTTAGAGCACTTCATATCTGCATGTGATATGTTACAAGCTACGAGTAAGATGGTAATGTCTGTAAAGATACAGTGTGAGAGATTTGAGAAAATAAATCATGAGCATTACAGTGAACTCATCAGTTTAAATTGTTATTTCATTTGAGATCCTACTAAAAGGTATTAAGTCTCGTCAAAGATCCTTCCAAAAAAGGATTAAGTAAAATAAAAAACTGTAGGCTTTCACCACAAGAACTGGTGGTGTAGTGGTGAAGACGGTGATCTGCCAAGTATACAGTCGATGGTTCAAGCCCTGGACAAATCAAAAAAGAACAACCAGGTAATAAGGTGAGAATTTGTGAGTGTGAGAGGAGTAGAGCGAGAGGGCGAATATGCCCTCGCCTTAGGCGAGGAGTAGACTGAGGGGGGTTGTCTTTCCCCCGTCTTTCCTGACTTTCAAAGCAAGCTTTCTTCAAACATTTAATTGTGTAAGGGGATAGTTAGGGATATCTGAGGATAGGAAAGGGTAGGGATAAATAGGAGTAAATAGGAGGGTAAATAGGGGTAAAGAGGTTTAATTGAGTACAAAAAGACTTAAACGTTTTATATACTGTTTTCTCAACTATACCCTCTCCCTGCTCCCGGGAGCCGAGGCCGCCCGCCCAATTACAAAGTCTTTTTGTACTCATATACCCCTCATTCACCCTACTTATCCCCGGATTTCCCTAAAGATTAACTTTGATTTCCAAAGATTAACCGAGCATAAACCCGAACAACATACCCACCCTTTTTCTTCCTTTCCGCTATGAGAAACGAACCATCCTGTTCCTGATACCACGATCTTGTACTTGATAGAGCACGACTTTACCACAAGGCTAACTGGCGATTGTTGGAAGCCTACATAAACTTATTCTCCATAACCTTACCATGTAATATTAATCACGAAAATTTCCATCTAAAACGAGATTCGAACCTTCGACTTTCAACACATGAGACCAACATCTTGACAATTAGACTACAATTCCTTGTGCTGAAAGGCTATGTTTATTTAATTTACTCTATCGTTTGCACGAAGTTCATAATGAAAAACGGATATGGTAAAATTCGAACCACTGATTTACCACTTGGGGGACCATTGTCTTCACCACTAGACTACAAGATCTTCAGCTGAAGGGCTTTGGGTATTTAATTTACTTTATCTTTTTCACGAAGTTCATAATGAAAAAACGGTCATGGGAAGATTCGACCATCGATTTACCACTTGGGAGATCATTGTCTTCACCACTAGACTACGAGATCATGTGCTACACGGCTACGATTATTTGATTTACTTTAAACTTTTCACGAAGTTCATAATGAAAAACGGTTATGGTAAGATTCGAACCATCGATTTACCACTCGGGAGAGCATTGTCTTCACCACTAGACTACGAGATCATGTGTTGAACGGCTAGCCTATGATTATTTGATTTACTTTATCTTTTTCACGAAGTTCATAATGAAAAAACGGTTATGGTAAGATTCGAACTATCGATTTACCACTTGGGAGACCATTGTCTTCACCACTAGACTATGAGATCATGTGCTGAACGGCTATGATTATGTGATTTACTTTAACCTTTTCACGAAGTTCATAATGAAAAACGGTTATGGTAAGATTCGAACCATCGATTTACCACTCGGGAGACCATTGTCTTCACCACTAGACTACGAGATCATGTGTTGAACGGCTAGCCTATGATTATTTGATTTACTTTATCTTTTTCACGAAGTTCATAATGAAAAAACGGTTATGGTAAGATTCGAACTATCGATTTACCATTTGGGAGACTATTGTCTTCACCACTAGCCTACGAGATCATGTGCTGAACGGCAGTGATTATGTGATTTACTTTAACCTTTTCACGAAGTTCATAATGGAAAAACGGTTATGGTAAGATTCGAATAATCGATTTACCACTTGGGAGACCATTGTCTTCACCACTAGACTATGAGATCATGTGCTGAACGGCTATGATTATTTGATTTACTTTAGCCTTTTCACGAAGGACATAGTGAAAAACGGACATGCCTGGACACGAACCCCAAGTTTGAAACATGGGAAAGCATTGCGTTCACCACTAGACCAGCAGGACTTCAGGAGAATCACTACACTGTTTTAATTTAATTTAAATTTTTAATTTTTCACAACCTTTTTTCGAAGGATTTTACGTAAGTTTATATACGTTTGCTTTGATGATGATGATTTCTATTTCGTCTAAAACGCACAAACTTTAATCTTATTCGTGGCTTTAACCTAATAATATCAACATTTGTGCTGACGCTAAAATATCACAGGCATGGAGTCCATTGAGAAAAGGAGCAACGTTATTTCACCATAAGCTAGTTATTTGCGGCCAAGGTGAAGCAAATGGTTACGGTGCGAAGTCAAGTCTGATTTCACAGGTCACAAATTAAAATTTGAAGAAAATGGTAATTCAGATTCATTAGACTGTTTCAACATTTGCCACTTATTTCATAGCTGAAATTGTACTCCAAATCTCCAACATAACGCAACAGATATTAAATAACTCTACTTCTCTTAAGCTGCGTTTACAAGGTACCATCCGCTCGTCACAACATCTTCGTTTCCATGCAGCGTAGACCTAAGATCCTATAAGACACAATCACTGTTGGTCACAGCACGGCTACCAGCCTTTCTTTCTAATATTACATTCCGTCAATTACGTATCATAATCGCTTAATCATCATGTTCCTCTAGCAAATTTCAGTTACAAGATGTATGTTATATAAGTTATGTATTGCGACATGCATTATTTACGCAATCATTTTGATCGCGCGCCACACTTTCTTCTCACATTAGTTTTGGTCCCGAAAACGTTAAAAGTTGACACAGAAACTACGATCAAAATCTCACGATTCCTGACCAGGACAAACAAACCAGGACAAATACCAGGACAAGCAAACTTTCCCTGCTCAGTAGGCATAAAGTAAGGTTTTAGATTATCGTGATGGACCATGAACTCTCGACCTGTTTCTGATCTAATCTTATAATTTATAAATAACGCCTAGTCTTCCTAAAATAGTGTGAGGTCCAAGCCATTTGGGACCGAATTTCCACTCCTTTGGCCGCCTAAGCCATACAAGTTTCCTGCTGACCCAGCAAGTCCGACGAAGCGAGGAGTCCTCGGAAGGATCGCGAAAGTTTATGATCCTCTCGGGTTCATTTCGCCCATTACTCTGCCAGGGAAGTTCCTCTACCGCGAGTGTTGTGTCGCGAAGGTCCCCTGGGACGCTAAATTGCCTCGAAAGTTAGAAGCTAGATGGACGGCGTGGGAGAAAAGCCTACCAGAGAACGTGACTGCGCCAAGAAGTCTAGCGAAGTTCCAGGAGCCAATTGAAGATATCAGGTCATTAGATCAAGATCATTAGATCTGGTCGTACACGAAAGACAATCAAGTTAACATTTCTTGGGACGGTGAACACTGAACGAGGCACAATTTTTTATATTCGCTTCTTCGAGAATCGAATAGGGGTGTGTGTTGGAAATTATGCGGATATAGGATGATTATTATAATACATGCAAACGTCATAGGTATAAATTAATACTACATGAGGATCAATAGTAAGTAAGAAATTTGGATAATTAAGGACAGATTGGAAGTGAGGCTCAACTTGAGACTATCAAATAGCGATTGCGACAGTGAATTAGCGTTTTTACTTTATTATTAAAAGTTAAACTATAATTGTGATTGTGTTGGTTTAACATAGCCTCTAACGGCATTCCCAACACAATCTCCACCTGCCATGAATGACCGGTCTGGTTAAAAACAAATATGATAGGTAAATAAAAATATCTACAATCCCTCGCGAACATCTTCGTCTCTTATATTATAATTTCTTATCTTCGCTTTTACCTGGGAGGGTGTCCATTTACCAGCTGCCTTGGCAGACAGCACAGCCTTGGAACACTCTGGCTTGAGATGCACGTGACTTGGCTGACCTTTGACCGTGAAACTGTCCGTAGTTGAGGAACTTTCCCGAAGCTGAGACTTGCCGACTTCGTCCCCGCGATTTCCACGAGGGGTGAATCCAGGACTGTCCTCGTCTAGTAGTTTCCAGACATCTTGTAATGACGCGCGGTCGTCTGATGAGAACGATGGTTGCCATGGTGAGACGATGTCATCACGATCAGTAGACGTTTCCGGTAGGCCTCCGTTTTCTGCGAGTTCCGTGTTTGAAGAGTGTTTTTGAAGTTCTTGGGCCGACGCGGAATTCTTTTTCCGAGGAGATAGCGAATGCTGATCATTATTCCTCGCTAGTGTTTTCTGTGCATACTGTAGTTCTTTGCTTGTTAGTTGATATTGCAACTGTTCCAAACCTCGTAATTGGGATCGGGATGTTTGCGCCACATTCTGCGGATCTTTGGATAATTGACTCGCTTCAATTGAAGACGATTTTCTCCCTCCTAATATAACGATAGAATGAGATTCTAAGATCGAAACGGTGACAGCGGTACAATAAATATAATCGATTTCACATTTCAGCATCTCTCATAATGTCAAAGCGGGCACGCTGCGGAGAAACAAGAAATTTTCGTGTTCTCAATAATTGTGGTTTTTCTCAACTTCCATAATATAAGTTTAAACTTTTGTTCTTAACAATTCATCAAAAATGTTCTGAAGACACTCTGCAAAACAATTTCATTTCATATTTCAATGCCAGGACGCATTAAACGAATGTTTAGTCCACCCGTTTTCGGTACATTTTCAAGTACAAGTTTAACTTATATCTAATCAATGAACACGCATGTTTTGTTTCAACAGTTCCAATTGAAGTTTTTTGCCATATGCTTATAACCGACCGGCGTGTGCACAGACGTCTCGCCGCGGTGTTCTGGGGCCCGGTCACGTGTAATGACGTAATCATCGCGGGATCTCTTTGCACATGCAGTTAACCTTTTGCGAACAACAGAAGCTACGCGTCATGACTATAGGAAAAACGTATTCAATTCATTCTTACAGTAATTTATTTCGACTAACGTCTATATATTAATGCCATCTTAATAGATATACCAAAACATCCTTTCAAATACCTTTATATTTCAACAATTCAGCTCGCAGCTTATTTCCCATTTTAATCAACTGTTCGCGTTCTTTTGTTAATCCATTAATTCGTTGAGCAGCTTGACGTAGTTTGGTGTGTAATCCTTCAGATGACGATACTACTCTCTTCATACCAGGGGCTTCTGGAAAAAAAAGGAAACGTTTAAAATTCAAATCCTGACTAAATCATTCAGAATTTTATGAAGTGAATTTAGGGTTTGTTATGTGTTGATGAGAAATTTTAGGTTTTCCAGCCGCAATCAACTTTCAGTTTTGGAAAAGGTCGTAATTTACCAATTGTGAACGGGTTGGAATGAAATATATCTCCATAGACAGGCGTCATAGTTAATATAGCGTCATAGCTACTATAGCGTCATAGCTATATCACGCTATTTTAGGTGGATCAGGACAGCAAGGGATATGCATTCTATATATGGTCTAACAACTGACAGTGGTTGGGTTACATCGCAATCTATACGTTTCAATTAATTCAGTAGATTTAGAATGTTCTACGGCAGTCGTGATTGTTAAGATTCTAAACACAAATACAAATAGTATTTCAAAAGCGTCAGAAAGTACACTCACCTTTATCTCGAAGGTCTTGTATAAACTGACTTTCTGGATTGTACGTATTCAAAGGTTTTCCGTGACTGGCAAGATCCAATTTTAATGCTGACAACTGCAGAAAATCAATGAGAAAACCTGTCATCTCCTGCCTGTCACACAATTCTTGACTAGATGTTACTAATAATTCTATCTCGGGTAAATTATCTGCGACAAACATTAACCCATACTTTCATAAACGATCTCTGCAGAAACTCGAATTTCTGTCTAATTACACCGAATACAAAAATTTCGGACATTACGCTCACAAAACAGATAAATATCAAACAATTATCAGTAATTCTTCGCCTGTAGGCTGTGTTACACTCTCACTCATTGAGTGCGATACACAAATTTTGTTATCACTGATCAAAGAGAAAGTTATTTCTTAATCGATACAAAGATTTAAGGTAAAACACTGAAAATTAAGCTCTTATTCGAGTGGAAATACCGCCATGGAAATGTTATGACTTAGATTGAGATCTCCCACTCAACAAGTTCGAGTGAGGTTTCAGAATACAGGCATATGGCTGTCACAACTGCATGATATCTCAGGTTCAGCATTATAGCTCCTCGCTTTGTTGCTCAGTGAATCTCCCAGGATGTTACTGACATTCCTGCCCTCCAGGGGCCGGTTGTTCGAAAGGCGTTTAGCTTAAACGGTGGATAAGTTCAAAATGGAAAGCAAAACTATATATTTATTGAACAACTGAGCTGAAATATTTCGATGTAAATAGCTTAATTGTCAATGGAAGTACATATTTAATGCATAAGATGTAGATTTAGTCATTCACAAGATGCATGAGAGTAATTTTAAACTTTGGCTCATCCACCGTTTAAGCTGAACGCCTTTCGAACAACCGGCCCCAGCTGATAACTAATCAAAACCTCTCTTAACTGCTTGCGGTTTTAAAAGCACATATAAATAGTCGTTTGATCTTGCAGTAACCAGCAACACGGTAAAGTATAATTGAAAGTGGGTTCACCGTTAAGCTTCAGACTGTGATACATTTACACGTTTAATTTGTTTTAATGTTATATACCTAAAGAATGTCTTTATTATATCCATTTTGCATCTGCGATCCAGTTATTGAACAATATCATCGAACTAACCTGGTTTCCTAATGATACAGCATCAATATTTCTCTCCAAACCCGTTTTGTAAAATTCGTCAGCCTGGTGTCTTGCTTGGGTTACCTGTAGCTTGAGATCAGAGTTCTGCTGCTTCAAAGCATTCATTTCTTCGTTGGCCCGACGATTCTCTGTTGTCAACTGATAGTGAAGTTGATCAATGTTTAGTTGCTTCTGACGAACCTAAAAAGAGAAAGAGCGTTGATCATCAATGCTCGACACAGTTTTCTAAAATCTAGGAATGTAGCACTTGAATACCAGCCCCATTTACACTATAGACTAAATTTATCTGCACGGCACGGATGAAATTGGTGCCAGTGCCAAGTTCTATTAGTCTTCAGGCTACCCAATACAAAGGCCGAGAACGCGGATGAATGGTACGAGTACCCATTTTAGCAGTGCCCTGTCGATAAATTGAGTGTGGTGTAAAAGGGGCTACATGTATCATCAGCCCTCCTGACTTGACCTACAGGAAAAAGCAGTTTTGTTAGGATAACTTTCTAGTTGGCAGTTGGGATACACGAGCGCCTATAGCGCTTGCATGGTGTGTCCGGGAAAGAAAAAAAACAATCAACACTCCGTCTGTTGAATTGTATCATTTTGATTTAAAGAAAGTCTAACAACTCAAAATAATATTATATTAAAAAGCTAACATTCGTAACAGAGTAAAACGATGTTTAGTACAACTATTAACCATTATTTTCTGCGGTGGATTGCTGTAAATAATGCAGTAACTCACTCTTTAAACATTACTTACTGACCAGCCACATAAGTACACACAATAAAAATACGAGAACATATTATCACAAACATTCTCAGCGATGACGGATAAAAATACAAGTGAAGCCTATAACCATTTAGAGAAGGAGACTCACCTCTTCTGAAGAATGATGAAGTAAACCTTGAAGATGAACGATAGTTGCTTCACATTTTCTCAATTGAGATGTAAGGTTTAATTTTTCTTGGCGTAAACTACCTAAAGACGTGCAAGAATATATATTGTGAAATAGGCAATTATATTATATACATTATCTGAAATTCTAGTCGGTTAATACAGAATGTTTTTCGTGCAATTCCCACAATTTAAGTTACATGGTCAATAGTACAATGCGATTGGAATATCTGCTCGTACAACAATCTTAATCCTTGGTACATTAGTTGTATCTTGCAAAAAAATACAGGCATTTTTTTCAAATTTTCATTCTGGTAAATTCTCAGGGCTAATCAACATGCTAGTGGTTTTTTAATGACCCACAGAATTACGCAACCTGAAAGTCAAATATTTGAGTTAATAGAAATATTTCCAGGAAAGATAGTGAGCGGTTATGTAACTTGGTGTTATAAATCAGCAGATCGAGGCAATGTATGTAGGGGTTGTTTTTTATGCTACCCGCGCGCGGAGTGAAAACCCGCAGAAATTATTCAGGACATTGTAGGTTAAAATTTGACACTAGACACAGAAAACTAATTCAACGTTCAACTATAACTATTCAGATAACACAATGAAAAATGTATTTATTATTAAATAATAAAGGAAGTTAATGTTATACGGGTCTTCGTATCGTAGTGTCTCGGGTCTTAGGACGCTGGTCCGGTCGGTTACTTGCCCCCTCCGGTGAGTATAAATATGAGCCCAGTTTGCCTGATCTAGTTGTTAGTTGCTTGCGTGACCCATCCCTCCCTTTTCCCTAACGACTTCACGCGATGTTGTGAACTCTACGGGAGAAGCGTCTTATTAATCTCGTGGGTTTTTTTTGTTAGTTTTTGTTTTGCGGGATTAAGCAGTTCTTTTCACACCCGTTTTGGTCGTTGAATTGGTGTTTGACGTAAAGGTAAATTCATTAATGATCGCCACATTTACAGGTATTTTTCTTTTTTTTTGGGTGTGTGTGTACTTTGATGTTCGTATCGTTTATTCCACGGTTTCACTTCAGTGACTCACGTGTGACAGTTGATCACGGGATGGAGGAGGTACCGTTAAAATAGCATGGTTCGTAGAGTTATTATCTGCGCCGAAAACAGCAAACTCAAAAGAAACACCGTTTCACCCCTAGCCCGATCGTTTCGCTCGGATACCGTCTCCATCCCTACCGATCGGCAGCGGGCAAAAATATAGTGTAAGAGCTGGTGTGCTATTGTACTGATGTGAGCCTTAGGATCCGTTAGAACGTTAACTGCTGGGTATGAGAGGGATGAGGTAATGTTTCAATTTAATGACGCTATGTTTAAGCTTTGTAACTTTTGGAACTGCTGTTGTATGGTTGAACTTTGTTATCTACCACTTACCGATCGTGCTGTTCAGCTGTGCCACCAGACCTCTTATATGAACATTATCCTTACTTCCATCTAAAACGTAAGTTGGCTCAGTATTTTCAGTTTTAGCATTTATATTATCCATGGATTGGGTCAGTTCGCGGTTTCTCGCCTTCACTTCTCGAATTTCTTTTTCCAGACTTGTCACATATTCTGAAATGTTTAGCAAAGAAATACCAGATTAATTCCATTCACCCTGATCTTTGTTACGACCACTATAACGATTAGTCATTGTAAAAATATGTCTTTCAAAATACAGAAGCTATATGTACAGTATAATGCGGATAGCCTTAAATAGAGTGTATTAAAGATAAGTTTTTAAGAAATAATAAAATCATCCATGCAAAGAACACAATGTGGCTTTAAATTTTCGAAATGGTTTTGTTATGAAATATATTCCTGCTTTATTATCATACAATTACCTTCCGTGATGGGTAGGCCATCTCCTGCATTAGTAATCGATCCAGTGGTACCTTGCGTCAACTGTTTCGTCAAATCCTCCATGTCCTCTCTCATTTGATGAATAACGTGACGCAAATTTTCGTTCTGAACTTGAAGTTCTTCATTATTCATATTCGCTGCTGGTGTGCCAACATCTTCGACTGCAACAAGAAAAGATGAGTATGAACTTAACCCGGACGAAAACGTCATGCTTTTGTCACAATTGAGATTTGTGAAACATGCATGAATGATAAAATCTAGAGAAATGATAAAATCTTGCGAAGCAATGGGGGAGGTATCGATGTAAAGGTTTCAGATTCGCGAGCGCAGGGTAGGTCCTCAATTACATCAGCGCAAACTCAAAAGAATTTTGGAATGTGTCAAGTGTTTTGACCATGAAGAAAAAACGCGTTATTTCAGTGAAAATTACATGCGTTAAACTTCGAGTAATATCATCAGTAAAGTTTCGAAAATACTAAGATATTTTCGGTTGATATTTCCGTCCGCATTTAACCTTTATACATTTTGCGACAGTTATCTCGTTAAACACATCACTGGAGGAGATAGGGCCCCATATATGCCGTATAAAAACGCTAAGCGTTTACGATCTACCTACAATCAAGGTGTAAAACTCACCTGATATTTGGGAAGGCACGGTTAGTCCATGAAGCTTGAGAATAGAAACTGATTCATCTCGTTGTGTCTTCAAAATATGGATAACACTATCCTTGTGAAGCAGTTCACGTTTCTGTTGTTTCACCAACGATAACGCCTGATATGAAATAATACAGAAGAGTTCTATCAACCTGAATGTTGACATTGAAGTCCCTGATGATCAGTTTAGTAATATTATATCGCTTCATATGGACCTTGTGGGGCTGAAACTTCAACGGTTCCAAATTGAGAGGGGTAGGGTAGAGGCAATGGAAAGGGGTATAACATTTTACTATTTACATATTCATATATATTCACCTCTTCTTTGCCTTGTGTTAAATTCTTAACTAGTTCTTCTTGTTTATCATACCCAGTTCTCTCTGCCTCTTCACATCTGCGCTGCCAATCTAACTCTAGCTGAGCCCTAGAACGTTCCAACGACGACTCTCTCTCCAAAGATAAAGACAACTCTTTCTGCCTCCTAAAGAAAAAAGTTGGATCAAGACCTGAATTTCGATCTTTAATAGAAATCCTCAACACGATACACGACTAGTAATATCAACACATAAAAGGATCCGTAATTTAGAAAAATGGCGATTGCAGGTATTTCTTTACGATTTTCGATCAAACTTTTACACTTTTTCTTTATCTTAAAAAAGTTATGAAACCTTACAGTACGATATTCATTAACACATAGTTGCACTTTAGCTCAACAAAGGAGGTGTTTTAGACGGATGGATTGAATGGCTTCAATGGCCAGGTTTATCTTACCAGATATTATTAAGCCCCCTGGAAAATCACCTCATACGGTGAGCCTGGATTTATTTAGGAACGTTTCGCGACAGGTCGGAATTTAAAAACAATCAGGAGAACAAAGTTATATTCAACGTTTATTCGCACCTCTCAAGATCATTCTTTCTCTGTGCGAGTTCAGATCTCATCTTGGCCTCCTGTTGATGCAACGTTTCCAATTCAACATCCTTTGCTACAATTAATCTGGAATATTCCTGGTTCTGATGGTCCATTTTTCTCTTTAAGTCTGCGATTGATTGATTTAGCCTGTGTAATAAAAAAAATCACTAGTCACCAGTACAAAGTCGTTCCTCTCGAATTGTTAAAAAGTTGTCGAATTTCAGCATCAACTTGTTCAAAAGCACTATTCTTGAATGGATGAAATCATAAAAGTCATAATCAAACCTTCCAGCAGCCCAATATTATAGGTTAAATATGGTTTAGGTTTAATATAGGTTTTAAATATAGATATGAATGCCCTGTGGCAGAACTTAGCCTTGGTGAAAATAAATTAGAACAGCTCACATTTGGACATATTGAGAATTAAAACTATTTTCAAAAAAATCTACTCGTAGACACGAGTAATGGACCTTTGGGGGTTCACAATCAAAATATATAATGCACCAATGATAACGTCAATGATTTAGATAAGAGCCCGTTTCAATATACATGGTGTTGCCCCCCGTCCCTCTCCTCCTGAGAAGTTTAATAAAGCTTACGTCTGTATAGCGACATCATTTTCCTTCAGTTTGTCCACAAGTCTCCATTCCTTTTGACGATGTTCCTGTTCTTTAGCTTCGAGTTGGTTTTGTAATTTGCGAATATTCTGCTGAAGTTGTCTTTCTTCCTCAGTGAAACCCTGGAATGAACAATCACAGGTTTAAAAATCATGTTAAAGCATTATTGGGATGATCGATATATAGCTAATATACCCAGTAGTGTATACATACGGCTGTACATATTGTATTATACAACCCATTGTTGCATCTTTTCAATAACTAGAAACTCAAGAAACTACAACAAGAATTAAAATGTTTGGCATCTTGTACTACGTGAACATTACTTTGTTGGGTTTTTGTCCATAATGAAGCGACTTGAAGAAGCGACTTGAAAATCGCTGTAACCACAATGTTAAGGCCCTGTTACACAGTGCAATTTTTCTTCCAACTTGCAGTGCAATTCTACTTTTGAGAGCTGTATATGTATTTGGGAATAACGAAACTTTTGTGCTCATACTCGCACTTTTCTTCTGCAAGACTAATAATTTACATCTCTTAGCAGTACAATTGCATTGCAAGTTGCAAGAAAAATTGCACCGTGTAACAGGCCTTTAATACTAATTGCCAGTGATTTCGAGTACGTATTCAAGGCAGTCTGAAAGGGATGTCTAAATAAGCCGTGTTTACACGAAGGGGCTGACATTTACCTGACATTGGCCCGTACCTGAGAAGTACCTAACCAAGTTTTACAGGGTGTGTTTACACCAGTTACCTACCTAACGGGACTTATATACATACACGCAACATAAAGTACTTTAAGAAGAGTATTAAAATAAGCTTGCAGTTCTTTGTTTGTTTATTTCGTACAAACTACAAAGCCTCGTAAAAGAATAGGACGTATTACTGGGATTACTGGCAAACAACGATTTCATGCAAAATTAAAAAATATATGATATAACTTATCGGCAAGTTCCGAAATTCGCCATGTGGCTAAGCGATGATATATACATTGGCTTCGCGTTCTAATATTTGCCCAGTTCATGAAAACAAGGCGAATTACTGACGTAAACTATATCACCAGAAAAAAAGCTTACTTTGCTACCAGGCTCGTGAGGTTTTTAGCTTTGGTAATAAGGCTTAGTCTATATTTACAATAGCGACTTACTTGTTTAGCGTTGGTCAACATTTCTTCTTTTTCCCGAGCGAAGCGATCCAATTCCGCATGTTTCCTTTTAAAATCCTCCTGTAAGTTGTCTCCCATTCTCCTCATATTTTCCAGTTGTGCTTCCAGATCTGAGACTTTATACTTATGAGTGTTTTCCAAATCAGAAATCATCCAATCTTTTTCTTTAAGCATCTTCTCCAGCTCCCGAGTGCTCACTCCTGTCTTGTCGAGTTCCTCTTTACATCGACGACTATCACATCGCAATAACTCCAGCTCTTTTGTTAAACTTCTGATCTAAAAAAACCTGTCAATTATTAAAACAAGTGACAATGACAAACCACCCCACAAAGCACTCTCTACATATGTACTTTAAACCACAGGCCTAATTTATGCCCGGCAATATACGTATGGCTTGGTAGCTTCATTTGACCTAATGAACTGGTTTAAGCATCTAGACTGCATAGGTAAAATTTAGCTCAGAGAGCGAATTCCTAAATTCATCAAGAAGTTAGGGAAAAAGCGAGACCTTGTTGGTAGCAAGATAGTTTAACTGAGGAAAACAGTTACACACACATTGTATGTTTGCAATGCACAATATGTAATATTCTTAGTATTAGTCATTCACAAAATGGCCTTAAACAACTGGTCTATGCGGTGAAATAGTTTGAAGCCACAACATGTAGCATTTAAAGTGCACAGGAGGTTTGTTGGAGAGAGATGAGGAAAAGGTCGCAGAAGAAGGAATCGAGCTTCAGTATGGTGGTAATATTGTATTTGAGGGTTATATTAGCAAATGGAAAGCATGCAGATAGGCCTGTAATGGTTGTAATAAGTATACAATATTACCTTAAGGTCATTTGACAACAAGAGACTACTTGTTTCATCCAGTTTTGATCGATATTCTTGTTCTCTTTTTCTTATTGCTTCATCAAAATTAGTGACATTTTCTTGATGACGAAACTCAAAATCATTTTCTGTTTCTCTAAAAAGTTAAAATGCTGATTTTTAACCAATATATATTTTAAAGAATGCTTTAGTAACATAATCACTGTGATTGATTGATTCATTGTTAATTATAGCCTCAGTAAATTCTCAAAGTTTATAATTGCACATTGGCATACAATGCATGTAATATCCATACAGACACTAAAAGGTAGGTTACAGTGGCTTCTTCACATCACATCAATTCTGCTTATAACAATGGGTAGACTACTTGATTTAAAATTTCTGAAATTTAGCACATTTTTTACTTTTTGGAACATAAACTCCAGCTCTCATTTAGAACTATAGCAAACCAAAATAGTGTCAAATATTCTGACTGTTCTTGATATTTTTAGAAAGAAATATATTGTGACCAAAAATGTAAACAAGGTGTTTGTTTACATTAGCAACTGTACCCTACCTTTAGAATTCATTAATTATAATCACCTAAAATTTAAATGTCTTTAAGACCTCTGGTGGTATTCCAGTTTCAAACAATGATTGCATGAGGTGGACTAGATTACCTTAATTGCTGCTCCAGATTTTTCCGATAGGATGAAAGCTCCTCCCTTTCTTTGGCAACTTCATTATCTTTCTCTTCTTGAAAAGCTTTAAATTGATTCTGATATTCTTGCAATCTCTAGACATAATTAATCATATATCATTTGTTGAAAATATCAGCATTGAACATAGCTAGTGAAGAAACCACATGCAGAAGAGAAAGCTTGCAGCTCAAGCAGCTATTCTGGAACAGTTCTAATTATGCTTAATGACTGCCAAATTTGTTTATTTTCTCTGCTTAGGCATATATCATAGGATAAATTTATTCTTGCACAAATATCTAGTGGCAGCTTGAACCACACTCCAAATAATCCACAGAAAAATCTTTGCTCTGCAAGTTGCAAATGCTTTCAACAAACATGCCCCACCATGGCACTTAGGTGTTTTGGACTTTGAACCAAATGATTTTCGATCTAATTTCTGCTGTGACAATAAAATGAGTATACTCTGAACAGGGCTTTTATTAGAAGCATCATATGGAAGCATGCAAAACCTAAATTGTGTAACGTTACAAGTACAAGTATACAGCACAACTATTTGTACCTTTTGGTAGTGTTTCTGTAGCTCCTCTTTGGACTTCTGTTCATTTTGTAACTTGATATTGAGTTCATCAATCTTCACACACAATTCACTAACTTGAGCAGTCTTAACGTGCTCATCTTCCTTAACTTTACCAATCACCGCATCATATTTCTCTAACTCTTGATCTCTTTCTAATATAAGTTTCAAGTTATACTCAAAATCATCCTTCAACTTACGAAATCTCAACTTTTCCTGTCTTAACTCCCTATCTTTTTCAGTTATAGTTTCTTCCAGTGCCTGAACTCTGACTTGAGAAGCTTCACGCCATTCCTTTTCCTTCTGTAAAACCACGGAGTCTAAATGATTTGCAGACATTGCAGCATATTAATAACACTAAACACATTGAGTGCACGAAGGACATGCCAACTTCAGGACAGTTTGCTGATATATTTCGACAGTTTGCGATTGTTTTTGCGGCGGACAGTAAATCTAGTATAGTATATACTGCGATTAGCCCGCCTAATAAAGCTTTATATTCTGCTGAAATACATTCATAGAAGTAAAATTTCTAATTTCTATATAATATTTTTCTTTGTTTTGATAAAGATGTTTTGTGCATTGATCGCCCCACGTGTGTGTCACGCAAAACTACGCTGGTCCCGCGTGGTCGGAGATTACGTAAGAATAGGTACATAGAGCGTACATACGCTGTGATCAAATTTTAAAATCCAATGCAGGAAGTCAACCTGTTCATACGATCCAATTTTGTCGGATTCAATTCACTTCTAATGAATGTTTTGTAATCTGTTGACTTGCAATATATATGAAGTAAATTGAATCCGAGAAAGTTGGCTCGTGTGAACGGGCCTTTGTAATTCACAGTTCACTGGACCAGCTGATCTTAGTCATGGCTTCAAATACGTCAAAAGGCGCCTGCACAAACGGAGTAGTTCTAAACTCTGAATGTCTAAATGTAAAAGGTACGAAATAAAAATTCTAATTGATATTTGACGAAAAAAACGAATGCATTTTGCATGGAGAAATAATGGAACAACTAAAATTTTTCAAATGCTGTAGTTATATGAAATGAAGGATATGATAAGTCAGTCTTCAGGGAAGCAGAGGCTTCTTATTCGTTGATTTTTTCACTCAGATTAGCTGGGTATGCAATGCCGTGGAAGGTGACTGACTTTCTTTACATCCATGCCATTTACATAAAAAAACACCCCAGACAGGTTTAGTCCTTCCGTAAACTCGTTTTGGACAAAAGATGTCGGATCGGCGTAAATTCTTCTTTCATCGTGAGGAAACCCCCCCTATCACGAACCAATTTGTGTCTACATTTCACTGTCTTGGAAAAATGATTTCACGAACAATTAAGGGGCGTCGCCTCCCATGGCTATTCCATTGTCTGTAAACGTGAACATTGATGTTAGTTGCTCAGCCTTCACAAAAGTTACTCTAAACAACCTGGAAATCCTGTCAATGATGACGTCAACCGGCTTAGGAAATATTTTTAATGAACTTTTAATCACCCTTGTATATAATCAATGATCAGTCAGATAGCAACAGAATCAATAAAAAAGTGACTGCACAAAGGCACAATAGTCATTAGTCGACGGATAGATTTTGCCCAACCTCGCAAGCCAGCCTTTTCTACTTAGATTTTGCCTGGGGACTGTTAATTACATAACTACTATTATTGTGCATTACTCATGCAATCTCGATTTTGATTGGCTAAAAACCTACAGATAATTCTCTCTGTCTTGCCACCTACACGACATTGAAAATTATCCGTAGGTGACGTCATTTTTTGCCACTAGCATGTTGTCAATAATGGCGCAGGCTTCCTCTTTAAAAAGGAAATGCATCATAAAACTATTATTGAATTCGGTTTTTGCATGATATCGAGAATTATCAAGCCTCAAACGTCAGCTTGATAATTCTCCATATCACACTCAACCTCATCCAATAATTGTTAATTGTATTACATGGATAACTATATTTTTGTATTGATTATAACGAATTCATCTCACGCAGTAGTTTCTTGTTTTTGTAACTCATATTTTGAGTTTACAAGTTTCGAAGCGTGTTATTTCTTGTAATGTAAACAAACGCTTTGTTTATATTTTGAATCGTTGTATCGCAAAAAATGCTGTCCATGTCACAGGCAGCAATTATGTATATAATTATACATAAGTCAGTAAGCGGTATCCGCATTGACCGGGCTGCCTGTGGTCCTGTCGAAATGTTTAGATTATTTCAGTCACTATATTTCTAAATTAATTGTACTCGCCATCGCATGATTACCTGTACTAATTTCCCGACATCTCATATTCATATTCATTCACCCACAGCCGATAGCAACATACTGCTGGAATAATTATGAAACATCAAATCATGAGTCCGAAAAAGAAGCGTTTCCGGCTTTCCACTTATCGGCGATGTCTATTGTCGGTGGTTATTGATGTATAAAATGTTCAGTTGTCTATCGAGAAAAAATATTTACTTCATTTGTCACTGACATTGGCTGTTAGAACATCGATGAATTACGACATATCATGATCAGGATCCTTTGCTGTTTCCGTACTCCTTATAGTGAAAATTTAATAACATCCACTGTGGGCAAAGTCCCCGAGGTGATCATGGACTTTTCACCCTTCCACCCTCTGAAATTCTTAAAAATTTTATTAGCCTCCACTGCGGATGAAATGATTGCTGACCAAGACATGCTGGTAGGAAAAACGGCCTTCGTTACGGATTATAATTTCCCTGGCATCCACGAGTTGCGAAGAGCTTCACGACTTCTCGTGACTTTTCGACGTATGGCTGCATTGGAACATTTGGCATTGCGTAAAACTCTTACAACAAGCACTTGTACGTTGGCTGTAAAAAAGACCGAAGTCCGTCGATACTCGAACTGGACACAGTCAAAAATGCCACAAAAAATTGGAACATTCCCGCCTTGCCATTTGTTTCGCCTGACGGTCGGTTTGTTGTGTCTCTTTATCACACTGAGACGACGGCGAAGAAATCGAGTCGACTAAATTTTTTAGCTGTAAATGGGCCAGGTTTTAACGCCGATCATTACCCGGGACTACTTTTCCCTGCTAATCGTGTATCTAACTTGGTTTTTTACCCCAAGGGTAAAATGTCGGATAGCTACTACGTATTCCTTGCCATTGATTACACAAATAAAATGGCCGTCCTTGACTTGGATGTGATGATATGGTAACATCTCTACTGTAAAACAGATCGAAGGCGTTGAATTACACGACATATCACGCAGGGATTTGTTTATCGCAGGTAAATGGATTATTTCCATTGCAACTATTAGTAAACAAGAGGGTGGTGATTATTAACCACCCCGAGTGTGACTTCTGTACCCACCCGGAGTCTGACCTCTGTACCCGCCCCAAGTAAGAGTCCCAGACCCACCACCACTGAATGTTCTCACAACAACAGCGGTGGTATTTTTAAAACAGGTGCCCGAGTTGCTTGGTTTTTCTTGTCGTTTTACGTATATTTATGTAAAACAGCTTCGAAATCATCCGAGAATGTAACCGTGGTAATTTTTTGTATCGTAAAATGAAGATCATTTCAACCGAGTTGATTTATTAACGTAATTGTATTCTCAAATCGAAGATTCATACAGGAGGGGGCGACAATTGATAGTAGGTGCACTTATGAACCGTAAACATCAAAAACATTTAGGTTAATTTGTAAGGTAATAAGATCCACGGATCTTGATTCCTGCTGGAAACAATTTTGAAAAAATGTGATGGACTTGTAGGATTCATGATTTCTCTCTTCTCTGGTATTTTAATTTTAATCCACGTTTTCGATTCTCGCACCATATGTGGTTACGATTTTGTACAGTCGGTTTTTGGTTTTAAGAGAAAATTCTAGTGGTTTTTCGATTAGCTTCAGCAAGGAGAGCAGGGGAAAGAAAGCAGGTTCACAAAAGTGCTGTTTTAAAGAACTCAGTCAAATTCGGTAGGTAAAACAATGAGATAGTTTAACGTTTAAGGATTTTAAGGATTGATGGTTATGCAGTATACGGGTCTATACGCGGTTTTCGGTTTCGGTCGTAATTTACTCGGCGGGGTCGAAGGTTTTTTTTTTTTTTGTGCGCTTTTTCGTATTCCAATAAACCCCAACGCCCCCCTTCTAAAAAGTTCATGTTCGCTCCTAAAATGGCCCTCGCGAGTGTAACGGATATCGGATAATGGATTAATTGTAAATATAGACTAACACTAATGGAATAAGGAAAAGTAAGCAACATGTCTCGCAACATGGACACGCGTCTGCCGACAACGTTTGTCGAGTAAAGCCTGTTTTATACTTATGCGTTTTTTTAATTAAATCCTGCCTAGGTTTCGCAAAAATTCGATAACAATAAACTTTTTTTTCGCAAAATTTAGGCCTTTTTAAGCTGTTTTCAAGTCTAAAAATTACAGATAAATTTAGCCGTATATATACCCAAAATCTAGTTTTTTTCAAAAAACTAGCGTAGTTTTTTAGTTTCAAGCGATGTTATTAATGTATGCATCATATTTTTTGTCAGAGAGTTGCAAGCTTAGGATAATTATATACATAGGAAAGTTCACGCGTTGACTGGGCAGCCTATGAGTGGACCAGTGACAGAGTTATATAAAAAATATTAATACCTCTGGAAAGTCACATGCATGGATATGTGTATGTCCAATGGATCCAATGTCCATTGACAAGTAAAATGTCCATTGGACCGTCGAATATCGAATCGATCCAAGGAACGAGTGAATTGCCCATTGGACGGTTAGTGGCAATCTCGTTCCCCGAGCTCGCGATTTCTCCGGCAAGAAAACAAAGGCTCTGGGATAATCCAAACCGGAAGCCAGAAATCCAGTTGAAGTTCGTGTTGGCCCAAAACGTTTAACCTACACACCTGTTCGTAATCTTCCCGGTGCACTTGTGTCAGTAACATGTTGTTCAGGTCGACCTTCTCATCGCAAGTAGACATAATGGTCCACCCAAACTTAGTGAACTCAGCGATTGGCTCTCCGGGTGACCCCAATCTTGGTTTCGTCAACGTTTTAATTTTGGCGTAATCCCCAGTCCCTAAAATTACATGCACGGCTGGGCGTTCCTTTGTGTCCTGATCTTGCATTGTTACGCCTTGGAGGTGATTGTATTTTGAAATAAGTTGATTGTCTAAGATCAAGGGGTCGCTTCTCTCAACTTGCGTTACTTTGGTCTCGATATGAAACCTCTCCTCTGCATCGCTTATTTTTGGAGTATAAATTCCAACCAAATTGGTTGAAGTCCCAAACAGCATTTCTATACGACGCACTACTCGTTTTTGGGGTTTAGCTTTTATTTTGTCGAGCAATGCAGACGACGCGTAGGAACTCCCCCCCTGTGTCGATTATGACGCGCATTTAACACCATTTATATTAACAACTACGACAGGATAGACGACAGATCTATTGGACGCACAACTACTTAATTAACATGGCAACTTGTGCCGCACAAGTTGCCATGTTAATTAAGTAGCGTGTCATTAGAGGGCGCAGCAGGAGGCTTCGTATCACCCAGGGCGTAACCAATCGAGGTATGATGTCTACGCTTACATTTGGTACAAGAAAATCGGCTTTGGCAATCAGAGGCACGATGATCGGCCCCAGTACGGTTAAAACACAAACGCTTATCGCTTAGATACTTCTTTCGCTCCGCAGACGTAACTAATTTTGGACAGTTGATTGACATATGGTCAATCTCGATACAATAAACACACCGTCTCTGTTTTGTTTCGCGCTGGCGCGTTAGGGATGTTTTCGTTCGAAGAACATTCGGGAACTTATTACTATTTTTATCAGAGGACCTGGGGTTTCTCTCCGTCCATTTCCTAAGGGCATCTACTAATTTGACAAAATCCCACTGCCGCCAGCCATCATCTGTTTGAAATAAATTTTCCCGTATCCCCTCTATTTTATCTAAGGTCATGCGAACGTACCCATTTACTTCTTTCAGCTTCCCCAATAAAGACTGCACGTCAAACACTAATTTATCATAGAATGTGTGTATCTTACCCATATTATATCTGCATTCCTAACCTCTGACGTATTATTAATTATAAAAGAATGTAAAAAATTTACCCCGTTCTCAACAATTGGCTGAAACACTACATATCAACATATTATATATCGTCATATACATGGCGCTGTGTGTTTTGCTTCCAATACTGGTTATTTACGGTAAAGTTTTATTACTTTTTTTGTAAATATGTTTTATTTCTTTGGCGTTTCTCAGGAAGAACATCAATTTAATGGTGAAGAGAAATGCGTCATTAAATAAATTGTTTATATATATGTATGTATGTAGTAGGGAACGTAGAAACAAAATAAAATTTGTGTCTAAACCAAAACCCAACATTAAAGCTTCATGATGTCCAAACCCAACATTAGCTTCGTTGAAGATGTCTGCGTATCTCAAACATTGGTTCGCTACTGATAGTCCTAAATGAATATCAGCTAAAACCTGTCCAGAAAATTCCGAAACACGGGAAATTTCAACAATATTCAATTTGCGGTCGCGCATTTGCAACCATTGCGCAAACGCGTCTGTGAATATACTGCGAATAACGTGTACTCGATCGAAGTTATAAACGACTGCATGCATATTCTGCGCGAATAGCGTGATCAAAATGAAACGCCTGCGCGCATATTTTGTTTAAGTATGGGCAATTATGGGCACGATTCACAGACTTCCCATTCCCCTCTTAAAAATAGCCTTCGTTTCATTAACCTGCGATGTTTTTGCAGTTCCTGTCAATCTTTTGCTTTCATTGATAAACTTTCTCCCACTAAAGCACAAGGAAAAACACTCCTTTAGGCTTTAGCTCAAGTAAACGCTTATTGAGCGTCTTGTTTACGTTTAAGAAGTGCATATCTATAGCAAGTGTACCTACATAATCAAAGATTAGTAAGGTTGGCACCGAAAATATCCTTCGTGGGTATCCAAATCCTTCAAGCCGAGCGAACATAAATCTCGGCTGTAAAGTTCTTCAAGAAGTCAAATCAGGTGTGAACTCCTGCTGAAAAAAAACATGCGGTTTGTTTATATTGTGAGTGAGTTGGAATTCCGGATTCAAGATTGACTTCCGATACATACATATAAATTTTCATGCAATTAAACCTGTGATTAGACTGAACAGTTCAAAATCAAAATAATCTAAATACATAAATCATAATCTACACGTAAGATCTGCGCAAACGGCGCTTACCTTCTCAGTAATAAACAGCCCAAACAAAAGTCCAAATGCCTCAAAGCACATGCATGGAATTAGGACCACTACACGAAATCGGGAAAATGATAACAAGTTACAAGAGGCTTGTTAAGCCTTTACAGACTTTACTCCAGCTGAAGGAGCGTCTTTTACGGAAAAAGTAAAACCAAAACTTTTGTGAGTGGGTTGGCTTAACCTTCAATACGCCTCAAACGGCGTTCACAACACGGATCGAGTAAACAAAAAGAAGCGGGTTGTGTCAGTGTGTCGTTTTGCTTGCGAATATAGTTTTGATCAAGTCACAGAACATGTATGCATACTGATGCAGTGTCGTTTAGCTTCGATCGAGTACGCTCAGAAAGCGTACATTATCATATACCTGGGTGCACATATTAAAACGCACATGCATTATTACGTTTTTTGTTAACGTAACGTGTCGTATGTCAGAAAACTGTCCCCACGCACAAAGAAACAGAAAATTGAATAAAAGCAAATAAGACGGTCACAAATATGTCACATGCGTCACAACCATTTATTTCGATTGACCAAAATTAAGCCGGATTGGCCGCGTGGGAGGATTAAGTCTTGCGCGTATTTTACCGTTTGACTGTTATTTCAAAGCTTTTGGTATATTTACAGTGTTTCAGAGCGATCTTTCTTCCGTAAATAACCGAAATTTCCATTCTCAATGGCGTAGGAAGAATACAGAGATTGGGGGGCGGGCTCCAACTTTCAAGGACACTTTTGGTTAAAAATATGAATAGGGACGATTTTATTGCCAAAGCACCAAGGACACAACTAGTGAGTAGTGACTGTAGTGTGGTTTATATTCATCATGGTCTACACAAAGATTAGGAACGGGTAAGTGGGCGTACCTGTAGGCCCTGAGCGTACATTGGAAGCAAAAAAGGGCACCTTCGATTTTAAAGTTGTATTTACAGAATTAGCATTTCCAAAAAGGCATTTTTCACCAAAACCCCGGCACTTCTCTCTCTTGTCTCCCGTCTCTTGGAATTTTTTTTTGGGGGGGGCACGTCATTTCACATGAGATAACTCAGTGTGAGATAACTAACACGCGCTAGATAACATCTCACTCTGCAGGTCGCCCGGGCGACATCAAAATTTCGTCACTCTCGCGTGATTCGCACTCGACTAATGAAATGCTACGAGCACCAAACTTTGAGAACTGATATATAATAAAACCATTTTTTCGGTATATAAAACTGAAAACCAGTGATATTCCTGTATATTCGACCTTACCAGGGTTGAATTACAAACTTTCAGAATATACCATCCTGAGTTATTCTGGAGTGAGGGGATTCGGCGAAGCATTTTCAGAATTTCTCGAGACTTGCAAATATCCTTACTTTCGGAAATATTTCACCGTATTCCCCGAGAGGAGGGTTAATAAATTGTCCGTTTGCTGACAAATTCGTTCTTTAACTGTTCAATACTTTTTTTCTTCTGGTGTGTTACAGGTCAAAAATACTCAACAATGGTGTAAAAATGTACCAACTTTGTCACACATATTCTGCGTATATACACGCCAAATTTGGTTCAAATTTATTTTATACACACTGTATATGAGTGCATGATCTCGTGGCAGAAAGTCTAGCTTTCTAAATTTTATTTACAATGTAAACCTCATAAAAGTGTAATAATTGAAATTTCTCTTCAGGCTTTCTCCCGGGTCATTCTGCCTCGAAGGAAACAGGCAATTTCTATGTTCTGGGGAGTGACGGTATTTACGTGATTGATCCAGAGGCGAAAGCTGTTGTTGCTAATATAACCAACACTACAGAACCAGGACTGTGCACACATGAACTTTTCGGGTTGGTTGGAAGTGTTCCTATATCCATTTCTTCCTTGCAATTGGCCGTTTTGACACTAGAGACGCATAATGCGTCTTTTCTGGTTTTTCGTCTTCAGTATAAAAACGGACAACAGACGCATTATACGTCCAGACGATTAATGTTCAGTTTTTTGTCTCAGAGACGCATAACCAACGATAGTTCGTCTTGACGGATAATGCGTTTGCCCGTGTAAAGACGGCGCATAGACGAATAATTCTGGAAAATGAGACAGTGATAAAATAAACCAAAAATTCTAATGTAATCTATTCGCGCGTGTTTCCATCGACTTATTCGTCTGATTAGTTGTCCCGCCTTCATACTAAAAAATGATGAAGACGCATAATGCGCCCAGATGCAATCCAATCTTTCAACCTTTTCCTTCCGTATACAGCTTGTCCGGAAACTGTCCGGTTCATAAAACCGGTCAAATTGGGAATCCCAAAGCGAAATACTTTCTTTTTTTTTTGAAAATTTAACAAAAAAGGTCACGTCGTTGTTCCATGCTCTCTGAATATGACGAGCCGGGCATTTTTTACTTCATGTGATTTACTTAAATGTGAATTTACTTCATATGATTTTATTCACTACAAATTTGTTTCGTATAACAAGCAGTGCTTGCCACACTCATCAGGTGAATTTAAGGTGGCTCCCTACAATTTTTTGAAATATTGAAAACTTGTGGTTTTGATTTAAAATTTTAGCACGAGATTTCTTGGTAAGGAAAAGAAATTTCCCAGATATATTAACCAACACTCTAACAGTCAGAAATTACCCATAAGCATGACGTCATTACCGTTGTTATGGTAACAATGGCGATTCAATATGGCCGACATTTTACCTATTCATGCATTTTACTCGAAAACAAGTTCGGTTACCCCAATTTTTTATTTTATAAAAAGTTTTCTTACAAAAAAATGGAAAATATGAACCAGTTAAAAAAAATTCTATGGAGCCAAAATTATTAAAAATGAAAAAACGTGATTTTTCATTATAGAAATTTTTTGGCTCCATAGAATTTTTTTAAACTTGCTCGAATTTCCCATTTTTTTGTAAGAAAACTTTTTATAAAATAAAAAATTGGGGTAACCGAACTTGTTTTCGAGTAAAATGCGTGAATAGGTTAAATGTCGGCCATATTGAATCGCCATTTTTACCATAACAACGGTGATGACGTCATGCTTATGGGCAATTTCTGACTGTTAGAATGTTGGTTAATATATATGGGTTGGAATATATATGGGAAATTTCTTATACTTACCAAGAAATCTCGTGCTAAAATTTTAAATCAAAACAACAAGATTTCAATATTCTTAAAACTGTAGGGAGCCACCTTAAATGTCCCCCGCTTAGTTTATATATATTATATATATTTATATATATTAAATATATATATATATATATATATATATTATATATATTATATTATATATATATTTATATAATATATATTATATATATATATTGAAAGAATTGACTGTAACAAAGAGTTCACAGAACTTGACAATGAAATTATATTTATTTATTAAAAGACTATAGCTTAGCTACTCGGAGTTCCACGCTATAAAGCCATCGTCAGACTAATTACAGGTGTCATATCCTACTAAAATCCTTCCCCTCCCGAACACCATCTACAAAATATTTAATTATTAAACAATTAAGCTCTTGGTATATCGAAAAAACTAGTATTGTTTCGAAAGATCAAAAATCCGTGTTGGCCACGTAGCTCAGTTGGCAGAACATCGGACTAGTGTACCGAAGGCAATGGATTCAAATCCTACCGTTGTCAAGTAGAATTTTCTGCTTTCCATGGCAGGTTGCCACTCGGTGTCATATCCTACTAAAATCCTTCCCTTCCCGAGTACCATCTACAAAATAATATATATATTTATAATGTATGTATGTTATTTATTATTAATTTTTTTACAAAAAGCGGCGTTCTGTTGTATTATAATTGTAGCAAGACTCAGCAATGCCAATGGCGACAAAAACATAAACAATCAAAACCTCGTTCGTTTAATTTACTAAAATTCACTTCAATTTATCGTGATAATCATTTGGTCCGTATAAATTAGTTTAAGATAAAAAAGTAAAAAATTTGCGAATGAATCTTTAGAAAAATAAAACAAAACAAAACAAACACTCGAGCATAAAATATAGGATTCCAGACCGTGGTAATATCGTAAAATTCCGCCCGCTGCTACAGCCAATCAGATCGCAGGAAAGCTTAGGCTTCCGTCCGCTGCGGGTTGTAAAACAAGTACGATCGTACTATAGTGGACCAGGAACTGCGTGACCGAGTTCCTCAACTGCATTCTATTTACAACAATAGAGAGGACAATGTATTTCTAATCGTTTGCGTTTACTTATATATAGGCTGAATATTAATGACATATAGGCTGAATATTAATGATAGCTATGTATCTATTATTTGCTGCACATATAGTCAAGAATTGCTTGTAACTTGCTTCAACGGTCAAAAGTAAAAATTCGAACTCCGTCAATCGATGCGGAATATTGCTTAGAATAATTGTGCCAAGTTTTATTCCGGTCAAACAAGTAATGATAGAGCCTCGCCCCCTAACAAGAAGAAAAAAAAAAAATTGGCAGCGGTTAGGGACCAGTTCCCGGTCCAAAAATAATAATAAACATTTTTCATTATTAGAGCCCGTTGCTGGTTCAGTCAGGTTTGCGTTGTTGACGACACAGTTTTCGTGGGGGACATGCATAGATATAATGTGCTAATGATTGATATCAGAACACGGAGGAAAATTGGAACTATCCCAACAGCCAGGGAACCGTTGCGTTTGTACTTTTTGCAGTGGCGCAAGGAAGTCTGGGTACATTTTGCTGACGTTCATTACTCGTTTACTGTCATCAAAACTGAGGACCGTAACAGCAGCAATGTTTTATCTGGTCGGATTCAATCAGGTAAATGAAATTTAATGCGATTTCGCATTTGAGGGTCCTTCAGTTTCAGGACGCTATACTAACCTCTACCCTGTATACTAAAACATAAGTGCATGTATTTTTATTGGGTTCATTTTCTGGCTATTTGTTCAAAGTCTTGGATGGCAGATAAATTATTGGGTGAATCAATTTCTGATAATCTCTTAAATATTGTGACGTATATGTTCCCAGGAAAATGGTAGCTTATAGCTACTGCAACATTAGCACTAACGATATGGATTGGTAATTTAATAATGTAATCATGATATTACGTTTACTTATATTTTTACATGACTACCCTCTAAAATTTTGGTAGTCAACTTAGCCGATGAGATGATTGCTGACCAAGATATGCTGGAAGGAAAAACGGCCTTCGTCACAACTTTTTCTTATCCCGGCATCAAAGAATTAAATTTGGAAACGAAGAACTACACGAACTTTCGTAACTTCGCGGGGTATGGCTGCGCTGGAACATCGGGAATTGCATATAACTCTTACAACAAACACTTGTATGTGGGTTGTAGAAAACCATATCAAAGACGAAGTACGTTGATACTCGAACTAGACACAGTCACTGATACCACAAAAAATTGGAGCCTTCCCGGCGTTCCATTTGTTTCTCCTGACGGTCGGTTTGTTGTGCTCCTTTATCGCACGGAGACGGTGACGAATAAACAATTTAGTCGAATAAATATTTTAGCTGTGAATGGGACACGGTTTAACGCCAGTTATTACGCGGACCTTCATTTTCCCGGTTGGGTATCTAATCCAGTTTTTTACCCCAAAGGGGAAACGTCGGGTAGCTACTTCCTATTCCTTGCTCTTGAGTACACAAACAAAATGGCCGTCGTTGACTTAGAATTAGCAAAAACCGGCAACATCTCTTATGTGAAATATATCGAAGACGTCGACTCATACAAGTCAGGATTTTCGTGGGAAAGCCGGAGCGACTGGTTTGTCGCCGAAAAATGGATCATATCTCCCATAACCGTAAACAAAACGGTGGTGATTATTAACGCAGAGACCCAAAAGATTCACGCGAAGATTAGGGGAGTGAACGGTGCACATTTTGCAGTCTGGGTTCCAGCGTCTACCTCGAGTGTGACTTCTGGGCCAACCCCGAGTGTGACTTCTGGGCCAGCCCCGAGTGTTACTTCTGGGCCAACCCCGAGTGTTACTTCTGGGCCAGCCCCGAGTGTGACTTCTGGGCCAACCCCGAGTGTTACTTCTGGGCCAGCCCCGAGTGTTACTTCTGGGCCAACCCCGAGTGTTACTTCTGGGCCAGCCCCGAGTGTGACTTCTGGGCCAACCTCAAGTGAGAGTCCCAGACCCACCACCACTGGATATTCCCAGAACACCACCAGTGGAACATTTGGTATAGGTCGCCCGAGTTGTTTGATTTTTCTTATGATTTTGTATGCTTTCTTGTAAAGTCTTGAATCAATACAGGGTGAACATAATTGAGGTGAATAATAGTAGGTGAAATGTAAACATTTGACATCGAACACTTTTTAGCCATAAATTTTACTGTAATTAGATCTAAAGCTCTTGATTACTTTGGGAATATTGTTTTAATAAATTTCGGTAGTTTAGTTATAAAACATTGATAAGCTTGGATCATGTTGTTTTTAACTTTGATGCATGGTATTTTCTTGTAATCTTTCATGCATCGTATTTTTCCCTTTTTTCGTGGATGCATGGTATTTTTGTTGTGATCTTTGATGCATTGTACTTTTCTTGTGATCTTTGATGCACGGTATTTTGCTTGCGATCTTTGATTAATGGTATTTTTCTTGTGTTCTGTTGGCAAAATATTTAACCATTCAGGCTTTTGCATGAACACGAACCTTTCAGAATGGATCTACGTTATTTTTACTTCCAATATGGGCTGTTTACGGTTTGGTAGCACAAGAATGTAGAAGCACAATACTATTTATTTGAAAATCCAAAAGTCGCTTCCATGAACTCTAATCAGCAGAGTCTTCGTCGAGAAAATGTAGTGTTTAGTTTTTACATTCATTGAATCATGGATAGCTCTAAATGAGCCGATGAGATGATAATGATAAACTTTATTTAACCACGCTAACATTGTTAGCTATAGCTGGTCTCCAGAATGGGTGTCGAAATAATTATCATTTATAATGCGAACATGAGTGCATTATTTAGAGTTTTACCCTACCGAGAAAAATCGTATTTAAACACACGTAAAAATACGATATTTTTACGTATAAGATTTCATTTTCGCAAGCCAATCAAAAACTGCATAGGAAATATGTTTGACTAATCAAAAAATCTGTTGTAAAACGTTTCAGTTGTTGAATTTGTTCTTATAACTTGTTGATATAATAAGCAGAATATTACATGCTTGTAAATCTGGATTTATTTCATTTGTTGAAGGGAATATTGCTCACTCGCTTGTTAGTTTTGAAACGCATTTAATTCTATAATAATAATATATTTTACATATTTACATCAACAAGACGCCAGCAATATTAATTCGCATGCGGAACTTGGCAAGGGTGTGACGGCCATGCATCAAGTTGATGCGTTTGGCAAAAACACCTTCAGTTGAAACATAAACGTTATTGCGATAACAACTGCTACTGGCGTGGCTATTTGTTTTACTTGTTTTGTGTTGGACGCTGCTGGCGCAAATATTCTATCAAGTTCAAATCGTTGTCTTTGGTGCGCGTGTAAACCAAAGTGAGTTAAATTCATAGTTATATTTAGTTCTTTTGTTAACTTAGATTTAGTTTGTTACCAAGACTTTATTTTCGTATTTACGAACCTTAGATTTAGTTTTGTTTATGGAACACTTCGAACACTGTTCAAGTTGTCTTGCATGCAGGTTATTGTTCATGACGTGCTATTTTATCTAATGTATAGGCCGCGCATGAAATGGTTAAAGTTGTGTGCTGTATGTGCATGTGATCACGCAATACTGTATTTAGTATAGCTATTGTTGTTTCGTGTTCTCTAGTTCGAACCTACTATCTACTACCATCTACTACTATCTGCTACTATCTACTATTATCCACTACGTATCTACATTCCTGCTACCTGCCTACCTATATCTACCCACCATACAACCTTTGTTACCACGCCGACCTGATGTCAATTTGCTTAGTCAATCAAATCATTTCGATATTAAAGTAATCATTTATTAACTGTCTGTTTACGCATTGATTGCTTACTCTATTCTGTCGAGTTCGAAATATCAGCGCACCGCCTACATCTCGCGCGACACGTGACTGCAAGCTATCGTTTTGTCCGTGAGAAGTACATCGCTCGCTGCGCTCACTTCAACACTCGAAATAAATTCCATATTTCCCCGCAACCATATAATATTCTCTCTATGTATAATATCATAATCCTCGAGCTGGTGCTTCGTGCGAGGGTACTAATTCCGCTCGGATATTTACACCCACGATGTGAAAATGCGAAATCAATTCCGTTATGCAACGGACCTCACGCCATGGACCGTTTTTTACGTTACGCACATGCGCCAGTGTGAACTACTGAGCTCTTGATTATTAATCGAGACAAAACTTCGTATTTTCAAACATCAATCCATTACTGTCATTTCGCAAAATTTTGATGAAATTTATAAATTTATATTTTCATAAATATGGAATATATGTAGCCTATGTTTTAATTACTAGAGGGAAACTCGCATGCGGTCAGGACTTTTCATGGTTTAACAAATAAGAAATCTAAATTTTCGACCGAATTCACCGTGTATAATGAAATCGCAAGATTTTACGCTTGATAATATTTCACCCGGCACAGCTTTAAAAAGTAATCATTTTGTGGTGAACACATGCAGCTTTCATATTCTTCGTGTTCTCCAAGCATTAATATTTACACACATGCGCAGATATCGATCTTGTCGAATCGATATTTTGTCACGTGAGCAGCTCAAACTTGATTTTATACCTGTTTTTCTTGCGTTTCTGAATATTGCTGACTGATTTGCTCTGCGCGATAAGGAACTTTATGCACTGCACTAACACTAAAGTCGAGTATTTCGCCTTGTATTTCAGCTGAATACCGGTATGTGCTTGGCTTCGTTATTTGGCCCTACTCTATGAATTCGACCACTTCCAAAGTAGCCCAATCGCAGGGGCATTCTTCTATCAGCGCTCGTCGTAGTATGAGTTATTATTATACTGCGGTCTGTCACCCGATCGGGCCGCTGTGGCACTTGCAAAAAGTGAAATGAATTTCTAAAGAAGCGAATAACGATGATAAAGTAAAATTCGCATAACATGACTAAATCGTAAGGCGATCTACGCCACCGTTTATATATCGTTATATGTATATGGCGCTGCGTGTTTTGCTTCCGATACTGGTTATTCGCCGTAAGTTAACAACTATGTTGTTCAGTGGCGTAGCCAGCCTGACGATTTTGTCCCGCTATGTAAATTTCGAGTTATTATAATTATTCATGTCTTTAGAATCCTATTGTTTTCACAGTCAGTGAACACCAAAATATTAGCATAGCGGGACAAATCTCAGGCTGGCTACGCTACTGATGTTGTTTGGTGGGTAAGAACGTAGAAACAGAATAGAATTTGTGTCTAAACCAAAACCCAACATTAGAGCTTCATGATGTCCAAACCCAACATTAGCTTCGTTGAAGATGTCTGCGTATCTCAAACATTGGTTCGCTACTGCATGGTAGTCCTAAATGAATATCAGCTAAAACCTGTCCAGAAAATTCCAAAACATGCGAAATTTCGGCAAATTTGCGGTCGCGCATTTGCAACCATTGCGCAAACGCGTCTATGAATATACTGTGAATACTGTGCACTCGATCAAAGTTGAGCGACTGCACGCAAATTTTTTGTACTCGATCGAGCTCATATGGGTATGCATGGCAATCCGCAATCGATGATTCAGAGACTCCTCTTTCCTCTCTTAGAAATAACCTTCGTTTTAACGGTTAATCTGCGATGTTTTTGCAGCGTTTTTTAATGTTCTTTAAATAACTCGGTAATACCAAAATTAAAGTTTACATTTAGATGGCAAATATGTTTACTTTTGCTAGAGTGTGAATATTGGAGGCAGCCGCCATTCAGCAGATTCAATTAGGAGAAAATTACTTTTTTAACTAATCAGCGCTTCTTTATTAACTCTACGCGAAACTAAGTGATTATCTAAATGAACAATTTGTGAAAACACCACGTGCATTTGTTGAAGCAACTGCAACTCTTATTGCAAATCTACTCGGACATATGATCCGTTTGTTGCCCGTATTTGAACAATTTGTGAGACACCACGTGCATGTATACAGCTTTTATATTATATACTTTGGTCCGTTAACCCCGACCTTTAATATTGCGATATGCAGCAGCTTCATCAATTCAATTAACGACCAAAAGCTCTGCATGTAATAAATACACATGTGGTGTTTTTACAAATTTATTATTTAACTTATTAATTATATTCTCGAAAGGAGGAAATTTGCAAGTGCTAATGTAAGTACGCGGGAGGAGCGTGCATCATGGCCGTTTATACGCTGTGCTTTTGTCAAGCTAAAAAATTCAACTTTTTACTCCATGCTATGCTAAGCATAATAAACTAATCTCCCTGTATTCTCATATTCAAAATTCGTTTAGAATATATTTAGCTTATGTTTTTTTCAAAATGAAAACAGTAACCTATTCCGTTTTGTATACATATTTAGAATTATAAGGTTTGATGTTCCGAAAGAGATCTTCTTAATTGAAGCAGCTGCAACTCTTATTGCAAATCTACTCGGGTGAAAGTCGCAGATTTGTTCGTCTTATAACATATGATCCGTTTGTTGCCCGTATTTATTCACAGTGTATGCAGACTGAAAGCTATAAAGCTTATTTCAATAGTTTTGTGTTTTTACGGTACATCTTGGGAAGAATACGGCCAAAACAGTTAAACTATTCAATTTATTGTGAGATTTTAATTGTCATTGACTTATTAAAACTATTATTTTCTTCTCATTCTTAATTCAATGCGCAGGTGAACATATATATTTAAACTCAAAGTAACGTAATTGTGGTAAACTCTGTCATTCACTGGTATACAAGCAACGACATTTTAATGTCATTATAGTTTAAAAATTAAAAATGACTAACAGCACAATTCTGGTTCCAGTTGCCAGCAGTGTTCTTGTCTTTTCAGTTGCTTTCAAATTTATCGCGATGATTATTGGAGTATTGGGAAATGTCACAGTTATAATATACACAATTTTGTTGTGTAAAGAAAAGACAGCGACATCTTACTTGATAGCAAACTTGGCATTTGCGGATCTTCTCGTGTGTTTAACATTTTATCCACTATGGATCATCGAGTTTATTCAGACTATATTAAACATTGAGAATGATCAGGACGTGTTTTGTAAGTTAAGTCGTTCTACGATCTGGTCTTTTCTGTCTGCCTCAGTGGCTACAATTCTCGCAATTACTGTTGATCGTTATTTATACATTGTGAAACCTCTGAAATATCCTCTGATTGTGACACGTCGACGAGTGTTCCTGGTTATTTCTGGAATCTGGTTAACTGCTTGTTGTGTTTGTGTTATATTTTATGTCGACCATT